TAGCTTATTTGTAGGGTTGGGTATTTAAGTTAGGTTGTACCTAACCTATACCTAACCTAACCTATAACGAGGCCTACCTACGCGCTCGTCTAGGCAGAACCTAACGTACGCGTAGTATATAAGTAGGCGATAAGTAACTAGGGCGTATTCGAGGACTACGTCGCCCGGGAAGGTAACTTGTAGGTAGGCGATACGCTATATATACCTAAGGACTACGCCCTTAGAGCGTAGCTAATACATATATACTACGACGACCCGTTAGTAGGATACTTCGGAAAGGACAAGATAATAGCCTTAATCTAAAGAAAGTACTTGTAGCTAGAGATAGCTACCGAGGTAGCAGAATATATCGCTACCTACGACGCCTACTAAAAGTCGAAAGCGCGACGCTACCGTCTATACGGCGAACTAACTATACTACTAATACTAGAGAGGCCGTTCTAAGAATTAACCTAGGACTTTATTATAGACTTGCCGCTAAGTAAGCGTAGCGACCGCGTCTACAATACGATCCTTGTAATCGTCGACAGGTATACGAAAATAGTAACCTTCGTACTAACTATAAAGAAATGTACTAGCGTAGATCTAGTAGATATCCTAGTAAACGAAATCGTACGACGATTCGGTATACCTATAGGCATTATAAGCGATAGAGGCTCGGTGTTTACGAGCTAGTTCTAGTTAGACTTCTGTTATAAGGCGTAGGTAAAACGTAGGCTTAGTATAGCGTTCTACGCGCAAACCGACGGTTAAACCGAACGGATAAACTAGATAATCGAGACGTACCTATATATCTACTACTTAGAGTAGTAGAACGATTAGGCTAGTATACTAACGTAAGCTGAATTCGCGTATAATAACAGCGATTACGCTATACTGAAAATGTTACTATTTAAAGTACTATATAGTTTTAACCCGGAGCTAGTAATAAGTATATATAACGCTCGGAGCGAGCTTGCGGAGAGAGAGGTACCGGCCGTAGTAGACGCTATAGAAAGACTGAAACGGAACTACGAAACCCTAAGTAAGCGCTAGTAATACGCTAGTAAAGCGTAGGCGAAGTACTTTAACGCTAAGTATACCGCGATAGGGTTTAAAGTAGGAGATATAGTACTACTATCTACTAAAAACCTAAGATTAAAGATACCTACAAAGAAGTTCGTAGATAAGTTCGTAGAGCTATTTAAGGTAATTAATATCGTAGGAAAGTAGGCGTACCGCTTAGCCCTACTAGTAGGGTTATAGATCTATAACGTCTTCTACGTCTTATATCTCGAGCCCTATAAGGGCCGCGTAGGTAACGCGTAGAAGGGAACCCTTCTACTCGCCGATAAGGAAGGGCTCTATAAGGTAGAAAAGATCTTAGATACGCGCCTAAGGAAGAGTATCCGATAGTACTTAGTACGCTAGCGTAGCTAGCCCGAGGAATTTGATTAATAGGAACCTAAAGAGTATGTTAGTAAGTATACTGCCCTCGACGAGTTCAAAGCGTAGCGGAAGCGTAGTAGTATAGTATAAGTAAGACGTAGGTAGAATAATTAAGAATTAATTTGCTTTTAACCCGGCTAAGCCGGGGAATACTATATATAAAAAACAAATACCAAACATACGCGTAGCGTACTAGAAACGCAGGCCAACTAACCGCGACGAGAGGGCTAGGTACCCGCGGTACTACCGGTACTAGTAGTACTAGAAGAGAGAGTAGTAGGAGTAGGGCTAGTAGGAGGAACGGTAGGACCGGTACCGTTACTAGTACCGTTACCGGCACCGTTGTCGTCGTCGTCGTCGTCGTCGCTATCGCTAGGTAGGCTTATCTCCTTCTTACCGTCCGATAGGTACAGCTCCTAGCTGCCGTAATCGGGATATACGGTCGCTATCGCGCTATCTAAGGCAGCACCGGCAGCGCCGGCTAAGCGAGCTATCTACGATAGACGTTAGCAACGCCTACGAGTAGGGTACGAAGTAATAGAACTTACCTTATACTATAGCTTAAAGATACCCTAAAGGATAGAGGTAGCCTTCGCTATCTCTAGGTAGTTAGCTACGGCTAGAGCGCTCGACGCCGGCGCGCTAGCTATACTACTACTACTACTACTACTACCCTTCTTCGGCGTCTCGTAGACGCCGACGGCCTTGCCCTTATTAGAGGCAAGTACCTTCTTACTCTTTAGAATCTTACCCTCTAACCGCTATAAGCGCCGTATTACCTATACCGAGCGTATACCGGCTACGTAAGAACGAAGCGCTATACGTAGGACGCGTAGGTAGCGCGCCTACCGAAGCAGGTCTAGGTCTACTACGCGTTCGTATATATAGCGCCCTTTCGCGTACCTCTAGTACTTCTTCTTTCGGCCGGAAGCTATTACGCCGTTATAGGCGCGCTCGGCGACGCCGTTCGCGTCTACTACTATTAGATTAGTAAGGAAACGTAGGTAAGGCGTACGTAACGCGTAGGTATCGACGTACCCTTAAACATATACTCTATACAGCGGAGGCAAATGTTGTATACTCTAGCTATAGTATAACCGCGACGCGGATCGCGCTCTAGGGCGGGTTTCTTAGGTACCTTTACGGCTATCGCGCGCTTCGGAGGTATATCTCGTACGTATAGGTTACGAGGATAGTACGAAGAGCTTAGAGTTTTTCCTAAAAAAATAGTTTAGGGAAGAACTAAGGAACGAAGAAAAAGACGTAGTATAGAGGACGAAATATACTTACTCGTTGCTACTACCTGTTGCTAGGCGGGCTTTCTTCTATCGTATTCTACGTTCTATTAACTTCCTTACATTCTACTATATAGAATGCCCTAGGGTAACTACTAGGATTCCTAGTATAACGACTAGCCTCTATATAGAATACGAGTATCTCCGTATACGCTCTATATACGCTCTATATACGATACGTAGAATATATCGCTAGGGACAGCTCTATTAGGGAGAGGAGATAATTGTAATAGCTAGGCCTAGAGGTATATAGCCCTAGGGGCCGGTTAGGTATTTAAGTCTAAGGTACGTTAGCCCGAGGTAGGACGGGCTATAGGAGCAGTACGATCCGAGTCGTCGGGCGATCGGCTATCGGGCGACCGCCCGCGCGGCGTAGCGCCTGCGTATGCTTGGCGTAGGGATATATTATACGACGCCGCTCTCTCCTTTCCGAAGGATAAGAATTAGTTTGTTCCTTTTCCTACGTAGTAGGAAGGACGCTCTATACATTACTATATACCCCTACTCTTATACCTTAGAACAAAAATCAATTATTTGCCTTAAGAAAATAAGTATATTTCTACTCTTCTTTCTCTTCTTTCTCTTTTCTCTCTCTAACTTCCTCTCTCTCTAAAACCTAATAATCCTCTTAAACTAACAAAATACTTAATCTAGTAGTATAGTTAATAAGTAACAAATAGAGAGGAGAGAAAGAATTACTTAGCTTAGGAAAATCTAAAAAATTCTTATCTTACCTCTCTAACTCTCTCTAACTCTCTAAAACCTAATAATCCGCTAATCTTACCTCTATTCTCTAGTAGTTAGGAGAGTAGACTAGTTAAAACTTGAAAAGAGGAGAGAAGAGAAAAATAATTACTTGTCTTTAGAAAAAAATTAATTGTTTGTCTTAGCAAAAAAAAATATTTTTAACCTTCTTTCTCTAAATTCTCTAAATTCTCTAGCTCTCTAAATCCTAACAATCCTCTAATCTTACCTCTATTCTCTAGTTGTTAGTAGAGTTAGTTGATTAAAGAGAGAGAAGAGAACAATTAATTACTTACCTTAGAGAAAAATCAATTATCTAGCTTAAGAAAAATAAAAAGAATTCTTTCTCTTTCTCTTAATCTCTCTAACTCTTTCTCCCTAGCTCTCTAAAGCCTAACAACCCTCTTAAACTATCTAAATACTTAATCTAGTAGTATAGAAAAAAAGAGACAAGTAGAGAAGAGAAGAGAAGAGAAGTAAAAAAGAAGTACTTACCCTTTAGAAAAACAAAAGAATTCTTATTCTCTTTCTCTCTAACTCTCTTTCTCTCTAACTCTCTAACTCTCTAACTCTCTAACTCTCTAAAACCTAATAATTCTCTAATCTTACCTCTATTCTCTAGTAGTTAGTAGAGTTGGTCGATTAAAAGAGAAGAAGAGAAAAAGAATTACTTATCTTAGAAATACAAAAGAATTCTTATATTCTCTCTCTTTCTCTTCTACAGTTCTACTCTAACTCTAGCTCTCTAACTCTCTAAACCCTAACAACCCTCTTAAACTATCTAAATAGAAAAGTCGTTAGTATAGTTAAGAACAGACAAGTAGAGAAGACTAATAAGAGAAAAGGAATTACTTACCTTAGAAATATAAAAGGAATTACTATAATTCTTGTTTCCTTTAGATTCTCTCTAACTCTCTAAAACCTAACAATTCTCTAAACTTACCTCTATTCTCTAGTAGTTAGTACAGTTAGTCGATCAAAAAAAGAGAAAGGAGAGAAGAAAAAAATAAATTGTTTACCTTAGAAAAATCTAAAGAAATTCTTATCTTACCTCTCTAACTTTCTAACTCTCTAAATCCTAACAATCCTTTAAAATTATCTAAATAAATAGACTACTAGCAGAGAATACTAGTTGAAACTTGAAAAGAGGAGAGAAAAGTAGAAAAATTTCTATAAAGTCAACTTTTTGAAATTTTAGAACTTTTGTAAAATTTTGAAACTTTTTGAAACTTTTGAAAACTTTTACTTGGAATTTGAACTTGAAAACTTTTTGAACTTTTCACTTGAAGACCTTTTTGATGAAAACTTTTTGCAAAAACCATTTGAACTTTTTTCACTCCCAAAGTAACCAAAAAAGGGAAGATTTTCTTTTCTAACCCCTGTCTCTTAAGCAGCAATGCGAGGTTTCCAACCTTTTCTTCATACTGAAATGGAAGAAGTGTAGTATTCAGGTCAAGGTTCGAGATTCGAGGACGGGGTCGAGGTAGAGGCAGAGGTAGAGGTAGAGGCAGAGGTCAAGATAGCCTGCCCCTTTTATGCCTCCTCCTCGTCATCAGCGTCAGCTGCTTCTTCGCCTTCTTCGGCATCGGCAGCCTCCACCACCTTGTCCTTCTCCGCCACCTCCTTGTCGTTCTCCTTCTCCTTCTCCTTCTCCTCCACCGCTCCACCAACCTTCATACTCTTCATCTTCTTCTTGATTGGGCCCTCCGCCTCCGTCTCCTCCCCCTCTGCATCACCGTCATCAGCACCCTCAGTAGTAGTGCCCGCCTTTCGCTTGCGGGTTACCGGCGCCTTCTTGCCCGGGTCAGCCACGGCCACCTCTCCCTCCTCTGCAGCCTCTCCAGCCTCTCCCTCATCACCAGCCTCATCATCATCATCTTCAGAGTCCTCCACCACCAGGACGGGCTTACCCTTGCCCCGGGTGGCCCTACCAGCCCACTGCTGGTAGTCTCCAATTAGTTTTCTCCTCAAAACCGCGAAAGCTGTGTTCGCGGACGCCGCGGTCTTGTACCCGCCGAGGGCGGCCATTTTCTTCGCATCTATCTGTGTTGGGAAAAGGGTTAGTTTGGTGGGGTGGAGAGAAACGGGGAAAGCTAGGGGAGGGAGATACGTACTTTTGGGGTGGGAGTGAATGATCTCCACGCTAAAATTAGCACCCTAACATCGTGGGGTGTCAGGGTGGGGAGGGTGGTCGAGGGCGTGGCGATGGAGGAGGCGGTGGTGGTAGGAGTAGGGTCAGCAGTCGGGGCGGCGGTAGCGTCGGCGGCTGTAGGAGTGTTGTTCATGTTCTTCGCCATTTTCAAAATTTGTTGCTCTTGAAAGATCTTCTTAGAAGTCGTAAGGGTATTAGGGTTGGTCGAGGTGGTGCTGGTCGAGGGTCGTATTGGTCAATAGTAGAGCTGAGAGTAGGTTCGTCGTCGTTCGTCGTTGTTCGTTGGTAATGAAGAAGAAGAAGAAGAAGAAGTCCAAGTAGAGAGAGGATTTGAACAGATATAAGTACCTCCTAGAACAGAAACTCATATCGAGCGGTGTGTAGTACTCACTCATTCACTCACTGCCCCAGGATCAGAATAATAGAATATATAGGTATTGTGACCTCTCGGGAAGGACGGGCCGAGCACGCGACCTACACCGGTAAGAAAAAGGAGTAAGTGAATGAATAGGATTTGAGATTTGACAGGAGTAAACTACTAGAGGATTTTTTCTTATATTTGGTAGGAGGGGGGGTGTTCACCTAGGACTAGTAGTTAGTATAGCTGGATAGAATATACCATTCACATACCTAGCAGAATACCTGACCTACACCGGTAGGGAAAAGGAGTGAGTGGATGGATAGGATGTGAGATTTGTTTGGAGTGAATGACCGTGGGTTTTCTTACATTTGGTGGAAGGGGATTTCGTCTGGGACTACTGGTCAGCATGGTGGTGCTGGATGGGTACGGCATTCACATTCGCATAAGAATGAATGCGCGTTGGTACAGTAGAGATAGGTACCCGGCGTCCAATCCATTGTGTTCATGAAATTTCGTCTAGGACTACTGGTCAGCATGGTGGTGCTGGATGGGTACGGCATTCGCAGTCGTAGGAGGATACTTGCGCGTTCAATAGGGATGGGTACCCGACGTCCATTGTGTTCATGGAATTTCATCTGGCACTACTGGTCAGCATAGCGGTGCTGGATATGGCTAGCATTCACAGTCGTAGCAGAATGAATGCGCGTTGGTACAGTAGAGATGGGTACCCGGCGTCCATTGTGTTCATGAAATTTCATCTGGGACTGATGGTCAGCATAGTGGTGCTGGATGGGTACGGCATTCACATTCGCATAAAAATGCGCGCGCGTTCAACAGAGATAGGTACGCGGCGTCCAGTTGATTGTGTTCATGGAATTTCATCTGGCACTGCTGGTCAGCATGGTAGTGCTGGATGGATACGGTATTCACAGTCGCAGCAGAATGAATGCGCACTGGTACAATAGAGATGGGTACCCGGCGTCCATTGTGTTCATGGAATTTCATGTGGGTCTACTACAGGTAGTCAGCATGGCGATACTCTATGGATACGCCATTCACATTCGCAGCAGAATGCGCGCGCGTTCAACAGAGATAGGTACCTGGCGTCTGATTGTGTTCATGAAATATCATCTAAGACTGCTGGTCAGCATGGCGGTACTGAATGTAACATTTACAGTCGCGGCCGAATGCGCTGGTTCAACAGAGATACCCGGCGTCCAATGATGTTCATGTCATGGTTGATATTCGTTTCATACCAGTTTTTCGAGTCCTTATGGTACATCATGGCATCGCCGCGCCGTGATTCTTGCCGTGCAAAGAATCGAGCGAACCAGTTCCGCGCCTGAACTCCGTCCTACTCGCGACAAATGGAGCCCTAGCACACGACCATGTATGCGCGCATGGTCGCAAGTCTGACACATGGCATCGCGCCAGTTTCCACTCCAATCTCTCTCAGTGGTCCCAAAAGTGCATCACGAACCAGCTCAGAATCCGCGACCCCGTCCTCGTCCTCTGCCTCCACGATCGCCACGGAATCCGCCACGTCCTCTCCCACCGCGCATTCCACCACCTCGACCACCTGGCGCAGCGGATCTGTCCTGCTCCTTTCTCGCCTTGTTCTTGGGCTTCGGCGTATCATCAATCAGCAACGTGTCGAGCGGCAGCGAGTCTGGTAGAATGTAGTATCGGATCTCTGAGCCGCGAATCGAGACATGGTCGAGGCTGATTTGACTACCGCCTTTGGGAGTCATCTTGGCATTGCGGAGGTTGGTGTTCATCTGCGGAGAGACACTGGCGATCGTGCCTTGTACGATTGTGCCTGAAGGAGGGAGAATGTGGTTAGCAGTCTGCGCGAGATGTGGTGTGGTGTGGTCCCATCTCAACTTACCAGTCTTGAGCTCAATGGTGACCGTCTCGTTCGAGCATTTCATCAAGAACCTACCATGCCTGTCAGTCAGGCTCTTTCGCTTGCCTTGGAGGAGTTTCGTTCAGCATGAGCCAGCAGGCTTGCGATGTGAGCAAGAGAGTGTCTCACCTGACGAGCTTCATGCTGGCGGACGCGCAGCTTTGGTGCCGCTTCCAATATTGCGAGAAAAGGTACTCGGAGGTGCAGGCTGGGTAGCTGTTGGGAAGCGGTTGGTATGTCGGTGAGCTGGGTCGCGGTCGGGCAGATGTTGGTAGGTTGGCGAGTTGTCGCGCTTCTTCCCCAAGACTTTCTCGCGACGTCGAGCGGGAGCTTCCCGAACTCTATTCCGTATCAGGCACGTGATACATGTAGATATGGATGGCAGGACAGGGCAGTCGTGAAGACAATCTGCGCTACACGGAGAAACAATGAACGAGGATCACGAATAGGACATAGTTCAGTGGTGTTCAAAAAGCAGTATGGGTATCGTGACGGGTTCGGGCTCATTACAGCCAGCGCCCATCTCATTCATCGATCGCAGTGCGATCTCCTCCTCAACTGACCTTCTCCCATTCAGAATCCGTGCTGAATTCGCTACTCGAAAGATCGGCCTTGGTGGTCAGTCTCTGCCTCGTCTCTTTCATATCGGCCTGCACTCCACTCGCCGTGGTCCCCACCACCAGATCCTGTGCAGCTGTCTGTGCGACTCGCTCTCCAGCAAACCCACCAGCACTACCCACCAACTCTCCCTCACCACACAAACTAGCAGTACTCTCCCCTAGGCCTTTGGTCCCGCCCGCTCCCTCCACCTCTGTATCCTCCCCCTCATCATCCGCATCACCAACTTCACCCCGCTTCTCCTCCGCAGAGGAAGCTTTCCGTTTCCTCAACCTCTCCGCCTCATCCTCTGCTCGCTGTGCGGCTTGCAATTCCATCGCGAACCAATTGATGCTGTACCAAAGGCCTCCGCAGAGTACGGATAAGACGGCAAAGTGTATACTGTAAGTCGCGATAAGCAGGCCGAAGAGGAGGACTTGTAAGGAAGCAAAGGTGACGTTGGTTGCGATAAGGAGGGTGGGCGTAGTGCCGGGCGTGAAGACACTCTCCCAGAGGTTGGTTATGAAGGAGCCCATCGTTGCGATCGAGACTGGTGTGGTAGAAGTGTGTGATTGGTATTGGTGGGGGCGAGGACCACGACTTCGCGGGCGGGGATATACCGAGGCGGCGGTAGAGGGCGATGTTGATATTTGTCTGTTTGTTTATGGTAGGTCTGCTTAGATGGTGTTTGTATCTTGCCCGTTCAATGTCACGGCCTGTTCAGTTGCCTCGTCGCTGGTGTTCGTTGCAAAGTGGTGATGCGGTCACCAGCGGGTTGCAACTTCTCTCCGTCGGTCGATGCTCCGCTTTCAGCATACCACTACGGCAGAATTCGGCACTTTACAGACGTTGTGTATATTGTTGTAGAGAAGCATGACTACAGTTCTTCTCCAGCGCATAGCATATAGCGCCCAGACGTCATGCGGCACGCCGTTGGGTTCCTGTCACGCGACGTGCTCTGACATGGATTCGCGAGACAAGGTCTTCAGCCTGGACCATTCCCCTCTCCCTCGGACCGGAACTAGATGCTGGAGGCGTGAAGAGATATTTGGCATTGTGAGGACCACGAGGGTGAGATGAAGGCCTTGATGATGATGATAACGATAATGATGAGGATGAGGATAAGATGAGCAGAAAGACAAAAGCAAGCATTGCAAACAGATCTATCATACTTTGGAATTGTGGCTCCTTCAAGCCTGATTATCACTCCACCGATACTGCCAAACACATTGTCAGGGCACCCTTGATGAAACCCGAGGAGAGACTTCGGCTGCTGTTCGTGTGACTAGTAGCTGCAGAGTGCAGACATTCACGGGTCTTGTAAAAGATTTCCGAAGACAGACGGCCTTTGTACACTGTGCACAGCTCTTCGTCTCAAGCCCCGACTTTGAGGTGAGTTGTGCGAGGCATCATGGCACGTATGCGTGACAGACAATTGCATCACCTTTCTGCATCTCAGGCGGATAGTGGTAGGACAAGCCTGCCGACTTGCGTGGACATTTCAACCACGTGAGGGGTAGTCTGTGGATATGTGGTGGATGCCTCGAGCGTGATCTTGTCACTGCCCGCTAAAGGAGGAGGAGTGGCAATCGATTACAAAGCGTTGCCATAGGTACGGGAATAAGGCATCCGAGGTCTTTCTGCAGCAACACTGCCCCTGTGTTGTCGGATCTGTGCTCAACCCACTTGCCACTACTTCCATGTAGCTTGGATAAGTCGGGCTGGCTCTGGCTCAACTGCATGTGGGAACTGCAAGAGGAAACTGTAGTTTGCTGTACTTTGACGGCTCCTGACTCACGTCAGCTCTGAAAATTCGCCTCGTGTGTTAGCCCATACAGAGAGGGGGCTCCGGCCTCCGGCCACGCGAGAGACGACTGTGCAATGCATTCGCATGCGAACTGCTCGATCAGCGCGAGTCCTGGAACGGGCGGAGCGGAGCGGATGTCACCTGGCCGTCCAGCAGCTCGGTAGCCGTGCCAGTGGGGAGGACAATGTCTTTCCTCTCGACCAAATTATCCTTCTTCCTCTTGACTTGGGGGGCATACATACGCCCACCGCAGCACACATGCGTGAGGGTGTGGACAATGTGCGATGCTTCGAGTATATTATACGTCCAAGAGCAGATCGGGATAGCACACGGCTGAAGGCCAATGACACGCCAGAGGAGTGAGGGGTGGCCGCCATGTGCTTTGCGGAATGTGCCTGTCCATACGCTACCGAGGACCGGCTGAGACTCCGCTGTTTGTGTGCGACACTGCTGCGGGCCCAAGTCCTGTGTCGGTGGTCCTCTCATCAATTGCACACCACCATCACATGTTCAAGCGTCAGCTCGGCTCGCTGGGGAGGTGATTTGACCTGTTATCTCCGGTGCGCTGGCCGAAAAAATGCATACTCGGGATACTATAATCTCGAGGGTCTGGGTAGTGGAGGGGCACGCCGCACGGCAGGCAAGAAGGAGCGAAACGTGGTGAAGGAAGAGTAAGAGTGACATCGCAACAGGCATTGATCGTAGGGCCTCCCTGGTTTCGTTCTGCGCGGACACGAATCGAAATTTAAGCTCAGTGGATCGATCTTACAACCAAGATACGCGAGAAGCCAGTCCGTGAGATCTTGACTATCATTGCTCCACCGAGGAGGCGCTAGAATGCACTATGCACTATTCGGACTAGCACGAGTTTAGCACGATCGAGAAAGAGGTCAAAATCTCGAGACTCTCGCACATTTCTCTCCTGACGGACGGTACGTACCACCCCAGCTTGCCAGAAAGGCAGGGCGATGAAGAGCTTACTACACTCTTATTAATACGTCCGCGGTATGTCTCTGACGGTAGGCCTGTAGAGAATCAGTTGTATACGAGACGGACCCTCTCCACGCAAGATTGGATGGAGAAGACGGCGTGGCATAGTAACCGTTGCGCTGGAGAATAGGCCGGGAGCAGGCCCGCTTTTCTGCACATGTGTGCCTGACACAGCATCATGTTTACGGCGAGGTGCATGCCTTTACATACCAGGAGTTAGGAGCGTAGGAGGGATGTATATTGCCTGCGCTGCGAGTGTAGATTGATTGCATCAGAAGAGCATCAGAAGATGGAGATCATGTACATAGCACTATCAGGTCTGATATCACGCTCGGGGGGCTGACGCCGCGTGGTGTTAGAATTACTACTACTGCACAAGCTCGGTCCAGAGACGGCAGCAAGGTGTAGCCCGCCCGCTTGGACGTCGCTGAAGAGTGTAGATTGCATACTGGTCGCCACGCGTAGGTTCTGAAGAGGGCGTTGGAGGTACGAGATGGTGTATGCCGGCAGCGAGGCCGCAACGTCACACAATCTGACGACGGTTGACGGGTACGGCTGTACAGTACATGTAGGAGAGGAGGTACAAGATGGTGAAGAACATTCTCTAGCGGCGTCGGGTAGCGTGTGCGTCTCGTTCCACATGGGAGCGAGCAGCCAATGGGTGCAGAGGCACGGTGGCAGAGCAGATTGGCAGATTGGCAGAGCAGAGAGCAGACAGCAGAGAGCAGATCGGATCGGATGGTCAATCGGGGGGAGCCACTGCGACGTTCACAGATAGCCGTGCAGGCAGGCGCAGGCAAGCAGGCAGCCAGCCAGCATGAGCCAGCGCCAGAGCCAGCGCCAGCGCCAGAGCCAGAGCCAGAAGCCAGGCCTGCGGATGAACCTTGCAGCTGCTGCTGTGCTCTAGTATAAAGTAAGCTAACTTAACTCAGGTTAGTAAGCTCTGGCAATTGCAAGGGCGGAGCGGAGCAGTAGAGTCCGCCAGCCAATGACCGTAGCCCCCGCTAAGCTCGTCACCAGAAGGGAAGGTACTAGGGAGGTACCTCCTAGCCGGAAGCGGGAAGAGCTAACGGGGCGGGCGCTGGAAGGCTACTGGCTACAGGAATTCTATGTCCTTCGTCCAGACGCGCCTCTCCAGCTCCAGCTTTTGCCTTTACACCAAGCTCGACTCTCTCGTCGCTCCTCTTCACCCCCATCGCCACATCGCCACTACATTACACTCCCCATCACTGCACTTCACTTCACTGCACTGCACTTCTTCCTGCTGCAACATCGCCACCGCCTGTGCCACCATTATACCGACCGACATACAGACGATATCTTCTATTCCCGACGGCCCGCCCACGACCGATAGCACGACTGGCCTTCGCGCGATACCAACACCCCGATCCGCACTACGGGAGCAACTTCGTTTCCGCCGGTATCGCCCCGCACCACGAGGAACCAGCTGTGATCCTGGAAGCTGCATCTTCGATAACCATCGAGCTCGAACAATCGCCTTTCACTCCACACTGTAAGCCGCCCTTCTCCTCGCCTCCTCGCCTCCTCCTACTCTGCTCTCTATTCACCATCTCGCTTTCACCACATTCGAAACCTCGCTCTGCGTGTCACCCCCCGATTCTGATGCTGCTTGATGCTGTGTGCTGATTCAGCGCCTGGTACAGTCATCGTGGGCCATATTCATTTTAGCTTCGGCTGCCATCTAGGCAATCATGCCGCCCATCCGCACGATGCCGGTCGTGAAGCCCGTGAGGACTGAGCGAACCCACGAAGAAAACCAAGAGAGGTACAGCGACGCGCATCAAACCACTCGATATGGAGATGATGCTGACCACCACCTCACAGGGCCTACATCGCAGCTTCGCGACGAAGCGATCGCAGCCTCGAGGCTCGCGTCGAATCTGCTCGGCGCGCTTCCGAAATCCACAAGAAGCGCACTGGCCGCTCTCTTCGTGTGAGGGAGGAGGATGTGATGAACGAAGAAATGTACGAGGAAGAGGATGACGACCTCCCGATGCAGTTCCGCAGAATCAACGCCTTGAACCCAGGCTTCGCATACAGTGCCTTCAATGAACGGGTCAACAGCTACTTGCAAGGTCAAATTGGCGTCCGGAACTATCTACACCAGGCCATATACCAAGCCAACCAGACTTATCAGGCCAATCAGGCTTTCAACGCCAACCAACTATTTGGGACCACTCCAATGATGCCACAGAATCCTCAACAGCAGCAACAGCAGCAGCAGTTTCAAAACAACATGCAGGCTGCTCAGCAAGCCAGCCACGATCGCTCGGCGTCGATAGGCACACCACAAGGCTTTGCGAGCCAGCGACAGGCTCACATCAACACAAAGGCGTCGGCAGAGGCGCGACGTGGTTCCACCGCTTCATCGCCATTGCCGACAGGGACAAGACCAAGAAGCGCGCAGTCCAGCCAGCCTCCTACACCGCACGCACTGCAACACTCTTCGCCGGCGCCGCCACTGCCGTCACCTTCGGCGGATAATCCATTGTCATTCAAGCTGGATCCCAATATGCAACAACTGGTCGACGGCCAGCAAGGCGCATTTGGTCTGCAGCCTTACCAGATGACCAGTGGGCTACCAATGCCGTCCACCTACTCGTACCATCCCAACAGCAAGCAGGATAAGCGCGACTCCGGCACCGGCCTGCCCAATGGACATGGACTGGACCAGACACTGACTCCTAACAACATGCATAACACCTACTCCACACCACTGTATCAAGACCCACAATCATCGCTCGCCGCCCCAGGTGCAATGGATTACAGCAATGGTGGATTTGACATGCTGAACGGCGATTACAGCATGTTCAACGACAATAGCGACTCCAAGTACGCCTTTAATGTCGACTTTGGCAGCGGAGCTGCCACGGGCAATGCAAATGATAGTGGACAAGTTACTCCCGCGGCCGTGGAGAATCAGTGGAACCCAGATGACTTCTTCACCTTTGGACCCGAGGCAGCGGCGTAGAATGCCGAGCAGCGGAATGGCGAGTCTGATCCTCACTTTGGTGTAGTTGATCCCTCAACTTTGCACACCAAGGCGCAGCAGTGGAGCGGACTGCCATTGGTCGATCCTATCGATAGACAGTACACCCATCGAACACATCTCGTTCCGGATCAGACACATCTCGTCCCGGATCACTTCCAACTCGAAAATGGACACGGTGTGATCTACGTGTCCGCCAGCACTGCAACAGCATCTACGAGGCCCGCGGCTTGACAGTCCCATGCTCGTGCAAGCTCATGGACAGTACTTTGCACGCCCCTTCTGAGCAAGACCGACGTCTGTAAACATTCTCCATGTCGATCACGTCGATCGGTGGAAGGGTTCCAACTATACAATACTGATACCCGCTACTGTAATTCTGAAGGCTAGCGCCATCAAGTGTATTATTAGCGCCTGTGATCAGCTCATTGCCGACCAGGCATGGATGGGAGAAGGGCCGGTGAATGACAGGAAGAGTCTCCGGCGATGCGTGACGAATGAACGAATTTCTTTTGGATACCACATTGTCGCTCACAATGCCGGACCTGATTTGGCGCGGGGGCATGGCGCATAGACATGGGTTGAATCTCTCTCTTCTCTCCCAGAGGAATGACAGCGGCTTTTGCATATGATGGAGCGTACAGACAGCGTATACAGCTGGAAAAGAAAATGATAATCAAATACGTTGCGCGAGATTTGCAACAGAGTAATTTACACTCGACAACTAGCCTCTGTCACCTGTGAAAGTATACCTCGTGTACCTCGGAGGTATCTACAAGTAGGTACTTGTGGCCCCCAAAGTGTGGTTGTGGACCAAAACATTCCGAGTGAGCCTGGTCCTATAGATAGGTACATGTAGCCAGCCCAGCCAGTCATTCTGAACCCCGACCCTCCCCTCGATAATGTACCTCCTATCCGAGTCTATCCTACCCTACAAACGAAGATGTATTTACCTATCTTTACGTGGGTAGGTAGATAGGTGAAGGTAGGGTATAGCTGGAACCTGTGGCCACAAACAAGTTGAGAGCTACCGATCGGGATTGAGGAAGGATGCGGAATGGGGAGGGAAATATGTTCTGGATGGGTATGTGGGTGTGTGGGTGGGTAAGAGTGAAAATGAGAGCTGAGAGGTAAGAGGTAAGAGTGAAAGATGTGGTAGACTTGACTGAATCCATTTTTTGTACCCAAGGTACCTAAGGTTTTCTGAGGGCATAGCTTTCCTTTCATTTATTTTCTCTCTCTGTGCGGACGCCGGCTCAGAAAAGGAGTCGAGTCAAGCGAGTCGAGTGTTGCTTTGCTTTGCTTTGCTTCCAATAATAACAACCAAGGAACGAACGAACGAACGTGCGTGGATGAAAGAAAAGAAAACAAAATGTTTCAAAGACAGCGACTTCGACACATACCTGTACATGATAGCGGCGGGCTTGGTCAGGGAGGAAGAGCAGGGCAACATGTACTCTATCGAGCTCAACAGGCAGCCGTGGGAGCGAGGATAACCACGCAACAACAACAACACCAACGGGAAAATCTTGCCAAGCCCTCCGTCAGAGGCAATATCGCTCTAGTCGCACTAATCGTCCCAGTGCTACTCGTCGTGATCGGCGCTGGGATTTGGTGGTGGTGGAGGAGGCGGACGAGAAGATTTGGTAAGGGAGGAGGACATGGGTGAGTTACTACAACCTTACGGCATAACTGCAGTGTTCTTTCGCTTTCATCGCGCGCGTCCTGACAAAAATTTTACTTACGATTTTTTTCTTTTCTCTTTCTTTAAACAGGGGCAATGATGATCTTGCAACTCATCCACGCGTCGCGAGAGAGATTCCGGCGTTGCCGGATGAACGGGAATTGCAGAAGCGCGGGGTGGATATTGGTGGGAGATGGGGACCGACGCTTAGATGGTGGTGGATTGAGCGTGCGAGGGCTCGGGGAGAGTTGAGTACAACGACGACGACGGATGAAGCGGATCACAATGATAGCCCACGGAGAGGTGCAGCGTTGAGTGATGGTGGTGGTGATGATATGGAGATGCATCATGTCAGTCAAGGGACGACGGTGGCTGCTGGTTCGAGGGGGACGTCACAGTCAGCTGCAGCGCAGGAGAACGACAATGCCAAGACTCATATGCTTTCAGCTGCAGCTGGAGTGAGGCCACAACCACAACCACATCGACAGCATTCCGTGAGTCGAGTTTCAAGTGCGTCGAGCTTGGCATCAAGACCGGAGCCTGTTCGAGATGTGCTTTGGTGGGAAGGAATCGATTTTGACGACGAGGATTGATGCCACGCTGCATCGGTAGCAGCTACGGTACCTTAGTCACGGATATTCCAGGTTACTTTTTTTTCCGTAATTCCAATTCGTTCTCGAAACCTTCCCGGTCGTGATATCCACTTCGTTGTTCGGGAAGCGCAAAAGGAACCAAACTTCCTCGATGTGATCAAGGTTTCCCTTCCACCATATAGCTTTCGCTTCTTTCTTCCCACACCCACACAACTCACAACCATTTCGCAACTTGAACTGGCACGCAACTCCATCGTGAAAATCATCCGTCACTATGGCCAGAGGCAAGACTCCCTCGCTGCAGAAAGTGGGCGCACCTCCCAACCGCGCTGAAAGACGCAAAGCCACCAAGGCCGAGGAAGCCCGGTTGAAGAGGATCACTACCATTCACTCTAAGAGAACGGCAAAAGATCTCAAAATCCTCCCGCAGTGGATGAAGAGTATCATCGGCCTCGTCATTTTCGCCTCTGGCGGCGGCTTCAGCATCCTCAAATTCATCGTCACCGAATCCGAACAGGACCCCCGCGTCCTCCTACTCTTCGGCCCAATCGTCGGTCTCTCCATCGCAGCTTTCGTTTGGTGGAAAGTATCTTCAGCCAAGCTTCCCAAAAATCACAAAGTGGGACTTGGCGAGAAGAACCCATTGGAGAAAGTTCATGGAAAGTATAGGCTGAATAAGGCGCTGCTGGACATGCCCACGACGAGAACTGCAGGGCAAATGAAAGAACGCCGACCTAGCAAGCAGTATACGATCGTGCCATCGCAGCCTACATTCGTGTCGACCAGTGAGGCTGGGCAGATTGGCAGCCAGCCATCCATCACAGGCGACCTCTGAGGGCCCATGCTCTTTGAGTGTCCGCTGACCAAAGCAAATGGACATCCGGAGTACCATGGGATACGCGGCCGAGAGTGAGTGACACTCTCCCGTGCTTCAATAACGAAGACGCAGGTCACCTCCGTAGAATGCTCGGTGAGAGAAGGGTCTCATCGTTGCGGAGGATTCCAAGAACAACAAGAAGATACCAGGAAATATTCCAGATGATTGAGGTGCGATGCACAAACAAGTGTGCTTGGGACCTAAGGAGGAGAATAACGAGAAGATACCAGGAAACATTCCAGATGATTGAAGTGCGACGCACCAACGAATATGCTTGGATTTTTTGAAAATGGTGAGAGGGTTGCCGTCGAATATGCTTGGGACTTTTGAAAAAGTCAGAGGGTTGCCACCGAATATGCCAGGGACTGTTGAAAAGGTCAGAGGGTTGCCGTCGAACATGCTTGGGGTTTTCGATGATTTTTTTTTTGCAAAGGTCAGATGGTTGCCAGGTCGTCCGTCTGTTGTTAGTTTTAGCACTTCAACGTGCTGTCTGAATAGTTATTGCGAATTCATCATTCATAATCATGTTCTCGTCGTCGTAATATCATCGTAGGTATGCTTCCTTTCTCGAGGAGCTTCTCCATCCCAGCAGGTGAGACCCGGATCGGGCGCGTGAGCTCAACGTGGCCTTTGAGAGCATGCTGGAGCGCAGTCAGGGTCGCCATGGAAAGACCTCAATATCACCCTCCCATCCTCTCTGCCACCAGGACCAGTCTCGCAACACCGCACTTCCCTATACTTCCCATCAATCCTCCACCCCCTAACTCCTCCATCGCCATATCTCTCGTAAATCCATCCCGGACTCCCTCACCAATCTTAAAACATCTCAATCCTCCTTCTCCCGATAAACCTCCACCCCAAAAACCCTACCCACCACCCAACTATGCCCAGCAACACTAATCGGCCCACCCCTCCACAACGGCAAGACCTGATCCCGATTATCCCTCCTCCTCTCCGCTACAGTCCGGAGAATATCCCCTCTCTTGAACTCCTCCACATCCTCTCCCTGCAATAACCCACTCTTCACATCCGCTGCCAGAGCCCACAGGCCCGCGCACTCCACGACGCCCATGATCCCAAAGTTCTGTCTTCGGGCCTCACTCACCAGTTCGGAACACGTATACTCCTTTTTGGCATCCACCTGTAAGCCTTCGAGGGGCGTACTTCTCCATGAAATGGTGGGGACAAAAATCGATAAGCTGAAGAAGCTGACATTGCGGAGGAAGAGATGTCGACCGAGAGCTACGGCACAAGCAACGGGAAAATCGAGTCCCAGGGCGAGGTTCCCTGTGACGCTGTCTTGTAGTCGTATCGTCTGTGAGTCGTGAGGGTTACGATTCGAGTAGAAGCTGAGTAGGCGGTGAAAGGGCGGGACGCCGGAGTCTGTGGAGGAGGTCATCTTATTTCAATAGGACCGACTGTATCTCGAAGCAATGTCAGGATTGATGAGCAGATGCAGCAAATACGAGTGGAAGAGAAGCGGATTCAGCGAAACAGGAAATACGAAGCTGTCTGTGATCAATGCTCCTTCAACCTTTGTCGTCGTCGACGTCATGACCGTGATACGCGCCGTGCTGAAATGTACGCGTCGTGATGCGGCCACCACTCCGGGCAACCTCACTTGCAATGCTATACAATTGCTGCTCTTTCATTACGACGGTTCCTATTCCGTCTTTGCCGAAAATCATGATTCATGTACTATGCTCAAGTTTTCTCGGAAACTGCAAAAGTCTACACCTCAAACCAGAAAAGGGTATGCAGCCAGCATGGCCAGCACTAGGAGAGGCGAGCCCACGTCGTGTGCGGCGGCGCCGAGGAATGGCACAATCGACTCAGACACAGCAGGTGTGGTCGCCTATGTATACTTGGTTAGCAATGCAAGCCTCGGAGAACCGAATTCGTTCAAGCAGCTTCGCGAACGCGTAGAATACTTACAGTTGCCAGGGTGCCATTGGCCGAGTAGCTGAAAGTGCCGCTTGCGGCGCCAGTGCCACCTACTGGACCGACCGCGTTGGTCGAGAAGGTCGAAGCTGCTGTAGTGATCGGAACAGTCTAAGAAGGTGTCAGAAATGCGCGGCATTGGCGTCAAGCTTGTCAGTAAACTTACGCTGTTGGCAGAGCTGCTTGGGCCGCTGGCAGAGCTGCTTGGACCGCTGGCAGAGCTGCTTGGACCGCTGGCAGAGCTGCTTGGGCCGCTGGCAGAGCTGCTTGGACCGCTGGCAGAGCTGCTTGGACCGCTGGCAGAGCTGCTTGGACCGCTGGCAGAGCTGCTTGGACCGCTGGCAGAGCTGCTTGGACCGCTGGTAGAGCTCGAGGCGGTTGCTGGGAGAGTAATGGTAGCGTAGACGAAAGAGGTCGATTTGGCGGCGCTGGCAGTCTCCGTCTTGCTTGCTTCCTCTGGCGAAGCGAGAGTGGCCCCTGGCTGCTCACTCGAGGATGGTGCGCCGGAGGAGCTCCAGCCGCTGAGGGCGACGCTGGAGGCTTGAGCAGGGGCAGTCTCGGTGCTAGCCCACGCAGTGCTCGAGTTGGTGAACGTGATGGTGACAGTTTGAAGTGGGCCCGAGTTGCTGGGATTCGGCACACCGCTAGTGGACATAATAGCCGTGGCTGTGACGGGGCAGATGGTGGTGGTGCTGTCAATGACAGAGGTGAGGACGCCAGTGATGTCGGGACAGTCGGTGACGTCCGCACCACATTCCGTGACGGTCTGAACGCGAGTCGAGTAGACGACCGACGGGCTGTAGGTGACGACTTCATGGACGATCACTGCGGCATCGTCGCGAGCTAAGAGAGGGTCAGCCAGATGGGCAAAAATGTCTGGGCGAGGGCGGACTCACCGACGGCGGCGGAAACGGATGTAGCAGCCAGGCCAGCACCGGCGGCGAGAATGTTCTTGAACTGCATTGCGAAGAACTAGCGGTATTGTAATGTGCGTGTGCGCCGGATTGTGTCTGTGTGTGCGTGTGCGTTTGTGTGTGTGAGAGAGCTGGGAATGGCGGAGCGGAACAAGAGAAGAGAGTGGAAGGGCGAGCGTGGAGTGCGGATGGAAGAAGACGGGAGGAGGAAGAAGAAGCAGAAGAAGAAGAAGAAGGAGAAGGACACGAAGGAGACGCAGGAACGAGGAAGACGACTACCTCGGGAGCGGCCGCTGTGTTTATTATGAGGAAGAAAGTACAGGTACGTGCGTGCATCGGCGGCCGGCAGCAACAAACAACAGCCGTGAGGTGGAAGTCGCCACGACGACTGGATCGTGCCCGTCCGATTAGCGAGTCTTCCAGCATCGAGCGATCTCGACTGCGGTTGCAGCAGTGCGCTATACTCCAAGATACCGCGGGTTTCTACAACAACAGCCTCCAGGTCCTTGGTCCCTCTTCGTTCAACGGCATCACCTTGGGCCTCGCACAATCGGCCGAAGCAAAACCGATAGCCATCTGGTGCACATCCAGAGCAGGCTCCAGGGGCATCTCGCAGCCAAGGCAGCACACAAGACGACGTGTGTCCTGTTTGAAGCTGAAGTTGCGAGCTTGTGCGAGTTACCGTCATGGCGCCGCACAGTGGACATGGCAGAGCTACATGAAGCAATATCCTGGCCACATTTCCGACTTCAGGTGCGACTTTGGAGCGAAAATGAATGGCGTTAAGGACTGCCAAAGCTAGAGATCCACTAAGACCTGGGTGAAGGTGTGCTGTAAACACTGTGCTGAAGGAAGCCACAGAATACAATCTTGACCTGCGCCGTATGCCAAAAAATCTTGTCAATGCCAGCGAAATTTGGTTCGATATCGGTGGCCCAAGTAAGGAGCAGAATGCTTTGATGCGAATAAGGTGAAGACGAGGGCGCACTGAGATTATAGCGAACGCGACTCGTGGATCTGTCATTGCCAATCTCGCCATTGAGACAAGTCATGGTACAATCCCAAAGACCGAGTCTCCCTCAGTTGTCCATCGTGACATGCAGACAGTTTCCTACATGCTCCGACGCCACAGACGGGACGTGCATCATCCTCGAGAGTTCCATGGGACCTGCCAATCGCGATCTTCATATAGTGCGCCCAATCATGGTAGCAACATGCTCCATGTTGAAGCACCCGATGTGGTGGCAGTCTCTCCTGCTTCAGGCACGCCCTATAGGCAGATATGGTACTTGTTCCCACACCCAGTCCACGCGCTCAAATCTTCACACATCCTCGAATGCGTCATGCCATGTCTTTGCCCTCGCTCTTGCTCGGGCAATCATTCACTTCATCCTCACCATACTCTTCATCCTCTGCAACCAATTTCCCCACAGACTCCTGTTCGGCAACTCCTCCAACTCTCTTCGCAAGTTCTCATAATGTTTCGGATTACTCATCGGTTCCATCAACCGCTTCCCAGGTCGGAATTGTTTCGAGAAGCTATTCTCCAGCAAAAGATATGCAGCATTGACTTCGTTGTTCTCGTTCCTGACGTACGAAGAGGTGGCGGAAGGGGATGAGATAGCCTCGGACGTGACGCCTGCGGGACTTGCAGTGGGAGCAGCTTGCAGTCGGGGCTCGAGGATGATTTGCTGAAACGTCTTTTCGGGACGGAGAGCGTCTTTGGGCCAGCGGGCGAGGAGACGTGTGTAGTGGGAGACGATGTGCTGGAATTTGTTAGTGGTGTGCACATTTCGCGAAAGAGATGGAGGAGATGCGTACTTGACGAGACATGGTTGGCTATTGCAAAAACAGATGAGAATTGTTCCAAAGAACAGGATATGTCTCTCTAAAATGGAATGAATACATGCATGGACGCATGTCGACGGGAATGTTAGAACTAAGTACCTGGTAATCGCCGTCATGGATTGGCTATAGAATTTCGCATTCGTACCGAAGACCCCCGAAGTGCCCGATCATAGAAGTGGTCGACTACGGGAAATCGCGTGTTTCTTTGAGCATTTGTTGTATACAGCGATTATATACAACGTCTGGGTGTGGGAGTATATGATGAGAAGACAACGCATCTTGCGGGTATTTACTCAGGCTCCTCCCTCCTCATATGCCTTTCCACTAACCAGAAACTGCAGACAGCCTCAGTGTCGTCTCTCTGCATCTTCTGCGCCTGTCGACTGGGCGCCATTGACCTGCCAGCAGCCACTTCGGCTTCCTTCTCATCCTCTTCTTTACCATACTCGTCTCAACGACGGACCATCTCCAGTACACGATCTCCCTTTCAATCAGCTCCTCCGAGTCCTGCTCTTGAAAATGGCTCCGAATCAGCCAACCTTCCCCCGTGGTACGACCCGGATTCTTCACTCTCCATGTCGGAGCAAAAAGAAAAGGCCAATCGCATCTCATTGAAGCAGCAGTATGAGGATGAGCAAAATACTGCCGTGCAGGAGCGACTGTCGAAAGAGGAAGAGGCCAGGAATCGAGCAAAGCTGGAGAGTGTAACGAAGGGGAAAGCGGAGGGCGTTGCGAACAATGATTCGGCTAGGGAGGTAAAGATTGAGAAGGAAGCACCACGCCCGGCGAGTATGAGTGGGATAAGAACCTTTAAATTCGGCCCGTCAGAGTCGCAAAGTGCTGCCCAGGCGGCGGGAGGCATGACTTTGGGACAGGCTATGCTCGCAAATCGTCCACAGGCTCAAGGGCCCGTTTCGTTACCGCAGCATTCCAGAAATCGTAACAACGATAGCGATGGCTGGATGACCAATCGATTTCGAAGAGTCGTGATCCATCCCGAAGACTATGCAGAACCACAGTCCCAAAGCACCGACTCTCGCAACGTGAACCACGCGGACCGTCCACCTGTGCGAAAGAACGTGGCGGCAGAAAGAGGTCGCGACAAAAAGGGTTCAACGACAGTCAGAAATGTACCGCAGAGAGTGCCAAATCCATTTGGTGCTCCGGCTGCGACAGCAAAGTCTGCTGCTAAACCAACGTTTGGCTGGGGTGCTGGTAGCACAATAACGGCACCGCTGCCACATAGCCAGGGTCCAAAGGTGTATGTGGCGAGTGGGGTGCTGAAGCCGGGCGAGGCAGGCGAGGAAGCGGGTCCGAATTCGGATAACCAGGACGAGAGCGCGCAGAGAGTGCCTCGAGATGGCCACTACGCGAGTGCTAAGCCCAATGATAATGCGACAGAAGAGGTCCTCGGCTCGCAAGACCCGGGGACTGAGGTTTCTAGCCCAAAGTCCAGCAGCGGGGAAGGCAACGAGGGTGCAAGGAACACAGGCTTACAGAAAGAAGAGAGTGGAGGACAGACAGCAGAACAGCTGCAGCCTTCATCGACTGAGACTGGGGCCTCGGAAGCCTTCGATCATGGTGATTTCCTCAATCAATCAGGTTATACCGAATCACATGGTGCGGAACCACCGTCAGCATCAAGTATACCACAAGATTCAACATCTTCCTTGGAGGTTGGTGCGCCTGAAGCGCATGACCTTTCACCTGCCAACGAGCAGACACTGGTCGAACCACCTGCTATCTCTTATAGCAGCGAGCCGTCAGAGCCTCCACCAGGCACTGTCTCATCTGGCCGCTTTGAGGACGACGGAGAGCCTGCGCCGCAGCCGCAAAGACAACAGCCACCGCAGACCGAGCAGAGGCTGAAGAGCCTTGAGCAGCAAGAGCCATTGGACAGAAACCTTTTCGGTTCGTTTGAAAATGATGCAGAAGTCATCCCGGAGACAAGGCATGACGATCCGCCAGCTGCAAAGGATGCCAAGTCATCCCCTTTGGCACAGGAAGCACAGCAGGCGCAACAAACTCAGGAGAAGCATGCAGATCGCGGAGCAATTGATCGACATTCTTCGTCTTCCATATCTGCACGACCACAGCCACCTGCTGCACCTGTGGCGCCTTCTCCACCGCCCCCGCAATCAGCAGTCCCGACGCCGCCGCCGCCGCCAACAGTCTCACCGCCACCATCTTTCATGATTCCTGCAGGCGGACAGCTTGCTTGGCAGCCAATCGAGGGCCATACTCAAGGAGGTCAGTGGGTGTGGCAACCTTCACCTGCTCCTTCTTCTGCTCCACCAGCTATCGCTGCACAAGTAGCACCGCAGGTAAGCACGCAAATTGGACCAGATTTGTCGCAACGGTCAAATTACACTCCTCCAGTCCGTACGCCTGAAGTGCCCAGTATATCTCTTGGCGACAGCGGCTACAGAGCGACACCTTTCAGAGCAGACGAATACCAACCCCACTCCACCTTCGACGAGGGCACAGCAGCCAACTGGCAACATTTGCGCAAGAAAAATGATGAACCGATGCAGTCCCCGTCCCAGCCTGCTCTCTCCTCCAATCCTGCGCCACTTCCCCGACAGCAGACCAACTCACATATCAAATACGATGACGACTCATGGGTCGACAACATCTTTGACAATCATGTTCGCGAGCGAGAGGAGCGTTTGAAGGCCCAGAGCGCGCGACAGCAGCAACTGCAAGTACGGTCAGAGGGCCGCGAGGCGCCCGATCATATCCAGACCCGAGCGACTCAGCCGCCGTCCTTGCAGCAACCAGAAGGTCCACGCCGATTGTACGATGGTTCCGCGCAAGGCTATAGAGATTCTACGTGTGCAAGGTGTGGCGAAAAGGGCCATATTGCTCGCTTCTGCCAAAAGTCAGATATCAGTCCATTCGACCTGCCAAGCGATGGAAGTCGAAGCCGCAGTGCTCTTGGCAGCCGCCTCAAGAGCACTGACAGGGTAGGCAATCCTTTTGAGAACCGCGAACCTGAGCGAAGCAAAGCTCCTCGTGCAGCCTGGGGGTTTGGCCAAGGCCGCTCGACTGAGCGGGCATATGAGCCGAGTCGCGAGCCCAGATATGACTCCGTGAAGCGATTCGTGCCTGGTCCTGCTCCTGACAGCGGCCTGATGCAGCAGGATGAGTCAGCTGCATCGCACAGGTTCGAGCCTATAGGAGGGCGACGTTTGGAACGCGCGGGAGACGTTAACTATTCTCACTCGGACCGCGACGCTAGCGCTCACCATGCTCGCCGTTCGGACCGACTTGACGTCGACCAGGAAGGAGGCGAGAATGCACCCGCCCTAGACACTCGCCAGTTGCGCAGGAAAGCTGCCAGGAAGAGCAGATGGGCAGACGCTGAAGAAGATGAAGTTGTAGTGGAAAAGAGCAGAGGTGCTGGCCGCAAAGCTCAACGTGCTGGCAGACAGGAGTATGACGAAGACGAGGACGAGGAAGCTGAAGCTCGTGAGAGGTTTCGGGCCCGCAAGGCAGCTCGTCAAGCCGAGAAAGAGGCAAGAGAAGAAGAACGACGTAGGAGTGCTCGTCGCGAACGTGAAGTCAAGAAAGCCGAGGACGCCACGCCCATTGCCATACCTGAATTCGTCAGTGTTCAGCAGCTCTCGCAACTGCTGGGAGTCCGCTACGAGCAGTTCATTGAAAGTCTGCAAGATCTTGGCTATGATGATGTTTTTCCAGGCATGACGCTGAATTCCGAGACCAGTGGTATGATTGCCATGGAGTACAACTTTGACCCCACCATCGACACTGGCGTGCGCGAGGAAGAGGAGCGCGATCTCAAGCCCAGACCCGAGCTTGAAGATCAGCAGTTTCTGCCAACCCGACCTCCTGTTGTGACCATTATGGGTCACGTCGATCACGGCAAAACTACCATCCTGGACTATCTCCGCAAGTCATCAGTTGCAGCAGGAGAAGCTGGCGGCATCACTCAGCACATTGGTGCCTTTAGCGTTCCGATGGCAAGCAGCGGCACGACGATCACTTTCCTTGACACACCTGGACACGCAGCTTTCTTGGCCATGCGACAACGCGGTGCAAATGTGACAGACATTGTCATTTTGGTCGTAGCAGCCGACGATAGTGTCAAGCCACAGACTCTGGAAGCCATCAAGCACGCCAAAGCTGCCGGAGTGCCTATGATTGTCGCCATCAACAAGATCGACAAAGAGGAAGCTGATATCGAGCGCGTCAAGCAAGACCTTGCTCGTCATGGTGTCGAGATTGAAGACTATGGTGGTGAAACTCAAATCGTCCCTGTTTCTGGCAAGACTGGCAAAGGAATGGACGAACTTGAAGAAACCGTGGTCGCGCTGTCCGAGATTCTCGACCGCCGCGCAGAAATAGATGGGCCTGTGGAAGGATGGGTCCTCGAAGCCACTACCAAGGAGCGTGGACGCGTCGCCACAGTGCTTGTTCGTCGCGGGACTCTCAAACCAGGCGCGGTCATCGTCGCCGGTAAGACATGGGCGCGCGTCCGCACCTTGCGCAACGAAGGCGGCCGTGAGTTGAGTAAAGTAGGCCCTGGCATGCCTATCGAAGTCGATGGCTGGCGAGATCAGCCCATGGCCGGTGATGAAGTCCTTGAGGCCCCTACTGAGCAAAAGGCCACTTCCGTGACCGAATTCAGACAAGAGCTCGACGAAAGGCAAAGGGCTGCAGCTGATATGGAAGCTATCAATGAGTCCCGACGAAGAGCATCTGAACGCCAGCGAAAAGAACGCGAAGCCGCTGAAGCCATGAAACAAGCCCAACGAACTGCAAATGCTGAAGGTGGCACGGCAGATGTGTCCATCAAACCAGACAATCTCGATGCTCCTCAACAAGAACAAACGACAGGACAGATGGACGTCCCTTTCATCATCAAAGCCGACGTTTCCGGTTCCGCAGAGGCTGTCTCGACGTACATCTTGTCCGTCTCCAATCCTCTCATCGCTCCCTCTATCCTCCTCTCCCAAGTAGGCCCCATCCACGAAAGCGATATCGAACTCGCCGATGCTGCCGGGGCTCACATCATCGCTTTCAACTTACCTCCTGATCCCCAGATGCAAGGACAAGCTGAAGCACGGGGCATCAAGATCCTCGAGAACAATATCATCTATCGAGTCCTGGATGACGTAAAGGCTGTGCTAGAAGAGAAACTCCCCCCGATTGTCAGCCAACGCGTCTTAGGCGAAGCCGAAGTCAGCGCAGCATTCGAGATCAGCCTGGGAGGACGCAAGAAGATGATGATTGCCGGCTGCAAAGTGAGAAACGGTACGGTTGGTAAGGGGTCCCGAGTGAGGATCATGAGGGGAAGCGAGAAGATTTATGATGGTATGTTGGGACTTGCACCGCACCTACGACTTTGTTGTTGTTGATCTTACTGACCGAACTTTGTTCTTCTTAGGTTCCATCACGTCTCTCAAAAACGTCAAGAAAGACGTTACGGAGATGCGCAAGGGCACGGAATGTGGAATAGGATTTGATGGTTGGGAAGGGTTTGAAGTGGGAGATCAGGTCCAGACGTATGAAGTAATCAGTGAGAAGAGGAAGTTGTAAGAGCTACAGTATCACCTTCTGCAGCCCGGGGAGGGGATATACACATGTGTACAAACAAAGGATAAAAAGCGTGCATAGCGTGGGGATGGCATTTGTGTGTAGGATGTTTGGCCTACATCTGCAACATGGGGGGTTGGATAGAGGATGTGAAATAGGGCCATGTGAAATACGTATGCGTGTATATATACATACGGGACTGAGATGTGTTTGTTCGCCTTTTTTTGTATCAGACGGTCTCTGGAATATTGACGATAGAAAGAATCTCCGGGGTGGGTGCATGGTCGTTCTGTTCTTCTTTCCCCCCGGTTCATCAACCCACCCAATCCGAAAACCATACACCACCCCCAATCAACAACTCTTCTTCACAAACATCATCATCACCATTCCTCTCCTCCCTCTCCTTCTTCTTCATCATTGACTTCCTCCCCAAAAACTCCAACCTCACATCCCCAGGCAAAATCCCCCCATCCACAAAATCATGTCGTATCCAAGTCCAACGACAATAAAGACTCTCATCTCCTCCTCCTCCTCCTACCATTCGACGGAAAATCCAGATTGCGAGGAAAGATATGAAATTGCTTGGCCACCAGCACCACAGTAAAGAAGAGGGAAGAATCCACCAACGCCTCAGAGATGTGGATGGTGGTGGCTTGTTTTTATGGTCGAAAATAACAGTCCTAACATCGAGAACGTTGCCAGTTCGCGAGAGATGTGTTCGAAGGAATTGGCAAATTTGAGTTGCGGCGTGGTGGTCGGAGATGTGTATGAGGATGGAATTTTTGGTTGTGGAGAGGAGGAGGTGGTCGTCGTCGTCGTTATTATTATGATTATCATTATCATTTTGATTTTTATCAGCTAGAAGAAGTAGCTGCTGCTGCTGCTGCTGCTTGTTTTCTTCTTCTCCTCCTCCTCCTCCTCCTCGGAGTAAAAAGATCTTGGCTCGAGGGTATTTTGTCGCGTAGGAGATTTTCAATTCTTCGGCAGCGGCAGCGGTGGCATCACGCCATAGAGCTAGGATGATGGTGCTTGGATTAGGGGACATTGTCTTTTGTCTTTTTGGCTGGGGTGGTGGTGGAAGCAAGTTAGAAAGTCCCGGGGCGGGTTTGTATCTTTCTTCTTTTTCTTTTTCTTTACAGGAGAAGCAGACTCGTATAGGAGTTTTATTTTGCCTACTCCGGTTTCTATCTATCAATCTACCGGCGAAAAGGGAATATTTCCAACGGTAATGATGAATGAACAGCGTCGGTACCGCAGATGAAAGTCGAAGACGGAACACGGGTCTCCGCAACGAGTCCGGGAAGTTCATCTTTGGATAATTTTGTGCGTTGATGAATAGGCGAACGTGGCAGGTATGTATGTCTGGTGTAGTCTGTTTCTATGTCTGGCCGTTGGGTGATAGCCAGTGTTACTATTATTATTGTTGTTGTTGTTATTCATGATATATATATGGTGGTGGTACCTCCTAAATCCAATAGGAGAAGCTTCCGAAGGGGACAGGAGAATTGCAAATACTTTGGCCAAAGTGTCCCACCTCTTCTGTCGATCAATGTCACGCCCTGTCAACCTCACCTCGGCCTCATCCATCTCTTACTGCCCGACATCTTTCACATTTTCGGGTGCGATGCAGTCTCATCGATCATCTCTCGACGACCTCTTCACACACGCTCTCCTGAGAGCCCCTTGCTCACTGACGGCAGCGAAGATGAATCATACTACTTCACTTGGTCCATAAGATTCCCGGATCACTATTGCTGCACCACCATGAGCGGCAAGAAACCTGAAAGCAACAACAACAACACCTCCTGTTCCTCCTCCGGCTCAGGCCCAGGCTCAGCACGGAGGTCGGTCTTTGGCTTCTTCAAGAAACGGACTCCTCTCGTCCACGACAGCCACGAAATGTCGCTGGCATCGCCGAGCACCACCGCCGTCGCCAGCCTGTGCCGCCTCCCAACGGAGTTGTTGTTGATGATTGTGGCGGAGCTCTCATTCCCCGATCTGCTCCATTTGCGAGCGAGTTGTCGAGCAGCACAAGAACTGCTCTCACAAGGCGACTTGTTGCAAGAATGGATGCATCGCCAAACCTTGCCGCGCCATGAACTGGAACCCGGCGATCATGTCCGACTCTATATCCAATTATACCCTCCCACTAATGGCCAAACCCTCGAATATCTCTTGAATCAACACCGCCGAATATCGACCGCAGTGCTCTTAGCCACGCGACTCGATTCCTATGTCGAGCAATACGCGCAAACCCATCCGGGACTCTGGGTCCTCCGCGACGCCGCCACCGCCCCCTTCCCCGCCATCGTCTGCATGACATGTCCCGAGTACGCCGAAGTACAAGACAAGCTCGTCCCCTGTCTCCTCGTCATCCAACACTATCTCGAACACCTACGAAATAAACTCCACGACCTCGCCGAAGCACGATGGTCCGACACCAGCCTCATCTGGTCTCGCCTCCAAGAAGTCACTTTCCACACGTACAATCGCAAAGATGTCATTTCCGCCCACGAAGCCTTTCAAGTCCTCTGCTGGCTCATGGCCCGCCTTCTCGACCCTTCTTCGGATTTCCGCGCCCGCCGAATCGCTCTCCGCGGAGTGAACAAACGCTCCATTTCCGACCAAGATGTACGACAATTCGTCGTTTTGGGAAATCTTCGAGGTCTCGCAGAATTACTTTCTCCTTCACCTTCACCAACGCATCACCACCACCACAAGAAAATTCTATCTTCTTCTTCTACTTCTTCTACTTCTTCTTCTTCATCTTCTTCGTATTCATACTCCTACGAAGCTCGAGAGAAAATCGTCTTACGTCTAGTAAGAAGTCACGATCCGACACGAAATAAAAACTGGCTTCAAGCATGGTCGGGATATAGGCCCGAATATCGACCCATAGCACAATCGATTCCGACGACGGTGAATGTGTTAAATTTGCAATTTGGGTTTCAAGAGGTGTGGATGCGGAGTGCCGTGGAGTATTTGTCGAGACATAGATTATTGTTGCGAGGAGGAGGGGGAGGAGGAGGAGGGATGGATGCGTTGGTGGGATTGATGGAGGAGGATGAGAGGCCGAGTCGGAGGACGGTGGATGGATATACGGATATTGCGGGCTATCATATGGTGCAGGGTTCGCTGTTGTGAATTCTTTTTTTGTTCTACATCTTCTCTGCGACTATTATCGCTGGGCAGCTCTCTCTCTCTCTCTCTCTCTCTCTTTTTCTCTTGCATTGAAACACTCATCGCTACGACTACGCTATGCATGCCACAAAAACAACAATAATTATCAGTCAAACACCTCCTTTAATTCCCTTCCCAGTATTCCTTCGCCATGTGGTATATCCAGTCCCCCAATCCCTTTCATCTCATCTCATTCCAATTCAGTTCAATCCCATTCATACCATAAACATCAAACCCCACTCCTAAACCCCTTAACAACACCCTCCAACATCTTCAACCCATAAAATCGACTCACACTCTCGTAGACCTTCAATTCCCTCAAAATCTTCCCCCGGTCGACAGTCCCAACCCACTCGCCCGCACAAGCGCAATGCTCCATAAAATCATTCGTGCGCACGCGTTTGCATTTCTTGCACGTGAGATCCTGCGACATCCATTGGAGTGCGAGTTTGCTCACGTCGCTGAGAAGCCGCTCTTCGATGGCGAGAAAGTCGAATCGGTGAGAGCAGTTGTCGCATTGAGGGGATAAGATGATTTCGTTGTTGTTGTTGTTGCTGTTTGTGGGAAGGGCAAGGTCGGAGTCGCGGCAGAGGTCAATGTCCTTGGGGACACAGCATTGCGGACACGAGAGTTGTTTGATGCAGAGTGTGCTGCTGGGATTGCTAAATGTGCCTTCGGAGGAGAATTCGCGAATGTCGAAGAGATGCAAGAGATCCTTGCGGAGGAGCCGGGCTTCGAGGGAGATGGTTTTGTCGAGCGATAAGACTTGCATGAGGCTCTTGACCAGCTCTAGGACGGGATTCTGAGGATGGAGATGCGAGCCGGGCATGGTGGGGAATGTCCAGTCGCTGAAGAGTTCCTCGTGGAGAGACTCGGTCCGTTGACGCTTGATGAGATGTTGAATTTGCTTGTGAAGAGGCTTGGAGAACGTCTTTTGCAGAACCGTGCCAGGCGTGGTCTGATCGTCCTTTTCGGAGTTGAAGATGCTCGCGTGAATCGGCAACTGCGTTGCTCGAGGCGTGGCACCATTCATCAATCCAGCCGGGCGTTTGCGTCCATGCATGATTTCAATGTACTCTACAACCCACTGATTGAAGAAAGGCTGTAAGATTTCAGGCAGAAATGTGGCAATTTGCCAGTGCATGATCGTGTCGAGCGTCTGTTCGCTTTCTGCGACAACTTCGACACAACCTTTTCCGCCGTAGTTGAATTCATCGTACCACGCCAGGTAGTCCCAGTACTCTGTGATTGCGAGATCCAAGAAGTGGAACGCCGGCTTGGTGTTGATGGTTTTCAGAATGTATTCACTGTAGGCGAATGCATTCCCAACTTCAGCTTTGCTCGTTTGCAGTAACAGTCGTCCCGCATTGGCGAAGACGACATGCGAGCCTACGCGTCGGAATTCGGACATGAGCTGCTGAAACGCCTTTCTCGACATCGTTTGCACGTAGTAGTGCAAATTTCGGTCGTAGAGATGTGAAGACGGTGATTCTACCCAGCGGACAAGATGCTGTACGAGTGTATCAGCCATCGGGCACCCATCTGATGCACAGGCTTGTTGCCACCACGCCCGAACCATCTCTCGGAGTGCTCCAATGCCTGCAGAGGCGAATGCGTTCTCAGACTGAAGATTCTGCGCTGTGTCATCCAGTGCATCTTCTTGGGCTCCAGCACCAGAGACGCCAAGAGGATCGCCACTGGAGCCCTCTGCGTCGTTGAGGACAGCCGAGGAGAGAATCGTGTTGATAGCTAGGTTCTTGATGCTGAGGTCAATGCAGACGGATGAGTACGTTCCTGGGTTATTGACTGAGGGCATGTCCACTACCTCCATTCCCCCCAGAATGTCGTCTTTCTCGTGGCCAGCATGATCAGGTCTCGCATCTTCCGACCACCACAGGATGACTCTCTCTTTCTGCAGTCTGCGAGCATAGGCGATATCGATCAAGAATCGAGGATCGTCCATTTCCAGGTTGCATAGTGGTACATTTCCATATCGAGCAAACTCGAGGAGGTGACTGATCCAGGATCCAAGATCTAGGTAGTGACTGACGAGTCGCTTCGCAACAAAGGACTGCCAACCAAGCGGTGGAAGCTGTTTATCACTTTCATCTGCCTTGAGTCGGAGAGACGGAAAGTTTTGGAGTATGGGAAGACCATGCATCAGCATTATTGCTGAATGTGACTGTAACACAAGCATGATCGGTAGCGCTTCTTCTTTCTGCATTTTCTTGACTGCATCACCCAGCTCCTGGAATGCTCGTCGCTGCGTCGTGACTTGTACGGTCTTGAAATGGAGGCTCTCCTGATACTCCAGCGTAGCCTGCCATGGCTGGCCACCATTCTTCTCCAGCTTTCGTGCCAGCATTTCTTCGTAGATGCGATCCACATTGGGCATTCCTTGTTCACTTCGCGCACGGTTCAAGACCACAATCTTGACTTCTGCTTTCGTCGACGAGAAGAGTGCGTAGATTTGTCTCTCCCCAGCGGAGATGTGATAGAGAGCGAGATAGCTCAAGCTCGTCGACCCCATATATGGCTGCTTCGGAGGCACTGTTCTCAGGGTCGAGAGGTCGAACCCCTGCTCCAGACCTTTGCCCAGCACACCTCGCTGGCTTTCATCGAACGTGCAAACGCATCCGAGCTCGAGCATAGCACGGACATCAAGTGGCACATGTCTCTCGTATACGCCTTCCACGCTCGAGTGGTTAAAAAGCATGGACAGCTTCTCGGTCTCTTTGACATACACCTGCTCAGGCATAGTGAGCTTGAAAAGGTGCGTGCTGGGGTGACCGTTTGGCAGAGTGTGGTTCACAATCTTCTCGGCCTTCACGCCATCCACAGTGACATCTGGCAGTTCCTCGTCCTTGAGATTCAGGTATATCTGGCGCGGTACCACGACCTTCAACTGGTGCACTTTCTTATCGATGAGTATGAAAGCTCTGACTTCTCCCGGTGAGTCTGTTTCTCGCAACTGCAGGATTTGCCAGTCCGCTGTGTACAACAACTCTGCCTGGTTTCGAAAGAAGGTCCCAATCGCATCAGTTGCATCTTGTCTCTTTTCTCCAAAGAGTTGGCGTCTTCTCTTCCGAGCAGCCTTCTGGATCTTCCACTTCTTCTTCTGGTACTGTAGCCAGCCTACATAATCCTCTGTGATGCTGGGCATGACTGCGGGTAGACTGTCGTATGGATTGATTGTTGCTGGAAGTGTAGGCTCGTCTCGAATCTTCCTCTTCTGGCTCGCAACAGCCTTCGTGGCACTGCCTGGCTTGAACTTCGACAGTGCGGTTGAGCCAAAGTCTTCCATGTCACCACTCGATCGCACCGGTTGTCTGTTAGCATCGCGCTCCTTGAGTGCTTGCTTCTGGAACATGTCTGTCATCTTAGCTTGCTGAAACTTGTCTTCCTTCTGGGCGATTCTGCGGTTGAGCCAGTCTGGATGAGCCACGCGCGGCACTGGGTTCTTGATCTTTTGCAATGCAGCGGGAATAGTGATGAGCTTCTGAATTACAGACCCCAGACGCTCGAGGTAGTAGTCCCAATCAATCAAATCTCGGGGATCCATCGAACCAGGATCCTCCTTCATCCATTTCCGTAGGTAGTACCGCTTCACCGAGTCTTCGGCAGACAGGATCGCGACAGGTATGGCGCGCTCCGTAACTGGGGCGTTCTTTGGTCTCGATGAGATGATGTACTTGCAGTTCAAGCCTTTGTCCTTTACCATCTGTTCGCCCAAAAACTCTGCCAGCCGTTTCGCAGTCGTGATAGCAGTCGACTTCTGCGCGCCATACTCCTCGAGAGTTTTGGTCATGCTTTTGTTCTCGCAAATGAGGTCGATCAGCTCCTCGTCTGCCAGCATACTGCCGTGTGAATGCAGAACGTCGAGCCACTTGTTGGCAACCTTGGCGACAGCGCCATATGTCTCAGCAAGCGTCGAACCCTCCAAAAAGAACTTGAATATCTGTTGCTGGAAGATCTTGATCAGTCTCAACTCTCCACGTCGCTTGACCTCGAAACCCTTCAATTCCGCCAGTGATCCATCGTCATTGAAGACAGCATATCGCTTCTTTAAATTCCTGTCCTCATCCTTTGATGTAGGCAAGATCATGGCTCTATAAGGACCATCGACCTCGAAGAAGATCGTGTTATCGCTGTGCTTCTCATATTTGAACGTTGTCGGGTCTTTCAGTTCTTCGTATTGGTGGTTCGTAAAGCCAGCGTGGACCAGGTGATTCAGCATGGCGCAAGGGTACGATATAGCTAGCTTCTTGCCATTCTTCATTTTGAACGCAAAGTTCTCCGGAAATGTCGCGGGAAGAATACACCAAATACCATCAGTATCCAGTTCCAGAGGTCTACCGACACGCTCAACGATTTGACGTGCCATCTGGATAATTCGAGCTCCCGTTAAACAGGTGACACCTGCCATCTCCATGGAGTACCATCGCGAACCTTTACGCATGACGTATCCGTAGAATGAATTGAGAATGACTTTGTGGGCGAGTTGCAAGGAGTCGAAGAGCACGATCATCTTCTTCGCCTCGTCAATCTCGCCGGGTGCAGCCCCAGCCTTTTCAAGCTCAGAAGTCTTTCCTTTCCACACTTTCTGCTTGCCTTTAAAGTCATATCGACGATCACGGAAGTCCTTTACGGTGTCGACGTAGAAAGGATTTTCTCGCTGACAGATGATGGCTTCTCGCTCAATTGTCTTGGTCTCGTGGATCTTGTGATAAATCTTCTTACTGTAGTCGGTCAAGCGTTTGCGAACAAGACCAGCCTGCTCATCCAGGCTCAGATCCTGGAAAGCTCTAGCAGCACTGTCTGGGCCGAACTTTCCGGGAAACTTCTCGTTCTCGAGCGCATGTCGAATCATGTTGTATTCGTCTCGCTTGGCAGGCAAGAATTCACCTCGCCACGACCAGGGCATTCGTCTATCGCACGTCTTGCCAGGTCGATTGAAATCGCAAGCCGCACAATCTGCCTCGTCGACCATGCTGTCAGGCTGCAGTCGATTTGTCGTCATGATGTTCGGATACATGGATGCGACGTCCAAGTGATAGATGAGTGGTCGTTCGCTCCTGTTTGGCGTGGCTTTAAGCTGCATTAATCGATCAACAATCTGTGCTTTGATCTCCTCGTAATTCTCCACGTCGTCAAAATTCTTTTTTTCCTCAACTTCAATTGTGAAACGTAACGCAGCATCCAATCCTTCCAGAAGCTCGTCGATAGCTGTCGTGTCAATAGCAAAATTGTTGGGTATATCACTTCTGAAGACACCACACTCGATACTCTCGACGTGCCCGCCGACATATGTCTCCGACTCTAGTAGGTGGCCTTCCCAGAAGGACTCTCGGGCCTGCACGTGCTTGTTGGGCAGTACGATCTCCTTCTGGTATGCCTGGACCATGAGCAACATCTCGCAGAGGGTCCCTGTACCTTTCCGTAGCACGTCGTCTGGACCCAGCGGAATGATTGTGCACAGTGAGAAGATGAAAGGGTGCACATATTTCATATACAGATAGTAGGTTGCCACAGCATCGGAAACAGAGTACTCTGCGAGTGTTTGTGGTCGTTCCTGTGCGTATGGTGTCATAAGCTCCGGGTCGAGCTCGTCCGGATCGTAGCCTAGCTTTGCGACTGTGACTGCTTTCAGACCTCGGGATCCCTGCGGTAAGTAAGAGTCTCGACTGACCCAAGCAAAGGCGTCCATATGAGCGCAGTGCGTCGATTGGTAGACGTCTTCACTGTTCTTTCGAAATCCGATCTCCTGATACATGTCCATACCATGCACGCTCGCTCGTGCCTCAACAAATGGCCAATCGAAGAAGTCTCCGTTGTAAGTCACCATGACAGTAGGTCGTGCTTCTTTGATGCAGCTGAAGAAGCGCACTAGCACAGCCTCTTCGTTGGATTCGTTGAAGATCATGAACGGCCCTTCGAACTCTGGCTTCGGCGTATAGTCAAAGTCCTCGATATCTTCCGACACAATCTCGCGGTTCGTGATCAGAAATCCTTGCCCATCAATCATGTACGATATCATCATGATCTGATCGATGGCGGCATCTGGAAACTTTAATGGCAGCTTCGTCGTCTCAATATCATAAGCCATCACCACAGGATCCGCTCTCGTTAGTCGCTCCTCAAGACACTTCAGCTTGACATGCCCGTGCTTGGCTTCCACAGTGTACCACTTTCCTATTCGAATGTCCAGATCGATGGCAACTCGAACGTGGTAGGGCACGTCGTATTCCCGTATGTCCTGGATGAAGTCGCTGGCATCCGCAATGCCACCTGGTCGTCGGTCTCGTTCCAATTCGTGGTGATCCTCAAACAGGTCGAATCCAGCATTGGCACTTGCAACCTCTGCGTAAGTATCCATCGCTGAAACTTTGCTCTTGTTCTGCTCTGCGATAGGCAGAATCGTCCGCCGTACCGCCAGAAGATCATTAACATTTGCAAATAGCAGTTTCAAGAAGGGCCGTCGGTATCCTAGCAAATGATTCGGCATTTTCAAGTCCTCCTTTTCAACCCTCTCCACGCCCCGGACCTGCCCCTCGAAGCCTCTCCGTACCCACTCTTCTACCTCAGCCTCTCTCCCTTTTTTCACGCCGATGAGAAAGTAAGGCTGGTACTCCACACTCGCCTTGAACTGTTCCCCTTCGTCGCCTATGAAGTAGAAGTCCACCGCCGCTCTCCCACCAGGAACATTTTCGTCCTCGATTGCTGTACTGTGCATATTGAGCAGCCATCCCACACGCTTCTTCCCCGCGTCGAAGCGTTCGAATCCTTGAGATTCGTCGATTTTGTGCGCGAGCCGTGTGGCTTCTAGTCGTTCATTTTGTTGTGACTGTTCCGACGAACGTAGAGTCGAGGCATCGACCACGCGAACCTTGCCGGCTCTGAGAGTATTCGAGTTGTTGGCGCCGAACTTGGAACGGCCTTCTTTGCGGCGGACTGGCATTGTGAGGGAGTGTTGTGGTGTATGAAGCCGGAGTGGCTGTCGCGGTGTTAAACTATATAGTCATGGCGATCGTTATTCGTGTAAGTCGGACGGCCGTAATTTGTGTTCGAGAGAATGTGTCTTGTGTCTGTGAGTGTCGGGTGTATGTGTGTATGGTCGTCAAGGCAGAGTCAAGTCAAAGTCCAAAGTGGAGTGGTCCTCGCGTTAGTCGCGTTGCTTTGACGCGCCTTCGACGCGACATCCGTCGACCAATCGGGTAGTTCTAAGCGCGGCGAGGTTGGCCAAAACTTTCACATGCATCATCGATTCGCGCCTCTCACTTCATCTCTTTCCTCCTCCACTCACAGCAAATAATGGCAGACGATACGCGGCAATCGAACACTTCGCCCCAGGAGGATTTATCCAAGGAGGCTCTGACTGTTCATCCAGAGCATAGGCCTTTTTCCGGCTCACAATGGAAAGGAGATGCCGCAGCGCAAACCATCCAAGCTCCCGAGAGCGCGAATCTCATGCCCGGTGGCACACAGCACACTGCAGGAGGAAAGGAGCCCGAGTTTAATATTGCCAATGCAATAAAGACGGGGAGGCCCTTCACGGAGGTACACAAGGCACCGTGTGTCAGGGATAGTCTGCTTCAGGGAATTGGTGCAGGTACAGCAGTTGGCGCCACTAGGGCGATCTTTGGCAGTACGTTTTGTTGCCATATCACGTGTGATGGATCGGATGCTAATGTGTGGAATAGCGCCTGTGTTCAAAGCATGTAGCTGGGCTGTAGGGACCTGGGCCGGAGCATCCATACTTATGTACAACTACTGCCTGTACAAGCGACAAGCCGAGAAGCAAGGCATGATCAGAGCTATGGAAATCCTGGACAAAAAGAGAGTGGAGAAGCAGGCGAGAGAGGAAAGAAAGGCGGCATTAAGGGAAGAGAGGCGAATAGCCAAGGAGAAGGAGTTGGAAATGCAATATCAGGCTGCGAGTGACAAGCAGGGTGGCAAGGCGTGGTATAAGTTCTGGTGAACTGAACGAAACCTACCAGGTGTGAACCCCATTTGCGAATTGTACCATATCAAGGCCAACCGCGGGCCAGCTGGCGATACTAGATGCAATCACAGCTCTTTCAGGAAAAGATATCGAGGCATTTCGAAACACCCTCAGACCGTGCTAAAGCTGCCAGTGATGGGCTGTCCTTGCGCGTATGCTCAGGAAAAGGGAGGCCCCAACCGAGTGCCAAATTCCTCGCTGCATCATTTCAGGCTCGCGGTACAGAGTCCAAACGTTGGAATATTGTCTTAGGAAAGATATGGTCCTCTCCATTCTGAATCCAACGTTCCACGTCTCCAGCCGCAGGCGAAGACCGATATTGAGAAGGGCTGTGAGCGAACATAGCATGCGGGATGTAGTCCTTGTCGACTGATTGTAGAGATGAAGTCGGACGCGCGTGCGCACGTGCTTGACAGTAAGTTGGTGTGCCTTCCTACTTAGATGGTACATGTAGTGTGACTCTTTGCTCTCCTCTCGCTTCACTCATCAATCCTCACGCCGCACTTCTCTCTCTTCTCCCTTCTCTCTCCTCTCTTCCCACTCCCCACTCCTCACCCATCATTCCTTACCCATCGCTTCTTACCCATCGCTTCTTACCCATCACTTCTCACTCATCACTTCTCACTCATCACTTCTCACCCATCACTCCTCATCCATCATTTCTCACCCTTCCCTTCAGTGACTTCATTACCAAGAGTAGCACGTCTCTCGACTTCAACATCACGTCACTCGGGCGGCTGACAAGATCCACACCAGCATGTTTCCATTCAATATCCCGAGCCTGGCGAAGCTGAGCCACGCGTTGTCCAAGTTTCGATCTCGCAAGCACCAGCCAGCACAGAACCCCCCCGCTGACATTGTTCACCCATCGCCCAGACACAGCAGTCTTGGTAATTGGTACGTATACCAGTGACACCATCAATCATGGCATAGAACAGGCTAACAAGTGGCATCCCTGAACGACAGGAGCGCATCCAGCACGGCGTCTTTCGACCACCAGCAGCAGTCTCAGTTGATGAGCCTGCCTGCTGAACTGAGAAACAAGTGAGTCTCCCTCCAGTCGTCTCGTTTCGGTCACCAAGCATGCACTGACTGACCCACTGCGATTAGGATCTTCGAACTGGTGTTGCTCGAGCAGGAGAGTATCAATGTAACAGCCTCAGGCTACGAACGACCAGGTCTTCTGACGACGTGCAAGAAAATCGCCCACGAGACGACCGGCATGCTCTACAGCGGTCGTACCTTCCACTTTGACATCCAAGAGTTCGACACCAAGCCCCTACACGCCTTCATCCGCACCACCATGTCCGAGGCTCGATTCCCCCACCTCAACAGCATCCGCATCACCGTCGCCTCCTCCCTCAGCCCAAACTGGGCCAACTTACTGCAGTGGCTGGAAGGCTGCCACAACGGAACCTTCCAGCACGCGGCCGTCGATGGCGATGAAATCAGCACTCTACAGCGCCGGGACCAAGTCACGGGGGCCATCATTGCGGGCATGTTCTGCACAGCCCAGGGCCTCCGTGACCAAACACCTTGGCAGACTGTAGAGGACATCGTGAGCAAGCAACGAGTAAGCTTGATTGCCATCGACGGCCGCTGGGCGCGAGACTGCACCGCCTCTCCTCTCAACTGTCTCCATCGCAATTGCTACGCTACGCTTCTAAGCGCTCGATCCGCTCGAACCGCGCGTTAGCAGGGGGGACAGAGAATTTGTACACTGGCTGCGTTGCTCTTTCTGTTTTTTGGTTTTTTAACTGCGGCATCGAGGGGGAGGAGGCAGGCAGGCAGGCTACTCCTGTGCTCGCTCGAGATCTGTTTTTGTTGTTGTTGTTGTTGTTTTTGTTTTTGTTTTTGTTTTTTTTTTTCGCGGTGAAATTTCACAGGGCCAGATGACACCTACGCTCAGGGGGGAGAAAAGGGGGAAGGGGGGACCAACAGCTTCTGGAGGGAGAAAATTGCAGATGAGAGAGTACCGTATAAGAAACAATCATTTACACTCCCAAACTCGTATCTTGCAGACCCCTCAATACCTTGGCTAAGTAGGCTGTATTGAACTAACTGCTAATCGTTACACTCCCGGTCTTTTGTCGTGTCGTACTAGGTCTTGCGCTATGCCTATCCTACACCCCGCACAAAATCCTCATTCCTCTAATATGCAGACTGACTGACTGACTGACTAACCGACCAAAGCGCCAAGAGCTCAAAAATGCAACCCGCAGCTTGCTTCTCGCTCTCCTCTACTGCGGTTTCACCACCCTCGTCCCACGCTTTTCCACCTTCTCATTCAGAGCATTCAACACATCTTTCCTCCTCTGCGTTCTCGTCCGGAACGCCTCAATTTCCTGCTCCGTGACATCCACCATCTTCTTTCGCGCACTACCGCTCAAGCTACCCGTACTGCGCCCCAGGGCACTGGCTCGGAAACTCGGGCTGCCACGGATGCTCGCACTCGGCGGAGTTTGAAATCTGGTACTGACGCCGAACATGGCGCTCATACCGAGCGCATCACCGTTGGCCGCCATGCGAGGATACTTCTGTGGTGTGCGCCTTCTCCCGACGGATTCTGCGAGCGAAAGCAATTTGGAACCACCAAGGCGTGCTGCGAGATCTTCCTCGTAGTCGTCATCGAGGCGCAGAGCTCCCATGCCTCCAGGTAGACTTCTGATCTGGCTTTCCAGGTGGTCAATGTCTCCAGACTTTTGTTGGACCATGGCTGTCAGTTTCAGGATGGTGCGTTCCACCGCTTCGACGGTAGGTACAGGCGCCGCTTGACCCGATTTGGGGTTTTTGGATTGGAGGGAAGAGAGTTGGGCCCGGAGCATGGTGACCATTTGTTCTGCTTCGGAAAGAAGCTTCTGCACACTTTGTAGACGCGTACGAAGATCGCTCTGCTGGTGAAGAGTTTCGGCAGATAAGGGCGCAGCATCGCGTTCAGCGACTCTCGCGGGATCGGTGTGCTGTGCAATTTGTCGGCGCATCTCCACCGTTCTTGTCCGAGTCTTATTGATGTCCTCGTGTTCCTCCTTCAGCCTCGCTAGCAAGTCTGGAACATTGACGAGTTTGCCATTGGCTAACTGCTTATCAATGTGATCCATAACTTCGCTGAGCTCGCTCATCTCAGCCAAGGTCCAGGCGTCATCATCCTCCAAGTCTTTCACGCTTCGTTGGCCTGGTTTTCTCAGCTGCTTATGTCCCTCTATTAATGACTGCAACGAACGTCCGTTGAGACCGACTACGTCGACCATGGCATTGACATCTCGAAAGACAATCTCTATTTGTCCTCCAATGCCAGGGGTGTCTACACCAGCAACATAGTCTTGGTGAACGAAGAAATCCGGGATCTTTTTGGTGGGCTCGATTGGTGCTGCAAGCACCGCTTTGGCAGCAGCAGCTGCGTCGTCTGCGAGTTCGCCAAGCGTCGGTTCTTTCGGCTGCGGCGGCGGTGTAGGACGCTCGATAGGCGTAGCAAGTGGCACGCTTGTGACCTTGATCTGCGATGATGGTATTCTCAAAAAGTCGCTGGGTACAGGATTGGTGGCTGCACGCTGTTGTTGGATTCTACGCTGTGGGCTGGGCGAGCGAGGACTATCGCCCGTCTGCCTTGGACCAGTCGGCTGCAAGACCGGGCCCGGCGGAAGCTCCTTGGGCGTGTAGCTTGTGTCCGTCGACCCTGGCGTCGTCGTGCTAGCCTTCGTTTTGCTTGTCTCTGGCGATTTAGGAGCGGACTTTCCCAACCTTGATGCTTTCAAAGCTGCCTCCAATTTAGACCTTGCACCTGGTTCGTTCTGCTCTCGGGACTGTTCATGTGCACTCTCTTCTTCGGGCTCAGTCTCGAATTGGTCGGTTTCATCGTCCCCTTCCTCATCATTGGTCTCGATGGCGTCCGTCTCGTCGCCTTCGTCTTCGTCTCCTTCTCCTTCCTCGTCATCTGCTTCATCGTCATCAGCTTCTTCGTCCTCTTCTTCTTCATCGTCCCAAGCGACACTGCCATCATCTGTCGGACCACCAGCTTCAGAGCCAGCAGGCGAGAACGTCTCGCTATGAGTGATATTCTGAGGTGGACTACCTGCAATTGGAATGTCCTTAACTTCCTCCGATTGCGCAGCTGCCGCACCAGGAGTTGGGCCCATATCTGCCAATGCCTTTTTGTAATTGAAGCTCGACGGATCCGGTGGGAGAGGAGCCGCAGTAGCATCCTCTCGCGCCTCGATCGGCTTCGAAGGTGGCTGCGTCACACCGGGAGGTGGGGCCATGGCTGCCTGAGCCTTCTTGTAATTGAAAACGGTTGGATCCGGGGGCAGGCCAGATCCGTCATTGGCGGACGACTTTGATTCAGGAATGTCATTGAGAGCCATTGACTTTTCGGTTCCAGGCTCAGGTTTGACCTCAGATTTCTTAGCCTCCGCACCGGCCAAGAAGTCCGCGCCGAATAAGTCACCACCGGGATTCTTGGGCTTTGGAAGATCATCTTTGGCGGATCCATCTCCCACAAAACCTGAGCCGAGTTTGAACCCATCAAGTCCGGAAAGACCACTAGATGTGTTGGACAATGAAGAAGGGTTACCGAGGCTGGAGGGCTTTCCAAAGCTGCCTGTGCCCAGTGTCCCTGCAGAGCTCACGGCTGACTGCTGCGTGAAAGAAGGCTTGCCGAAGCTTGAGCTCGCAAATGAAGTGCCTGTGTTATTCGCGCCATTGCCAAAGGGAGACGCCGCAAATGGATTACTTGATTGGTTTCGTGCGGAAGAACCGAACGGGCTGGCCGCAGTGGCCTGCGCGCCACCGAAAGGGGTCTTGTTTGCAAACGCAGCAAAGCCCGACGACTTTGCACTTGGCTGAGTGAATGGGGACTGACCCGTCGTCGCAGTAGTACCACTTGGAGTGCCCCACACACTCGGTTTGGTCGACCCCATGCCGCCCACACTGCCAAATCCAGTGCCTCCGCCAATCTGTGAAGTGGAACCAAAAGTTGCTTTGCCTTGCGCGGCCCAGGCAGATCCTGCCGACGCTCCCAGTGTATTTGTCATGCCGAACGCAGGTTGGCCTTGTGCGGGCGCAACTGGCGTGTTGGGCTTGCCAAATGTAGTCTGACCAAAGGTCGAGGACGTCGAGGGAGGGTTCGTACTTATCGTGGTGGGCTGCCCGAACGTGCTTTGGCCGAATCCTGGAGCTGCAGGCTTGCTGAACAGGCTCCCTGAAGGGGAAGCGGGTGTCTCAGGCTTGGCACCAAACAAGCTCGATGCCATTGGTGTTGTTGTTTGTGCATGCTTTGTGCCGGATGCTTCAGCTGCCTTTTCTTCCGCAGTTTTATAATGGTCTGGGATATCCTCAGTTGCAATCTCGGTGCTTGCGAGATTTCGAAGTGATGGGTAATCCGTGTACGGCCCGGATGTATTGACCATGTTCGCATGTATGATCTCCTGCTCAACTGCAGATTTTGATACCACCCACCACATGCATAGCATACCATCTGTGGTCACTACGAAGAGACATGGTAGCGGCTTAGTCGCCTGCGGAAAGCGATCAATATCGTTGGGAATAGGTCGCGGTTCGAGCTCTTCAGCGCTGAAGTCTAATGCCATACCAATGGCAGATGATTCGTCCTCGCCTGAAATGCTCATAGGCAAAGTTATTTTCCGGTTCTCGTCCAGTGGGGCTGAAAGAGAGAAGCTCTGCTCGTTTTGCAGCTGAACAAAGGTCCCACCATCACTGCACGCTGTCGATACCACGACAAGAAGATCCTTCACCTGTGGATCCCAGGCTCCCACTCGTTGTATGAAGTGGTTGGCTGGCACTCGATCTTGTCCCTGCTGCGGTACCATGCATGGGTCCATGGAGGACTTGCTGAAGACAAAAGGACCATCCTTGCCATTCTTCTCTGCAATGAAGTAGACTGAATCGTGAACGAGCATGTCATCGGTATTGTCTGCGGAGAAGAAAGGCGTGTATACAATGAAGAACTTGTACGTCTCCAGCCAGTGTATGGCCGTTACTGGCATCTTCTGAGCTGACTGGTATTGATCGTCCTTGATTGATCGGAGTTGCGGTGGTGCTGGAATCTCTGCTTTCACAACACCCAGAGGATCGATCTGAGCACACGTCGAATCCTGTCGGCCGACCACGATTTGCTTCCCTTTCTTCGACCAGCATGCTGATACCACGTCCCTGTGGAAGACGACTCCACTTGCGCCTTGGACCATTTCCCGTTTTTGCAGATCTGCAACGACCAGTTGCCCGTTCGTCAATACCACTCCCACGAAATGCGCAGTTCCTGCTTCCTTGTTGGGATTTGGTAAGAGATGCCGTATGCCCGTGTTTTGCGTGCTGAGCTCGAACGCTGGATCCTTCCCTCCGCGGGTGAGCGCTTCTGTCTCATACACAGCGAGTCCTCCACCTTGCTCCGAAGCTATGATCAAACAGCTCTCATCGGCAGTAAATGCAACATGTGACAGTCGAGGTGCGGTCAGGGTGTTGAGCGCAGTGATTGGAAGGTATTTCTCATCTCCAGAGGCGCCATCCTTTCGCTTGGGAATGTACTGTTTCTGGCGCACTTGCTTGGTGCTCGCAATGATCAAGCTGTCGGGCCCTGCGACTGCTAGCAAGCCTTTCGTCGAAGCCACGCTCAGCAACGATGCCCAGGGGTGAGGAGGTGGACTCCACGCCGACGACACCCGCACTCTGTCGCCCGGCTTGCTCGCCACATCGTCTAAAGAGATCTCATCAGAAATGACCTCTCCCAGCTCTTCACCAGCTTGCGCCTGACTGCCCATATTCATCGTCGCGCCTCTCCCATCCACCGCAATGAGTTTGTCGTAGTCACAGTACTCGGAGTTGTCGTTGACTGGGTGGTCGATGTCGTCGCTGGCAATGGCGGTTTGGAGCTGTTCCGGCTGTTGTGGAGGTGATGAAGAGGACGGTGATGAGGTTGAACCGCGGAACGCTGCAGAAAACGAGCGGACCTGCACTGGAGGCAGATTGAAAACAGGATGGAGGACGGGTCGAAAGGAAGACAGCGTGATGATGGGGCCAGGACGAGCGCGAGAGGCAGCGCTAGGCAGACGCAAGGGAAAGGGTTTCCAAAGTATTTATTCACTTTGGTTGTCCAAACAGCTGATATCGCGTCGGAGCTACTAGGTACCTTAGGTAAGCGGGTAGTTCCCGTTGATGCTATGACCGCGCCTCGACGAGGGAAGTCGTGGGACAGTAGTGGATGAAAAAGCCGCGGTTGTGACACGGTCGATGGGATGATGACAATATCCGCGGGGAATGTTATAGCATACCTACCTCTATAATTTGGACTATGTCCATATGCGCAGCAGAGTTGATTTAAGTGTACCTTAGAGGTACTCGAGTGTTATTGCAGTGTCACGTATAACACACTGACTTGTGCCTCCTTTGCTCAGCTTGGGCTTACCTAAGGTGGTCCTACGCTAGTTACGCGCGACGGGACGTGAGCTTCATCATCGCCAGCTGCCTCCACATGAGACAGAGAGAGAGAGACATCTAGAGAGACATCTCAGGAACAGAGAACCCACTTCACAACCACAACCACCCACCTCCTCACACAGTCCTCGAATACTACCAGCACCATCTATAGACAACGCGCTCGAGCCTCGAGACAAGTCGACAAGATGCCCGGCTTCGACTTCAGCAACCACAACAGAAACATCGCCCTGCACGCCGCCGGTGTCCCTCTGCCCAAGGCCACTTCCACTGGTACCACCATCGTCGGCGCTCTCTACGATGGCGGCGTCGTCATTGCCGCGGATACTAGAGCCACCAGCGGGCCCATTGTCGCTGACAAGGTACCATCATCGCCATCAACTATCCCATGACAAGCCACTTCCTGAACCCGCATACTAATCCTTTGTGGTGGCATAGAACTGCGAGAAACTCCACTACATCTCACCGCAAATCTGGTGCGCCGGCGCCGGAACTGCAGCAGACACCGAATTCACCACCGCCCTCATCTCCTCCAACCTCGAACTGCACGCTCTCTCGACCGGCCGCAAACCCCGCGTTGTGACCGTCATGACCATGCTGAAACAACATCTCTTCCGCCATCAAGGACACATTGGCGCCTACCTAGTCGTCGCAGGCTGCGATCCCACTGGCTCACACCTCTTCACAGTGCACGCACACGGATCCACGGATAAGCTACCCTACGTGACCATGGGATCAGGTTCTCTCGCAGCCATGAGTGTGTTTGAGACGCAATGGAAGCCAGACATGAACAAGGACGAGGCCGTCAAATTGTGCGCTGATGCAATTGAGGCTGGTATCTGGAACGATTTGGGGTCGGGAAGCAACGTGGATGTGTGCGTCATTACCAAGGAGAAGACCACGTTGATGAGAAATTTCAAGACACCCAACGTCCGAGGGCAGAAGGAGAGAAACTACAAGTTCCAGAGAGGCACGACTGCCGTGCTGAACGAGAAGGTCATCACAAAGGAGGAGATTAGCAAGTACGTGACGGTGCAAGATATTGGTGACGGAGAGTCTGGTATTGCGGAGAAGATGGAGGTGGATGATTCGTAGTCTAAAGTACCCGTTCCAGAGAGTGGGCGAGATCTGGGTAAAGGGAACAAGACGGAATGTGCCCCAGCTGAAGAGCTCAGCCGAGATCACTGTACCAATATGGCGTTTAGGCGCCACACCACACAACCACATGCATTGCACGCATAGATAGCCCGAGGCTGTACTCAATGAACATGTTATGACCTTTGGCCACTGTTTTGGCAAGCCCATTTCCTCAACCCGCATGAAAGAAAAACTTGCAAGTCGAAGTAAGAGGGGGTTTCAATGAGAGGTTTTGATGGGCAAGTTGAACCCAATTTTCTTGTTACACTATACATTAAACAATCATTCAATTCATATCTATTTGCTCCACCAGTACCCGTTGGCGCCTTTGATCTTTCCATTCATCTTCTTGCCATGACCATTCATATGGCCATGCGTGATCGGATGCCCATTAGAACTAGCGGGTCCGTACTCCTGTGGCTTCTTGTCCACGGTCAAGAGCTGCCACAACTCGCCAATCGTGATTCGCTTGACCGGGAGCATGCTATATTGGAGACTGTATAAATTCTTGCGATGTATCGGCGGTACGAACTGGCCGGACACGAGGCAGAGAAACACCCTCGGAGAGAGGTAGTGTTTGCGAAGTCGCTGGCCCAATTGTGCGTATTGTGTAAATGTCTGCGAGAGGGGTAGAGGAATCGACTAGAATCACATCAGTGCATGCTCGAACGAGACTGAAACGGACGTGGTACCTTGAGCTTAATGTAAGAGGTCTGTGCCAGTCTCATCGGCTTCTCGGAAACATCAGATGCTGAAATCAAAGCGCGAGGGGTATCTTGTAATTCAAATCGAATGCCACCGGGCAGGCGCCGGGAGTCTTTGATGCGGAGCATTAGAGCGAACAGCGGAAAGTGATTTAAACATGCCAACCAAGTGTCGAGCGCTGCTTTGAGAGCAATAATGGCGATCCTTGCACCGGCGAACGTCGCATAGAACACGGCTACTGTTGGCAGCAGGAAGAACAGTAACGTGAACAAGATGGTGCCGAGCAGGAGCTGATCGAGGTCGTAGTCGCAGCTGTCAATGCGATTGCGCAATATATTCCGCTTCTTGCCGCGGAAGAGATGAAAGAGCGAGATGATGATGGTGAGCTGCCAGTTGTAGATCCGCGCTGATGCAATGTAAAAGCAGTAGATGTGCATTGTAAGGAGTGACAGCAAGTCCGAGAACATGGAAATTGGCAAACTGGCTCCGACGAAGCTAGTGACACCGATGATTCGTATCACATATGGTAGCGCTGGTCGCAGCTCAACCATGCATCCATTCCAGTAATCGATCACCCACAAGAACAAGTCACCGAGGAACTTGGCGAGTTCATTGTTCAACTTCAGGCCAGCAGGGTAGTCCATCAGCCACGTCAGCATCTGCTGAAGGCCAGCCACAGAGTACTCTGTCATTGTATTGTCGAGCAGATATGCAACGTAGTCCACGTTTTCCACGATATAAGAGCCCAGGGCGATGCCAATGATCACATCGTTTGCCACAAGCCACAGGCTGTTGAAGAACCGAATGTAATCGGGATGGCTGTTTGTGATGCTTTCCCAATCATTGCGCCTCCTGTTGAGAGTGACATATTGATCGGGCCAGTAGCAAAATTGTTGCAGCCGAATGTCTACCTGCTGCGCAGTAGCCGAGATGTCCTTGAGCGCGGCACGGCGGAAAGGTCGCCAGTCCAGAAAGAGAAGCAGACACTCTGCTGTAACTCGTAGAATCATCAAGTAAAGAACGCACGCCTGTCTCAGAAACGGCCAGATGTGATACCAAAATAGGTTCCTCGTCTCTAGCTGGACGAAGTCCCTGAAGTTAGTAGCCGACTCCACAACCCTCTCCCCAACACTCATGGCTCTCTTCATCCTCACACCAACCATGCTGATATTCGACTGCATCAAAGCATCGAGCTCGGCCGAGCAGTTGATCTGCACGATGATTGTGTTCAAAGCCATCTCCTTCTCTGTGCGTGGACGTTGAATGACACTGTGCTGCTTGAGTTTTTCCACCAGCTTGGCTTTCCTCTTTCTAGCATCGCTTTCATCCTTGTCGATCCTGTCGAAGGGGGGTACGCCGCCATATATGCTTCGCTTGTCCAACAACGCAAGTGATATTGGGCACAGCGACAAGTACTGCATTCGTCTTGGATCTGGCCGGTCAAACATGACGATTTGAAAAGTGATAGCCGTGTTCTCGTAGTACTCCAGTCGTGGCATAGCGCTCTTCGGAACGGTATGTAGTGATAGCATCTTCGGGTCAAAGTGGTTCGTGGTGGACGGACCCGCATTGAGCGTTCCTAGGACTTGTAAATGCTGGTTGCCACAATGAGCTGCAAGCTTGTCGATTGAATGTGGACTACCGCGAAACAGTGATCTCATGCGCAAGGCATAGTCTACGTTGCGAGGCTGTCATTTATTGTCAGCATGCTTCACACGGCTTCGGATAAAGATCCCAGCTTCACCTCCACGCCCTGCAGGACGCCCACGACCAGCACGTCGAGATCTGAATTTCTCCATCCTACGAGCACTCCCGGAATATCGTCTCTTGGCGCATCAGAGGGCCAGAATACGCGCATCAACCCATAGTTGCGGGTGGTCATGCTCCCATTGCGGGAGCCGCTGTGTCCAGGCGTATTCTCAGAACGAGCCTCGCCGTCTCAGCTGCTCCCGCGCTGATATTCCCGCGTCTGGTGTTCGTGGGTGCTGGAGCTTTCGATTAGACCAATGTCTGCGTGTGGTGTACACACCTGGGAGACTGACTAGCTCGGTTTCTCGTGCGGCAATGCGCTCGACGGGTATCAGGACGGCAACGAAGAAGATGGACAGGATCGCGAACCCTTTCGCAGCGCGTGTCTACAGGGCATGTGGTCAGCCAGGGTCACGTCGCACTGACAGCTGTGTCGGCCCATACGATAACTCCGTGATCCCAGGCGAATATGGCAAGCTCATACAAGCGTGTAACGAGATCCCAGCGCGCGGTGATGTAGCCAGCTAAGAAGATCCCAAACGTGAGGACTGAGACGGGGTGCATATGGCGATGGGATCATGCTCGAGGACGCGGCGATGGCGGAGGTGGAGGTGTGCTATCTGGAGGCAGGAGGAGGAGGTGGGTGTCGTGGTCGTCGTGAGGCGGCGGAGGTCGTGGTGGCGGCGTTGTTTCCACTTGCGACCTTACAGCATCAAGCGAAGTGCTCGAGAGGGCGGAAGCGGAGGCATGATGAGGGCGCCTGGTAGGTTCTTCCTGTCATGGAGTGAGTTTCCACGTGGAAGGAGTGGAGAGAACTAGAGTTCATAGAGTAGAACTAGTCGGCCCGCAACACCGACGGCTCACGGCCGCAGCAGTTGCTGTACTAGTTCTGCCTTGGTACCTTAGCGACTTATCGATAGAACTACCTCTCCTAGCAGTACCTAGCACCTAACTTCTGTCTAGCCCCAGCAGTCCTGGGCATCACACGACAAGTGGTCGCGTATATACCTACCTGACCTAACCTAATATATGTAATACCACCACGCCACTTCGGAAGCCAGCCCCTCCTCCCCGAGGCAAGCGATGGTCGTCTGCAAATTCTTCCAGCAAGGGCGATGCAGATATGGAGGTAGGAACGATCGAGGGACGCGAGATGGATGAGCGCACATGCTAATTCAAGTCTACCGGTCTGCTTCTCTCCGGCCCCAGACAGCTGCCACAATGAGCACCCGCAAGCGAATCGATTTGCTCCACTTGCCAACCAGGGAGGAAGCGGCGCTTTTGGCTCGAGAGGCCGCGTGAATGGCAATGGTACGTTCACTTCCACTTCCACTTCCACTTGGGATCACCCCAACATCATGGAGAAGAAGCGAACTGACGGCCATGTATGTAGCGGAGGATAATCCCTTTTTCCTGCTCTCAGAGGACATCCGCTGGGATTTGACTTGGCGTCGCGACAATGAGAAGGGCGAACGGCCTCTCTATCCCTTCGGTGCATATGGACCCGGGAAGGGCGCCCCAAAACAGCTGATTGAAGGCGAGCTCGAGCTAAGTCCAGAAGAGCTCCGAGTGCAGGCATATCTCGCTAATGCTAATGGGCAATTACCGCAATTCGTGAGTACGGTCATACTCGTCTCAGTAGGTATAAACGCTGATGTGGAGTGCAGCAAGCGCAATATGCTCAACTAGAAAACTTGATGAACACTAAAGTGCAAAACATCCTTCAAAATACCGAAGATGCGAGACGATTTGCTGGCGACACATCACATCCAAATCGAAACGACAGCAATATCAAACCTGCGGGCGGAACTTGGCCTTACAGACTGGGACAGACTCAGAGCAGCTCATCTAGCGGATTTGGGATGAGCGCGCAGCCTTCGCAGCCTTCGAGTGCTTTTGGCGCAGCGTCGAGACCGGGATTTGGAAGTGCATCTCAGCCAGCGTTTGGAGCGCCATCAATGCCAAGCAGCGGAAGCGCCTTTGGTGCGCCTTCGGCAGGAGCTGGAGGCTTTGGTGCACCGTCAGCGTTAGGGTCCAAACCTTCGCCGTTCGGTACAGGTGCAAGCGCAGCACCCAGTACGGGGTTCGGTGCTCCTTCTGCGCTTGGCTCAAAGCCGAGTCCTTTTGGAGCTACTCAACAGGCGGCGAGTCCTTTTGGAGCTCCTCAACAGGCAGCGAGTGGCTTTGGAGCGCCATCGGCAATAGGTGCGAGGCCATCCGCGTTTGGAGCACCACAGCAACCTGCCAGTGGCGGGTTCGGCGCACCTTCCCAGCCGGCATTTGGCTCAAGTGGCTTTGGCAGCAGTGCAGCACGACCTGCTGCAAACCCTTTCGCAGCTCCAGCTGCACAGTCGGGCGGCGGTTTTGGGAGCCAACAGCCAGCACCACAAACGAATAGCTCGCCATTCGGCGGCAGCCAACAACAGCAAGCCCAGACAGCAGGCTCAGCTTTCGGCGCACCATCAGCTTTTGGTGCGGCTCGACCTTCGGCGTTCGCCACGGCGGCACAGCAGCAACAACCGCAGACAGGGCTGAATAGACCCAGTCCATTTGCGGCAACTACATCAACTTTCGGCGCCACCAGTCTGGGTGCAGGCGCGCCGCAAAGTGCAGGGACCCCGCAAGCCGGGACGCCTACCACATGGAAAGGGCATCGTGTCGTCAGAGATGAGAAGCTCGACACACCAGGATATGTCGTCCAAGATGCTACCGCTCCCAACGGGCAAGGCATAGAGCGTATATGGTTTCTATCCGGCCCACCTGACATATCCGAGAAGCTGAATGCAATGACGGAGGCACCTGCTGCAGTGTATGAAGATCCCGCAATAGGGCCGAAGTTGAAAGAGATATACGAGTGGACTGCTCAGCATGGAACCTTTGTCAAGGATGGAGCAATCATGATGCCTGAAATACCGCCCAAGAGGGAGTGGTGCACGTTTGAATTTTAGAAATTACATTGAGAAGCACCTAGGTTGCTGTACGAGTAGAGAAGATCTTGATGCCTGCAAAGGCGTAAAACTACGATGAATCCACATGCATGACCCATCTTTTAGTCTCACGTGGAACTACATTCCTGGCGAACATGATCCCCAAAGGTATACCTCAAGTCTTTCTCTTTCCATCACTCTCCCTCGTTCAGGGCAGCTCCCAGGTATGTACCTTACCTTAGGTAGGTAGTTGAGATAGCATACCTACCTGTAAGTACATACCTACCTTAAGGTGGGTACCTTGAGGTACTTGATCCACACGTTATTATACAGTATGTACTTTACTCACATCTCGAATCACTCAGGTACTTACCTTACCTGGTATACTACTACATGCACTTACTGGCTTGGAACAGCATCAGCATCACATTCAAAGAAACAGGAATATGGTAGTAGTGTCCACGCGCATGAGATGAGAGAAAAAACAAGTCATTCCTTTGCACACACACTCACACACTACACAGCAGAGAGAGTCCTAATAAAAAACCCTCTTCAAAAAAAAGGGGGTCCCAGGCGCTGAGGAATGATGATGAAAACAAATCGCTTGCGGGCGCTATGAGAGAAAAACCACCATCCATCCATCCCTACCTCCCTCTTTCCTTTGAACTCCATGCATTAATCGTATCGTCAAATAGTCAAATGGGTATGTGCGTGCTGTGGTTCGTTCAGACTGCTTGGGCAGGTGTCTCGTTTTCTGCTACGATTGCAACACCGAGACCTCGGTCTGGCGATGACCGGACCAGAGCTTCTTGCCGTCGTGCCTTGAGGAAGTCGCTCACAGCTCGGATCAGGATGAACCATCCCACGATCATGAGACCATACGATAGCCAGTCTGTAGTGCTGAGACCCACAGAGCCGGGAGTACTGTCACCTCCTGTAACTTGGCCAGGGTCAAAATCATGCGAGTTTGGATCGTCCGGTACCCCATCTGTTGGTGCTCCAGGAGAGGAATCGGATTGACCTCCGCCTATTGTGCTCGCGTATCGCATTTGGAATCCATACTGCACCAGGGTAATGCCGAGGCCTGCTCGAGATCCATGCTTGGCTGCTTGGGTTGTGTGTAAAAGGTAGGTGAGCAAGAATCCGATCAACTGGAAGGACATCGATATCAGAGCATTCCAGATGAAGCTGAATATGCTGCCGACTAATAGGCCATCAACAAATACATCATCAGGGTTACCAGTCATGTTGTACGGCGAGAGCACGGTTGTCTCCCAGTACGGTGGCGTGGCATCGGCGGCAGCCTGTTCGTATGTCGGCGGTTTCTCCTCAACATCATCTCCAGCTCGAGGCTTCGCGTTTAGGTTCGCCCACACTCCATCATTTTGTCCGCCACCCACTACACGACCATTTGAAGAACCAGGAGCGGCTGCAGGTGTAGGTGCTGGCGCGGGCACATAGGACGGGATCTCGGTTACCACCCGTTGTGGTGCTTCGGGTCTCCTCGTTGGCGGCGCTGGCCCTGATGGCACCTCCTGGCCTGTAATCAATCGCCTTCGATCGCGCGTGTCATCATCGTCGTCCTCGTCGTCGGAAGGTGCACCGAATGCATCGTCGAGTTCGCGCTCGTCCTCGATGGAGTGATTGTCTCGTGACGGTCGCCTGGATGAGGTGTGAGAACGGAACGACGGCGGTGGCGAATCAGGAATTGCTATTGGCGCGTGAGACCCGGCATAATCATCGTCGTCTACTGCTGCGACCTGTACGGCAACCATATCAGCATATCGTCCTCTGGCGGCGTCACCACGGGGGTAACTACACGGGCGCATACGTACTCGCTCGTAGCGTTGCGAGCTCATGGCTCCCGCACTGCTGTCGTCGTTGATTACCAGTGGGCGTGGTGACTCCCCGGTGGTATTATGTAGAGTGTGTAGGTAGTAGTGCTGGTGGCGGTGAAAGGCTGTTGTTGAAGTCGTAACGATGGCGATCTTAGGTGACGAGGCGCAGTCACGCAGAGGAGATGACCGAGATGAGCTGCAGTGTTGCCTGAGCGGGTAGTGAAACTCTATCGCCCGGTGCCTTGCTAATCGTTCGATTAGTCAGCCCCACGTGCACGCTCTTTTGAGCAATTTTTCGGACAACGTCGACCAATTCCTTTGTCCTTTGCAACTTGGGACACCGACACAAAGACAAAAAGACATTGGAGAAAGGGGGCCCGGGCCAGCCACAGTCACGGAATTATTGCCAAGCACGAGTACGGGCACCATGGACGACGACGATATCCTGTACGCCATATTCCCGATGTCCTTCACCATGTCCCATCACTCACATGACCAGCGAATTGCCTGCGGACACTCTCCAGCTACTGGCGCAATTCCATGCAGACCGCGATGCGAAGGCTAAGGAGTTCGAGAATCTCAAGACGAAGGCGGAGAGCGCGTTCGAAAATGGCTCTGGCAAGCTTAGTATGGACCTATTCGGCGAGGACTGGAATGCCAGTCAGTTCTGGTACACGGATCATACTGCCGAAGTACTTGCACGGCAGCTGTTAGAGGACGCTACAGAATCCTCTGCGATTGCGGTAGTGTCTGCACCCAGCGTGTACGTTGCACTGCGGAACATCCTTGCCGAGCAGGTAACAGCGACCAGGCCAAAGTTGTGCCTCCTAGAGTTCGACCGGCGGTTCGAGGTCGTTGGCTCAGACTTTGAGTTCTACGATTTCCAGAACCCGCTACGTCTGCCGGCAAGCTTGAAGGGTCAGTTTGATCGCATCATTTGTGATCCACCATTTCTGTCTGAGGACTGTCAGACCAAAACTGCTCTGACCGCTCGATTTCTGGCGAAAACATGGTCTCCTTCATCTGAACAGGTACTGCGGTTCATTTCATGCACCGGCGAGAGGATGGAAAGTAACATTCTTCGGCTATACCAAACAATCGGCGTGAAGACGACTACCTTTGAACCAGAGCACAGCAAAGGTCTGAGTAACGAATTTAGGTGCTACTCCAACTTCGAGTGTGATGTCTGGAAGTGGCGTGACATTCAGTGATAACCATGTTCAAGCATGTGCGATCAAATCTGTATCTCTGCGAATAGTCACACTCTGGTCAGTCGATCCTGAAGAGTTCACGATGCAGCCAGGCGCCTTCCACATCGACGCGCGATCAGGGTCAGTGCCGGTGCCAGGACCCGATCTCGCACAATCACTCTTCGATGCTCCAGTGTGGGCTGCCTATCCACATCTCGCGCAAGCCAAGGACCTGAGGAGGTGCGCCACTTTAATCAAAATCCATGCGATCGTCTCGCAGCCTATATTGTGCGGCACAGCTGGTGCAAACGACCTGCTATTCCAGGTCTATTCGCGCGGCGTCGTGTAGGATGTGCCATTTGCTGCAATTTTGACTGGCAAACCTATGTGGCCCCATATGCCATACCCGCCGACATGCACGCAAAGACAGGCGCAATGGAGCAGCGGTGCATGAAAAGCCGTAGCAACATGTGAGCGGGCGCCAGCAAAGAGTATTTGACGCATAATTACAATCAACGTCGTGTAGCGCACGATAGATGCAGCATCAGTCTAGCATACTGCATCAGAGCCCTGTACATCGATCGGAAGCAATTTGCCCAGTAATTACTGTGCCGTTACCCGGAACACGTAAGTCGTGGGAAGATCGAGTGCTGCAGTCTCTTTTCGTCGCTTCCGAGTGCCTGGAAGCGAAAGTGGAATATATCGGTCCATGAACACCAGATTCATCGCCATCCGTCCTTCGCACCGAGAATCACATAGCAGAAGCCATCGCTGACGCGCGCATGATCATTCTATCACCAGTATCCGGCAACTATAGGCCCCCCACGATGCTCGCTCTGCAATAGTCCCACGTCCAGGTCCACCTGATATAACGGGCAGTGCACGCGCAAGTCCGCCGCATGCACTGTGGCCGCAATCCTTACACTAAGCAAATCCCAGTTCTGTCGAATGACCGACCGACCGACCCTCAGTGGATATTCGGCTGTGCAACCACGGCTGTCATCAATCTTTTCTCGCTAAGGTAGCTACGGGACGGAGACCCAGCAATCCCGTGCCGCAAAGAACCACGCCGTGGCCTCTCGTGCATATGGCACCACCAAAATGCAATAATAGGAGATAGGGCTTCCAGAGCTGCTGCTGCTGCTGCTGCCGAAGGATAACGCCTCATCATGATGAACGTGACGCGCCACCACCAATAAAAGTCCGCTCAGAGAGAGATGCACCCTTCCACGTCTAAGAAAAATCTCTGTGAATACTTCAGGGGCTATTCAACAGCCTTCAGGCATCGTGGACTACAGGCAGACAGAGAATCTGTAGCTAGCTAGCTACGGGTCATTCCGGTCTGAAGTTCAGACAGCTATAGTGAACAATGTCTGTGCGTCGTACTCCAATTGGCAGGTCGTCGTCACAATGTAACTCTCGACCTGCAGTCTTTCGGTGAACCGATCGATCCTCAGCCGAGACGGGTAGGCTCTGTCGGCCCGGCAGGCAAGCAAGCAGCAAAAAAACAATGCATATATGTAGCTGCTGCAGGGTGTATTCCCCCTTTCTCTGTTTCTCCATTTCTTTTCTTGCTAGGGTGAGCAAAAGCATTAGCGGGAGAGCCAAGAAATACAAATACCTACCCTACCTTACCTTACCTTATGCAGTATTGTATGTGGGTATGTACCTTATGTATGTACGTACAAAGCGGGGGAAAAGGGGGATGAGAGGGCTGTGGTGTGGTGTGGTGTGGTGGGCTCTACGTACCTTGACCTACCTACCTTAGGTACATGGAGCTATTGGAAATGTGTGTGGGAGTGTGTAAGTGTGTGTGTATCATACCCGGCACGTGGAGACCACACGTCACACGGGGGTGATACAGGTAAGGTATAGGTGGGTGGGTAGGTAAGGTAGGTAGGTAGCGATGGTGACAGCTGTACAGGTATCGACCGACACCTTTTTCCATTTCTGATAGCGGGAATTTCGGGCAAGATGAGATTTCTATCATTATTGAAACGTTTTTGATGGTATACAATTTGATAGAGACTGAAAACCCAAGAAGAAAATTTCATGGTTTTCACTGGTTTATTTTGCACTATTCTGTTTTCTTCTTCTTTCATGCTTTGAAACATAAAAATACCTAGGTAGATAGATCCCTTTTACGTACCTCATTACCCAAGTATTGCAAACGACCAAACGACCCATAAAAATGATCATTCGCCGCATCGAAAATTGCATGGACCCCCTCCACCCCCAGTTTCAAGTTGACGCCAGACACCATCATCGTCCATAAGGGTTTATCAAGCAAAAGCCACCGCGCTATCTTTACGAATCTATCGCTTTTATTCTCAGTAGCTGTCGATAACCGAGATCGGGATTGAGATTAACTGTTTAGCAACGAACCTGACTTCCATTGACGATGATTGGACCCGCTAAAGATCTCGATGGCGGGCTGTTTGCAGTGCTCGTCGGCGGGGCGTCAATCGCCACTCGGCTCTTATCTTCCCTGACATTGAGCCGCATGCTCATGAATACCTTCTTGTGGAAGAGCTCAATGGCTTTTTGAGCCTCGGCTGCTGATGTGTACTGAATGGTACAGTTGCCTTTGGACTTTTTGGTCGATGCATCCATGCGGAGATCTGCCACTTTGACGATTTGGCCCGCTTCGCAGAAGTGTGCTTTGATGTCTTTTTCACTGGCTCGGTAGTTCAGACCGGATACGAAGACTCCTCGTGCTTCTGTCCGAATGGTGCCTTGCCGGACATTTACTGGTAGGCCTGCGGCATTGCCTGTGTAGACGGAAGGTCGTGTGTTCATTGGTACCATTTGCTGTTGTTGTTGCCTGAGGTATCCTTGCCGAAATTGGCCGATGTGAACGGGGTCCCTTGGATTCAGGCCCATTGCGGACATCGCAGCAATAATCTGCTCCTGGGTTGGTTGCTGTTGCGGAAGTGGTTGCATGGGAGCCGGCATTGCGTTGACCACCTGAGACGAGGGATAGTTGCTCATTGGTGGAATTGGATATGCTCGAGGATCGGCCATGGGCGATGGAGGCATCACTCTTTGCCAATCAGACGCCATTGCCATCTGGAAGAAGCGGGTGCCTTGCGAGCTAATGTTTGGGGGATGAGTCGGCGAACCGGCCTCGCAGTTGCATGCTTTGAACTGTGCAGGCATGGCGGTGATGTCCCAGAGATGTACTTTGAGTTGCCTACCCTCATGGCGACCTTCAGTCAGGTACTCTGGTACAAGCGTCAGTATTTGCATGCATTCGAGAAGCTATCAAGTCAGGCGGAACTCACTGTAAAGTCGAATAGCTTCATCTGTTCTTTGCACTCTGGCATGACCTGTGCCAGCTGCCGACCCGTTCGCGTAGACGGCCATTTCGGTCCATACGCCATGAGCAGCTTGTTGTCGGATCAGGTCTTTGAGATCCTGCCATGTGAAGCGTTTGGGAAGCTGCATGACAGTCAGCGATGGAGCGATGGCGACATCTCCACACAACTCACTCCTTCGATATGTAGAAAATAAGGCCCTTTATTCCGCTGCCCACCCGGAGCCATAGCTGAAGCAGACATGATATACAAAAAACCACCACAGTAATGAATTGGAACGAAACCGGTGCAGTCAGGTCCGCGCTATTAAGGTCACGTCGGATCACTAGTCAAGTATGAAGGTATGATGAGGGTGAACGTAGATGGCAAAGCACTGAGGTATACAATTGAGAGTATGCTTTGCAGAGAGAGGGATAGGGAGGGAGGGAGGAAGTGAGATAGTCTGCAAACACGAGGCGAGAGTTGCTCCTTTAAACGCTCTCGAGAAGCAGGAGAGCTCTGTGATGAATCCAATATTAGCTGTTCACATCTCGCCAACGACAACTATGAGCCGGCGTGCAGCACTGATACAGTGGCGCAGGACCAGCTGTACGGCACTTGTTGAGGAGCGTTCGGGCCCGATATGTGTATGCGAGCGAGTGCAATATATGTCCTGGGTATGGAGTCTGGACGTTCTATTCGGATCTAGCGCAGGTTGGCAAAGGTATGAACCCTGGGCGCTGCGTCTTACATCAGACACATTGTAGCATCTATAGGACGACGCCATGTGAAAGCGCGGGTATGGCTGCATCTCGAAGCGCGCTGCATGGACTAGTATGTGGATCCCGGGTGCCCCGAAGGACATAAGTAGCAGATACATGTAGCCCGTCTACACCGTTCGCGTAGGAGCAGCAGAACAACCACGTACATGTGTCCTTGCAGATAGACGCACAATCAAAATCGAATTTCCACGTACGGATCGTCTGTGGCGCCCACGCCTCCCCCTTCACAGAGGTCTGGTACAGCCAGCAGGCGAGATGATGAGATGCCTAGTCGAGTTAGATCAGCGCATCAATCACTTTCGATCTGTCCAGCTCTCAGGGTTCAGGGTCTTCGATGGCCCGCGTCGAGATCGAGTGGAGCGCCGCGCTTTCCAGGTGTTCGGAACCAGCAACGTGGCCGGCGTGCCGCACGTTCGGCCTGATTTCTCTTCCTGCGTGCCGTGCCGAGCGGATGGCCGCATCGAATCGTGCGTGGCGGCTGGGCTGGCCGTCTCGTGGCAGTATCGTGCGTGCAGCGTGGACTGCGTCTGCAGCTCTGGGAGGGTGTGGACGCGCTTGGCCGGTCGACACAGGCAAAGAGGAGATGTGCTCCGATTCGAGGAAGCGTCCAGCGCCCACAGCCGTGAGGGGCGGAGACTCACGATCGGCTGGTCATCCGCAGCTGACGCCGTGCTACATGGGCTCGATGGAGGCGTACTGGTGTACACTCTCGGACGGTAGCATGGCGAATGTGCTCACCAGGTTGTAGAGAGTGTGGGCCTTGGCAGATTCGCGAGGTGATCGGGGCATGTGCACTGTGTGAAGGTGGAGCGAGCGCAACGGCGGCGCGACGAGTGAGGTTCGATTTGAGGTGGCAGAGTTTCGCTTGCGGTGCACCATGCGGATAGCCGCACTAGGCTGGATCAGGTAAGCGTGGCACAGGTACGGATATGCCGCGTCTCCGTCTTCCCACTTCGATCCACAATTCCCAGATGCATTATTGACTGTGAACATCTGGCCATACTGTGCCGTTCGAACAGCGCATTGCCAATGCCACGACACGCTTCCAGACACGATAATGGACGATGCCTGGTTCCACACTTTGACTGCAGCGGCTCGGGACAAGCCATCACAGCATACGCGGAGAGCTTCACTGCTGCAACAGCCTGTAAGCCGCCCAGCGCCTATGAGATCGGCCGTTCTGATCGCTAGCTAGGCTGAAGAGAAAGCTGATGTGGCGACAGAGCCCATTCAGGAAGTAAGCGAGGACGACGATGCCTGGAGCGGGCCTCCGAGAGCATCATGTGCTCGCAGAGCCCAAAGCTACAGCGACTTCTACCACCGTGTGCAAGGGGACAATGAGAAGGAGGGTCATCGAGAACGACACAACAGTCTGGATACATCCCATCCCGTTGTACTGCCCCAGTGCGCGGAGTTGGACTTCGCGGCCGAGTACGATGCCATAGAGGAGCTCTTGATGAATGAGAGTCATGCCGAGTATCAGGCATATCTGGAGCAGCTAGAGCTCTCCGATGGGCACTTGGACAATCTGTTAGTCTCCACAACGAGTACTTTGGATCTCTTGTCTGCCTTGTCAGACTCGTTTCAAGCCGTCGCGGTGCAGACGGAAGCATTTCGACAGCAGTGCGAAGACATCGTGCTCGAGCAGCGCCGGTTGACAGGTCTGGCAGACGCCATTGACGAGAATGCTCAATACTATGCGTATCTGGAGCCCATGACACGGAGACTGAACGCGCCTGGTGCTTCGAACCTCGTGAAAGGTAAAGATTTCTTGGAAATGTTGTCGAACCTGGATAATTGTCTGGCGTACATGGAGTTGCATCCCACACACAAGGAATCTGCCACTTACCGGAGCAGATATCGGCTGCTGCTCACGAGGGGTCTGACCCTCATTCGTCATCATTTTACAAAATCATTAGGAGAGATTGCAGCAGATATTAGCAAGCGCATACATGGCGGGCAGCTCAAAGAGACTACCCACTCTACCATTCTATACGCGAAGTTTCGCGCTCCTGCTCCGGAGCTCAAGGCCCTTGGCTTGGAAATACAGAAACGAGCCGTACCTACTCCAGACGACGTGGACGCCGGCCGAGAACCAGAATATCTCAGCCTACTTCGTGAATTGTACCAGTCGTACTCGGCAACGAGAGGAAGGTTGATCTTGCCCTTGGTCGCAAAGAAGATGGCTGATCTCGCTGCGGATCCGCAACATGTCGACGTGCTGTCTTTTGCGAAGTCAAGTCTTAGCTACGTGCGAGGGATATGCTTAGATGAGCATGATTTGTGGTTCGAATGGTTCGAAACCGAAGGGGCTCTGTACGACTTTCTGGAAAGTCTACTGGAACCAATGTACGATTATTTGCGACCAAGGACAATCCACGAAACGAGGATGGAGAAGCTATGTGACCTCTGCGCGATGATTCAAGGTCGCTACATGGATGTGGACTCTGAGGAAGATGACGATACCGAAAGCTCGGCCGCGAGCCCTTCAACGAGTGGTCGACAATTGGGTCGCAAGCTTGATTTTGGCAACCTCATTCACCCCGCGCTCGAGGATGCACAGACCAGATTGGTGTTCCTTGCCTTGAACGTACTCCGCGACAGTATAGAGAACTACAAGCCCAAAGCAGAAGATCTCGAGGTCTCGCCGCGAGCAGCCATCACAGGGATCAATGGCGCCAAAAAAGGACCTGTTCTTTCTGGCAAGAGGCAACCTTCAACGCCGTCAACGCCTATTCCCAAAACACCGGCAGTAGTAGACGAAGACATTGATGATGGCGAGAGCATGTTCAGCAAGCGTTTTGCAGTCGAGACTTCGACACCCAGCATCAGGCACTGGTATCCCACGCTACGCAAGGCAGTATGGCTTCTGCGCCGCATCTACCGTCTTGTCAACAGTACAGTATTCGATGACTTGGCGCACCGCATCGTGCATTCCACGATCGCGTCGCTGATATACGCTGGCCAACAAGTTAGTTCCAAGAGGACGCCGCAAGATGGGCAACTGTTCCTCATCATCCACCTTCTCCATCTCAAGCAGCAGATTGTGGCATTTGACATTGAGTTCATTCCGCCCGAGGTTGAATTCGACTTCTCATCTGTCACAAACACGTTCTACGAACTGCGCGATCGTGGCAGTCTATGGAATCCTGCATCATGGGTACGCCTGGTCGGAGGCGCTGTGGGAGGTGGTTTACTGCCACGGGTTGTGGAGAACATGCTAGATGCGAAAGCAGAGCTCGATGGCCGCCTTCGCACAGTGATCAATGACTTTGTCAAGGGCTATGCTAGTCACATCACTGCTCCTGTTGAAGGTGTCGCGGTGGCACAAGCGCAGGAGAAGAAGGAGTTTGATGGTGTCAAGGCTGTTCGGACCGTTCGTGGTCTAGCGGAGAAAGATGTCCCTGCGCTACGAGAAAAGTTGGAAGAGTTTGTTGATGATGCCAGAACGAGAGAGACGCTGGTCGCTGCAGTTCGCGACCAAGTCATCATGAGCTATGAGGAATTCTTTGACAATTATAGTGAAGGGAGAGGTAAGAAGTTGAGTCGGAAGGGCAAGGGACGGGAGGATGAGGTCTGGGGACCCGACTTGTTCAACGATGCCATGGAGAAGGTCTTTCAGGTTGGACAAGTCGTAGGCGAGGACAATGATAGTGTGGGCAGCGGTGGCATCAGTGATTGAGTAGAGCACATTCTGTGAACATCTGCCCTATTCAGTATGTGTCAGTCAGCGAGACGGGCATGAAACAAGGATATCCTTATACAGAAATGGTGATTGCGATGATGACGGGAGGCTCGGTACTGTAGTAGCACGTGGCATCGATCATCGGAGTGTCGGACCTGTTTCATGTCACCAACAGTCGTCCTCTCCATCGGATTGGACGGTATGCAGTTCAGATGAGCGCGTCAACGGTAGTGCATGATCGGTATTACTGTGGGTGTGAAATCTGAGCCGACTAGCGGGGAGCGTGAGGCATTATTATTACTACATGTGTCGCTCGAAACGAAGGGGTTACCGGTGGTGGTTCGGGAGTGTTGCAAAAGAGGCTGTGCCTCAAACCACCGGTAGTATAGAACGAGAGACACTGGTGACTGAGCCAGCTGAGCTTGGGATGCGTGCCGCGACACTAAGGTCAGATAGTTATAATTACCATCTTCCCAAGACAGCAGCACCGCCGCCGTTGGGGCGTGCAGATATAGATGCGATTGTTCTCTAGTCTTGCTTCTTTGCACGAGTTGTACTGACTCTGGCGCCCACCCCATCGGAATAGCCCACCCACAAGACACGCCGACCACTGCATTATATTAATCTTGCCGCAGGCGGGAGGTGAGTTGCCTGGTGCGAATACGTCAGCTACGCACGTGCGAGATGAGCTTCACTGCACGTCGCCTGTCATTCATTCATTCATTGTTCACGGTAGGAGTACAATAGAACTCCCTCCTCACGGGGCCCGCCTCTGCCTCTGCCTCTGCCATCCACGTCCACCTCCACTCGATGCGCATATCACTCACCTCGCCTGCCTACTGCACACGCGACAAGCCTCTGGTCTGCTACTAGACGGCCGGCTGACGCGCGTCCCAGGACCAGACAGACTCCTCGCGAACTGAATGCGAGCGAGACAAGACCAGCGGAGCGAGCAAGGTTACTATAAGCACTACTGAACCGCTACCGCCGACCACTGCCCTGCCAGTTTCCCAGTGTGACAGTGTGCCAGTGTGCCAGTGTGCCAGTGTGTCTGCGTAACCGCCTGTCGACATGGCAAACGGCGCGAGCGACCACAATCAAATGGGCGCGACCTTCGTGCCCGGGGGCAACGACGATTTCTATATGCCTCCCGCCAGCCCGCCGCTGGTGCAGCCCGAACCACAACGAGTCAATCCGGAAATGCAGAACCAAATCAGCGTGGGCTTGCACAACCTCGAACTGGGGCCCCACCTCTCGCCCTTTCCGAAACTCGTCAATCCGGGCCCGAACGTGCCTCCCTCCGACGAAGAGCTCGAAACGCGGCTCGAGAATGCCCGAATGCCAGTCCTCAACTCGAATGACCCGGAGATGCAGCTGGCATGGGCAGCCGATGTGCTCATGTATGCTGTGGTGTGTGAAGAGGAGGCAGACCGAGTGGCGTCCATGAAGCCGCATATCGCGCGGCCGGCGACCCCGAGAATCGAACACCAGCTCAAGACGGACGCCATGAACATTGTGACCTTCTTGGCCGATCAATACCACCCCCGAGCCGAGTTCCTGCGAGGCATGTGGCTGGAACGTGGCCATTTTGGGCAGAGACAGGACAAGAGGGAAGCCTTTCACAGCTACAACCGCGCCGCAGACAAACACTTTGCGCGCGCTGATTACAGGATTGGGATGATGCATGAATCGTACAACGATCCCGTCAAGGCATTGCGGCACTATCATAAGGGTGTGGCCGCTGGGGACGCCGCCTCGTGCTACAGAGTAGGTATGATGACTCTCCGAGGGCAGCACGGTCAACAGCAAGACTACACGAAAGGGATTTCACTGATCAGGCAATCTGCCGAGTGTGCGGATGAGAATGCTCCCCAGGGTGCATACGTATACGGCATGCTGCTTGCAAGACAGTTGCCACAGATTGATTTACCGGATTCCTATCTACCATTTGACGAAGCTGCCGCCAAATTCTACATCGAGAAGGCAGCAAGCCTGAAGTTTGCCAAAGCACAGGCAAAAATGGGGTCAGCATACGAGCTGGGATCTCTCGGCTGTGAATTCAATCCAGCTCTATCGATGCACTACAATGCTTTGGCTTCGAAGCAAGGCGAGCCGGATGCGGACATGGCGCTCAGCAAGTGGTTCTTAGTTGGCTCAGAAGGATTGTTCGCCAAGAATGAAGAACTGGCATATACCTATGCTGAACGAGCCGCGGCGACTGGACTTCCTACTGCTGAGTTTGCCCTGGGGTACTTTAACGAGATCGGTATGTACGTGCCAGTCAACCTGGAGAAGGCCCTGGAGTGGTACGAGAAAGCTGCGAAGCACGGCAATCAAGATGCAGGGGGGCGGATTGAAGGCCTGAAGAGGAAAGAGGTGCTTAACAGACAGGACCACGAAAAGGTCGCACTGAACAGAATCCGCTCTACGCATGGATCCATGCGTGGGCAGCAGCCAGAAAGCTTGCGGTCCAAGCAGGACTCTGGTCTCGGTGCTGTCACTGAGACCTACCAACCTTACAGCAATGGTGCTAGAGCAGTACAGTCACCAGGCACGAGCACAACCCCATACCCGGCTCATGATGGGCCACCGAGGACAGAGACTCGATCGAAGTCTGTAGCCCCGTATCCTATGGCGGATGGGCCTCCTCAAATCGGCGGTGGCATGTTTAGTACGTCACAGCCTTCCTTGCTGGCAAACGTCAACGCAGCACTTTACGATCGACCTAGCTCTGCCTTCCAAATCAATCCGGAAATCCTTCAAGGCTCAGCACCCGGCACTAAGGCATACCCTGGCGGGCCTCGACCTTATCCTTCTGGAAATATGGCATCTGCTCAGTCACGTTCCCACACAGCACAGCCACAAGCTTTGGATCAGCGTCAATCTTCTGCCCCTGCTGGGTCCATGAACGGGCAGCCTATGCATCCCAACGACCCTCGTGGAAGACCGACAGTAAACACTCGGATCGCGTCCGGGCCACCGAACCTGCAGTCGCATCCGATGAGTCCGACGCCAGCGCCTGGTCAGCTTCAGCACCCGCAAACAGCACCTCAACCATCCCAGCCGCCTGTAGGCCTTGGGTACCAAGCACCATATACCGAGCGACCACAGACAGTTGATCCTACGTGGCGCGACAAATCCGAGCCGCGACGAGGAAGGAACGCGCGTCCAGCACAAGAAAGTAGATATCGACCTGCCGCTGGAAATGGCAAGTTACCTACTGCCGGCGGTACGCCCCTGGGACGTGGTGGTGGCAAGACATCAACACCACCACAAAATCAGAGTCCTGCGCGACCGGGTAGCGACTCTACCACACCCAAACCTGCTGCCGAAGGTTTGAGTGCACCCAAGCCACCTAAGAAGGGACCTCAGACTTTTGACGAAATGGGCGTTCCTGCGCATAATCAGGACAAGGACTGTGTAAGTATACGGGTTCTATATTTGTTTCTCGTAATACTTGTACTAACGTGTTGGGTAGGTTGTTATGTAATCGGATACTTCTTTGATACCAGAAAGACAGGACAGAACTGGAAGTGTAATACAGCGAGGCGTTTTGTGGATCTGAAAGGCGCTAATATGTCGAAATTTGCATGATGAGGCTAAAAGCATAGCATAGTGAGCATGCCTACCTATTTGAACCAATGTGATAATGGCTATGAACGTGACAGATTTGGTCTCGATTGATATCAGTCAGAAGTGAGGAATAACCCAGGGGCGAATTTGAAGACGAAGAAGATAAATCAGCTAGACACACAGTCACGATAGGCGACGTAGTAAAATATCCTTTTCAGTCTCGCCAGTCCCGTGATTATTGTATTACCTATTCGTCAAGCACAAGGTCTCGTGGCGATGATATGTCTGGGATGGGGAGTCGCAAAGGCATTAGTCCCAACAGAGAAGCTTGGCGGCGGATCGGGCCTTCCATAATTCCGATACGCACAGCGCCACAAGCTTTCTCGTGCCACACTCGACATGTACCGTACTCTGCCTCACATCGTCACTCGACATCTTCCCAGAGCAGTCGGGAAGGCCAGCACGATGGAGTCGCTCACGCCCACCGCGTTGCAGCGCTGGAGTTGCCAAGACAGGCAGCTGCCCCCCGTCGACTCAATCAAGGCAATTCACGTCTATGATTTCGACAATACTTGTAGGCCGATTGGCAGCCACGCTCGCGCAAAGAGAGCGTAAACAACTAATCTCCCGCAGTATTCAAATCCCCCCTCCCCAACCGAACCCTCTGGAACATAGGCACATGCGGCTCGCTCCAGGCGCAGGAGTTTCTGCACAATGGCGGCTGGTGGCACAATCCTGCCATCCTGGCTGCCACGGGCGAAGGACTCGAGAAAGAGGAGGCGCGCGCATGGGAAGGCTGTTGGAACGAGAAGATTGTCGAGCTCGTGCAGCTCTCGATGCAGGAGATGGATGCTCTCTCTGTGCTGCTCACCGGCAGGCAGGAGGCGGGATTTGGGGACTTGATCGGCCGCATGCTAGCCGCCAAGGGCCTGGCGTTCGACATGGTCTGTCTGAAGCCTCTCAGCAGCCCGACGGGCGAGGTGTTCGGCAGCACCATGATGTTCAAGCAGGCGCTGCTGACGGATATCGTTCTCACCTACCATCAAGCAGAGGAACTGCGCATCTACGAGGACAGACCGAAGCACACCAAGGCATTCAGAGACTTCTTCACCAACTTCAATAAATCGCTCATGACGGCAAAGCCTACTGTCCAGATGCCGGTGCCGCGCCAGCCCATCGTAGCTGAAGTCATTCAAGTCACAGAGCAGGATAGCTTCATGGACCCAGTCGCCGAGGTGACGGAGATCCAACGAATGGTGAATTCACACAACCGAGCAATCTTGGACGGCACTGCTCCCAAGACTGCAGTACCATACAAGATCAAGCGCTCTGTCTTTTATACCGGGTACATCATTCAGCAAGCAGACTGCGACCGGCTCCGATCACTCGTGAAGCCGCCTGCAAACTGCCCAGAGCATGAGCTCAAGTACCTGGCCAACAACATTCTCATCACGCCGCGGCCTGCTCCGCATAGTATTCTGAACAAAGTCGGCGGTATGGGTGCGAAGATGACCTGGAAGGTGACCGGTCTGGCCATCTACGGAGAGCGGGTTTGGGCTGCACGGGTTGCGCCGATACCGTCCGATGCCAAAGTGTACACGGAAAACACCACTCCTTGCGTAGTCCTGGCAACAAGACGACAAGCGAAACCTATCGAGGCAAGTCGGATACAGAACTGGCAGCCTGTACCAGATCACCAGGCCTTTGAATTTGAGACTACAGTTGGTGAGAAGTGCCTCCTACGGATAGAGCAAGAATACCCCAATGAAGATGAGTACGAAGCGAGCTTTCCGAACGCTAAGAATGCGAAGAAACACCCTCGCGAAGAAGACTATTCGCCTTCGGGCTCAGGCCGCCCCAATTGGAATAAGCCTCCTCGCACTCAAGGTGGTCGTGGCAACTATGGGAACAATCGCAATGATGGTTCTTGGGCACCTCGGAATCCAAGTGGCGGTGGAAACTATGGTACCGCAACTCGTGGTGGAGCCAGTGACAATCGTGGCGCCCGAGGCGGTCGTGGTGGCTTCAGTGCTGCACGAGGCCGTCGCGATAGGGACAGTGGTCATCGTGGAGGCGGCAACAACCGAGGAGGAAGAGGCGGCGGTGGTCGTGGAGGGTACAAGAGCCTTGACGACAACGTCGGCCAGGGGTACGGAAGTGGTGGCATGCAATACTGATTGTCAAGCGAGACGTTTGCATGGACTGGAGGAGACGACGGACCATTGTCACGCTCGGTGGAGCACTGCATGGCGGCTGCTAGCTCGGAACGGACAGAGTGGGCGAGGAGTGGCTCCATACAGGAACATAGAACGGTCCGCCTCATGACAGACAGCATGCGGGTCTTGGCAGCGGAACGTGTTTATTAGCGAGGTGCTGGGGCGTTCTCCGATCACGACTGCGTGACTTTTGGCTATGTAAGTAGCCGTAGTACATGTAGCCAGCTGAATTTCGTCTCTTTACACATGTACCAACAGATTTGCTTACCTTGTTGCACACTCACAATTTGATTTTGTATGCGGAGTCAATGTAGATGAACAACAGCTCTACCGGTACATATATATAAAATTTTTCTGAGCGAGCCCGAGTCTTCTCTACTCTCCTGAGGTACGCTTCTATGTACATAATTATCATCATCCTGCCCTCTTCAATACTTAATCCTCGATCCTCGATTTCTTGGGTCTTTTGTCTGTCAATTGTCTCTCAGGTTTGGTACAGACTCGACCCTTTTCTCTCTCTCGACCTTTTTCTCTCTCAGGACTTTTTCTCTCTCGGGATTTTTCTCTCGATTTCTTTCTTTTCCATCTCCAGTCCATCCATCGGTCCATCAGTCACCACACCATATGTTAGGCTGAGGTCGTTCGGTCTAGATAGTACCTATGTGTGTAAGTGTTATTGAATAATGTACCTTCTTCCATCTTTGCGTTCTTGCTTCTTGCTTGCCTCTTTCTTCCTTCTTCCCATCTTCCCATCTTTCTCTCTCTCTTTCTGCTTGCTATTTTCCTCTGCGCGTAGGCTTGAGTTGATTCGCCTGTTGGGTTGGTTGGCCTTATGGGTTGGCAGACCTAATATTGGGTCTATTGGCCTGTTGTTTGGTTGGGTTGGGTTGGGTTTACGCATCACGCCGGCTACATGTAGCTACCTGAGCTTTTTCTTCTCTCTCGGCTGTTGCATCACCTGGGTACAGTACCAGCTAATGTGGAGCAGAGAGAGACTTTCTTTGGTCGTCGTGTTTGAAGTCGTCTCGGCAGTAGTATGCGTGGCATCCATGCATTGATATGTGGATGGATGGAATGAGTGTGAGAGCAGAAAGCCAGCTTTTCTCTTCTCTCTTCCCTCTTCCCTCTTCCTTTTTCTTCCCTTTCCGTTCCTCCTCAATTCCTCCACCTCCTCACCCCCTCTCCCCCCCTCCCATCGAAACCCTCACAGGAACCTCCCACTCATCCTTCCTCGTCAACCCTCTCCCAAATTCTCCCAACCCGGTCGAACTCATCGGAGCCAGAGAAGCTTCACTCGAAACCTCCAATTCCACCGTCCGAATCACGCCGCCAAACCCTTCCCATCGGCCACTTCCGTCCGGGTGTTCCCATCGTTGGCGTCCTCCGCCTTGAATGAGAGATTGGGTAACGCCTTCGTTCGTTGTGGTTGTGGAAAGGAGACTTTGTGTGGTGCCGGCTTGGCTGAGGATGCTTCTTGCTGTGGCGCTTCGGCGGTGATCGGCCCAGTTGGGGCGGGAGGCGGCGAGGGGAGGTGTGGACATGGTGATTGTTGTGCTGGCGTTGCGGCTGGGGAGGGAGGGGGAGTAGGCTTCGGGTTGGTCCATTTCTTTGTTGTTGTTGGTGGTGGTGGGTATGGGAGTCGTGGTGGTGTAGAAGAATTCTGCTTTGCCTTTTTCGAGCCACCGCATGGAATTGCGGTTGAGCCAGGTTCGCTTGGTGGAGCCTGCGTAGCTACTTTGCGTGGGCGGGTAGTCGCCGGGGAGTTCGATGGCGACGTTGGAAGGGGATGCTGAGGAGTGTTTGTTGGTGGTGGGGAAGGGGAGGAGGGAGATGAGCTTGCGTGGTATCAGGCGTAAGACGGGTCGGAGTACTGGGAGGCAGGATGTGATGATCTGTGTTTTTTATCAGATAGGTGAGCGATTGCCTCACTCAGTGGGTATCACAGAAAAGAAAAAGGTGCATACGTACTCCAATGTTCATCTCCAAAGCACTTCGAATCACAAAATAAGTGTCGTCTCCGTCTCCGTAGGCGATTCGATGGATCTGAGTGGCTCGCATGATGGAAAGCACGGTGGTGAGAAGACCCAATGCAAACGCAATAGCCAAGCCAATCTTGATCGATCTCTCGAGATGTAACCGGTAGATGAGAGGCATGGGCAGGAGGAAAATGGTCACATCACATAAGATGACCACGACCGAAATGGAGTAATTGAGTGGCGCAAAGGGAATACATGTTCCATCAGCATCCCGATTGAACATCTCCGATAACTAGGTATATCATGATTTCTCGTTAGCAGGTGAATTTCTTTTTCTTTTTCTTTTGGGGGATGGATAAAGACTTACGGGAACACATTGACACAAGTACAGCACCACGAAGATGATATGCGAAAAGGTCGAAATATTCGCCACTGCCACGATGATTCGTCGATAAGTACGATCGTTGCTTCCCTGCGTCATGCGAAGATAGCTGGTACAGAGAGCTAATTTGAATCCTGCACTGAAGAAATCGATTATATGTCAGCAAAACAAAAAGAAGGAGAAAAAAAAAAAAAAAAAGAAAAAGAAAGAAAGAAAGCAGTCTCCCATCAACATAATATTCGTAAGTCAAATAGGTAGACAAGTATGAATGAATGAATGAGCAGAGCGACAAGGTAAAGTACCACAAGCAAAAAAAAAAAGAAAAAGGAACTTACAGCCCCAACAAATAAAACGGCCTCGAAACATAATTAATCATCATATATTTCCGCCAATCCTGCACAGGTTGCAAAACCACCGGCAAACCCAGTCCATATCTCGTTTGAAGAATGACGGAAGCGCTGTAGATGATACTAAACAGCATCGTGCCGAACGTGAGCCAGTCCTCTCTGTGGAGAATTCTTCTTCGGATCCAGAAGCGGAGGGAGACGACGAGAAGCATGGATGTGGTGAAGATGAGGGTTGTGATGGTGATTGCTTGCCATTGGGATTGCTGGTCTAGGGATGGGGATCCGTTGATTATCCAGGTCATGGTTCTTTACTCTTTTTCTCTCTTGCTTGTGAATAGGTGTTTATGTTGTGAATGGTCAGGTCGGGCCCGTAGCTCGTTCCGTTCGAGATGTGTAGATGCTGTTGCTGTTGCTGTTGTTACTGCTGATGCTGATGCTGATGCTGATGCCGATGCTGCTGACAATATCCCAGAAATGAGCAAAAAGTGCCACAACCGCAAGCCCTCGGTGCTCCCTCTTCGTGCCACCCAAAAAACTCGTACACACTCCCGCCGCTGGCTGTGAACAAAATCCCGCGGGCTATACAACTTTCTTATATCTGCAATACCCCCATAGTCCTCCACAACAGACCACAGCTTAGATGATGCGTAGAATAAGCAAGGTAAGGTAATCCAGAAAATCCAGAATACCGGAACAGAAACAAACCTGGAGACAAGCCAACACGCGCACCTTACTGACTCCTTCTCCTCCTCGTGTGAATTTTCATGCTGGCTGGCTGGCTGGCTGGCTGAAACCCGTTCGTTACTTGACAAAAAGAGCAAAAGCAAAAGCAAAAGCAGCAGCAGTACATACACAATAGATAGGGAGTACCTCCTAAAGTTATGGTTGTATGCAAATGACCGCATGGCAGTAGTGGCAACGTTTAAAACGAACGTTTAAGTGTGATTCCCCCTCATCCACTGTGCATCCCACGCGAGAGGCGCGAGTCGTTCGCGTCAAAGGGGGGGAAGGGAGGGCGCGGGACGGCATGTGAAACGTCGGTGGTGTTACCTCCCTTTTCTCTTGTCTCCTACTACTACCTCCTACCTCCACTGTTAATTACTAGAGAAGAACCGTGTAGGCTGTCGCGGCGTCGGCACTTTACTGATTCAGTAACCGTATAGATGGTTTTTTCTTTGTTGGTGGAGAGTGAGTGTATTGGATAGGTGTATGTGTTGTATACTGGCAGTTACATTTATGTAGCAAGGTAGTAATTCTTCATGATCGGATGGGGACTGGATGGGTACAAATGTGTCTATACCATACCATTACCATACGAACGCGGCGTTGGAGTTACCTTACTCCTGTAGCAGTGTAGGTTACCATTATGTAAGGTGACTAGTTCTACGCTAGCTCAAATAGAACTGGTACATGCCAAGACCAACAACCAACAACCCTTCCAGGCTTCCCCCTCCCCTAAAGTCCCGTCGTCTCCCTATTCTTTTCTATTCAGTAAAGGCATCTGCTTCGTATCCTTGTGCATCGTACAGAGCGTGTGTATCGTTATCATTGTAAAATCGTAAATACTAGCCTCCGCCATTCGGGGTGACTGATTCTTCACAGCCCATCTGGAAGGGCATGCCATATATGTCTCCTTGTCCTCTTCTTCACATTACACTACAATTCTTGCCCATTTCCCAGTATGCTTGCAAGTAAGAATCTTCCGGTGCATCTTTCGTGACACCCTCAATCTTGCCTCTCGCCCGCTTCACCCCCGTCACTTTCAGCTTCTGTTCGCCTTCGCCATGCCACCACTTAAACACCTGTTGCCTGGCACCGTCCACGTCCTCGACAATCCTCATCTCCCACTTCCCGCCACTCGTCTCCACGCTAGTGCGCGCCGGACTGCCTTGCGGAAAGTGGAATTCGGGCAGAAAGACTTCGGTCGGGTAATCGGGAGGTGTCGACGACGGGGACGTCAGATCCAGAGTGAATGTGCACGTTTTGAGGTCGAAGCCATACGCATCAATAGTGCCATGGACTGCAACAGGTACGGGACGGACGTAGGCTTCAGCTGCTCGATAGCCTTGTGCGCCCTGTGCTCCTTTGATCCCGGGCTCCATGTTATCGACCGATAATGCTTTCTTGATGCTGTCCGGCGTCTCGGGAGATCGTTCTGATGAGGCACTCTCACTGTAGCTCGGGCTGTTCCGATCAAGCGATAGCTTGCTGTTGTTTTCGTGTATGTATGCCGGTCCGGGAAGGGGTTTGTCGTCAGCGCTATATATGGACAGGTCTTCTCCGTTCCATTGGTCACCCCAGTAGTGACTATTGTTCGCGGCATAGCACCACCACGTCATACCTTGTGCTCTGCTGCCTTCTACAGCGAACATGTTCGCATCGATCGCTGCGACCTGGCTGCTGTAATCGCCAGTGTCGTAAGCATACTGATCATCCATGTCGTAAGGTATACCAATCTCGGTATATAGGCAAGGATGGACGCCCATGTTCTGTATGCCTTCGTTTCGGACCTCAGCCAGCTGGCCTTTGAAGCAGTTCCGGATGGCACTCTCGCCTATCCGTATAGCAAAGGCTGGAGAGCTATATCTCCCTCGGAGTACTCCGAGCACGTCAATGTTCCACCAGCGATTCCATTTCTTCGTAATGAGAGTGATGCCGTCGTAAAAGTGCGACGCAAAGATCATGTTCGGGTCATCGCCTTCGGGCGTGCCCTTGATCTCGGGTGGTATCTCGAAAGGTGCGGGCTGCATCAGAAGGAACGCTTCGCGCCAGACGTCTCGAATCGCATTGTGATATCGCTTGTAGAAGTCCATAAAGTCGTGGTTCGTCCAGTATTCTTGGTCGAGCGCCACGCCAGTCTTTGGGTGTTTTGAAAAATATGTCGCATTCAACATCTCGTCTGTCTTTGTGTCCCACACCCCGTGCTGTGCCCAGATGCACTCACCCAGCTTCCACTCAGGACTCCGACTCCAGCCATACTTCGAGTCGTCCCAGCTCTTGGGATCTAACCAAGCGGATGTGCCCTTGGGGTCGACCAACTGTGTACCGACTTTGTGGGGACCAAATCCGCCAAAGTCCCAGAGCTCCACCTCAACAGCCCTCCCCGCCCCTGTCAGCATGGCCTGGAATCCTGTGGGCGTCGTGTGTTTCCTCAGCTTTTGACCTTCCGGTATCGTCATCAGATTCGGATGTCCAAAATACCCCTTATTTGGCTCATTGACCGTCTCATACCCAATGACAACTTCGCCCTCCAAATCCCCTGCTTCTCGTATTCGCTGCGCCAAGTGCTTGCAAGCGCCCACAAAGTGGTCCTGAAGGTAGTCCTGAATGTTCACCCCATCAATCACACATTTGGGCGCAAAGTCTTTACCGCTGAAGAACAAGGTAAAGATGGTCTGAACAGCGAGCCGGGAATAGTTTGTCGCCCACGTCATCTTGGGAAATGTGATGGGATCGTCCCAAGTATTCTGCACGATGCTCGCCTCGCCTACCTGGAGCTTCTCCGGATCCAGACCACAGGCATACACCGTCCACATGGGAGCTCCCGATCCTCCGGTAAATCTCGACCATACGTCCTGGTGGGGATCCATAAACACGTAGAAGCCATACTCTTTTGCTACTCGCAGCACATCGATGGTATGCTGTATGAAGTCCTCGTCGTATTTTCCCGGACCGGCATGCTCGAGCGCTTCCCAGGTGAAGATGTAGCGGATGGTGTTGAAGCCCCATCTTCTGAGACGCGAGAAGTGGGTATGTGCTTCGGACAGGGCAAATGGGCGGTTGACGAAAGAGACATGGTCGCCATCGAAGAACTGATCGCGGACGTGGGAGGGCAAGTCGGGAGAAGCGGGGAGTTTGGTGTCGGCAGCGATGTTGATGCCGTGGAGGATGATCTCGCGGTTGTGAGCATCACGGAACAAAGACCCGTCGATTCGGAGGCGGTGATCGGGCATGCTCGCTGCTGCTGCGTAGGGAGGGCAAGGTCAGGTCGGGGGACGGGACGGGACCTCTGTCCGGGTCTGCGTCTGCGCCTGTTGAGTAGTGAAGCTCAGATTGATTGATTATTGATGGGGTTGGATAGACGGTTGGGACCAGACTAGGTATACTCGAAAGTGTTCGGGCGGGTCAGTTCGGTCGGTCGTTCCTCGCGGCGCGCACTAGGAAGAAGAGAGCTAGAATGTCGCGTGGTGAAGCGGATGGTGGCACCAACCGTCCGGAGGGCGGAGGCACGGAGTGGCAATTGTTTGTTCTGCAGAACTAGAGGTAGGTGAAGAGGTAGGGTAGGTCTACTGTAGGAGAGGTACGTTGTACATAGTATACGAACCAAGCCGCCAAGCGAGACTCGACGACTGCCTCTCTCCCTGGAACATCCTTGGAACACTCTATACCACTACTCTATCTATTCGCTTGTGGGTGGGTGGTAAGCATCATGGATTAGTCTCTCCCCGTCCTGATCCATGGTCCAGGAGACGGGCAATGCCTCCTGCATACTGCAGTATGTTGTCGCACTCTACAGGTCTGGCTCCTGAGGAGGAGGAGGAGGAGGCTCACCTTGGGGCCAAGACTGTGTGCATCCTGTTGTTCTACCAGAAACGTCAAGCTGTACAACATCAACATCGACATCACCACCCTCCGCCCTCATGCCATCGGTGGCGTGTCCGACCCGACATGAGATGAAGCCTGTGCAGAGCAACAAGCCCTCCAGCAGATCTTCACTCGCCGGTCCTTTGCGCCGGTAACCGACAGTACAAGCTGCAATCATGGACAACGTGCCGTTTCCCGAGACGCTGACGCCGAAGAGGACGCCGCCGAAGAGGATATGCGCCGAGAGAGGCACCTCCCCACGTGGACCCGAACACCGCATGGGTTCATGGCACTACGACGTTGCGCATCTCTTATTCCTGCCCTCCTGGGCCTCACTCAAGCGTCGCGTCTCCGCCGCCATGTATGCGGGCAAGTTCTCAGCAGTCCAGCCCTCATCCGGCTCTCGCTTACTCATGCCCAACAATCTACATGGCACGGACTAACGTTCGTGCCATGGCCTGCTAGTGGTGGATTAGATTACCACCAGCAGCTGTCTCCATTCACCCGCAATGAAGCACACCATTGCGAGAAAACTGGAAATATCTGTTAATATGGCACTGAGCGTGAGATTGTGCTGCTTCCTGCTATAGTAAATCACTATTTATCACTAGTAGTACCTACTCCACCGAAGACCAGGCGCTTTTCTTCCGTGGATTACTCCAAGAACCCATCTGCACCTCATTTTCGTCACCTCGCCGTGGTGTCGGTACCTGGTGCGACTGCATGTTGCCGCTCTCGGAACGATTGACTGGTGCTGTGACCTTGACCAGGTCTCGATACAGCTGTCTCTCTTTTACCAAATCCCCGACTGCGTATCGAGGCGAGCATACACTGCCTCTATTCTCTTCTCTTCTCTTCCCTACTCTTCTCTTCTGCTTTGCGCTTTTCTTCTTCACACGACATTGCTTCCTACCACTGTGAATCGCACCTCGACCGCCGGCGGTTCTGTGCTGTTATCGCGCTTGCCGCTACCATTCTCCCCCTCCTACTCCGACCAGCTCCTCTTCCAGCCACAACTTCCTAGTGCCGAGCCCGGGATGTGACTTGGTCATGGACGACTTTGGAAAGAACCTCAACATCCATTATGTCAACCCAAACAAGCAACTATACGCTGGCATCTGGTCGTTGTATACTGGCGCCACTGCATTCCTCATTGCACGCCTATGGGTCAAGATCTCACGTCGCCATGGGCTGTGGTGGGATGATTACATACTCCTCTTTGCATGGGTAGGCCGAGTCCATACCAGCCCACCAACGACAACCTCTTTGCTGACTACAACACAGGGAGTACTCACTGCCAACGATATCATCATCACGATTGAGTACGCTACCGGCTACGTTTCCCCTTCGTGGGACGACCGCATGCACATCTTGATCCTCATCTCCTCGTGCGGGACCCTCATGGGACAAAGCTTGACGAAAGTTGCTTTCGCAGTGACATTACTCAAGCTGACAAAAGGCTTCTCATGCTGGAAAGTCTGTCACTGGATATTATGGTTCTGCATCGCGACAATGTGCAGCTACAACTTTGCCAAGGTACGGCATTCCCTTGCATACTGGGCATCAATGTCAAACACTAACACTTTCTAGATCATAGTCGAATGGGGGAAAGTCTGCGATAACCGCGGCTATGATGTCTGGTACCGTATGGACTTCTGCGTCTATTCAGAACCACGCGCCAGATTCAAGGAAGGCGGCAACTGTAAGTACAGCATCATCGCTATTCGCCGGATGGGTTCCATCACTAACCTTGGATGAAACAGACGTTAACGTCGTAATGGATTTCGTATTCGCCGCCTTCCCCTGGATTATAACCTGGAACCTAGACATGCGGCGCAAAGAAAAAATCGGGCTCTGTCTCACCATGTCTTTAGGTCTTGTCGTGGCTATCGCATCTGCAATCCGTACTGAATGGAAATACGATGGAAACAGGAAAGACGAATGGTATTTCTGGAATAACGCCATGTCCAATATTTGGTATTCGTCCGAGGTCACGGGTACGATAATAGTACAGTGTGTTCCTGTGCTGAGGCCGCTCTTAAAGCATATTAGTACTACTATGAGGAGCAAGAGACTAGGGAGTTCGACAGATGATGGAGGCACTTTTGGATTGAGTAAACTGGATGGCCACGTGGGGAGGTGGTATCCTCCTTCCCGGTTGAAGGATGAGGGAGGATTGATTCCTGGACCGGTTGGGGATGAGGAGACGCTGATATTGAGTGTGAGAAATGGAATTGTGGCGAGGAAGGACATGAATGGGGACAGAGTACATAGTGATGCGTAGATACCCGTGGGCAGGTATCTAGATGATGGTTATGACTGTGTTTCTGTTCAGTTTTGCTGCTTCTTCGTATGGGGGAAGACGGCAGGGGGCTGCCCCGCAATCGACCACTATGGAGCGATGTAGTGAGGATAGATGATTGTAAGAGAATATTGAAGTTGCCAAGAGTTGTGCACATGTCGTCTACACAAGACACGGAAGAGAGTGAAGTTACTTAGGGTACCAAAGTACCAGGTAGGTGGACAACCAAGGTTGGAGCCGTCACACATGCTTATGTCATCAGGTCGTCGCCTCGCGTCAGCTCCGACGCCTGCTGCTGCTACCTCCTACTGCTGCTTCTCCAAACACATCACAACCATCAGCCACACAAACAACAACAGCGCCATCTCCACACTTGCAGTGCATCTCCAGGACATTGACACCGAAGCGCAGTAGAGACAACAGCATGGCCTCCGCCGACGTGAGCAAGGCGCCGACAGCACCGCATCTCCTCAACCAGATCTCCAGCTCCGCCATTGCAAATATCGACACCATCGAGGGCCTAACCGACTCGGACGACCAATATGCCACATATAAGAAGCTGCAGCGCCAACTGGAGTACATCAAGCTGCAGGAAGAGTACATCAAGGACGAGCAGCGGAGTCTGAAGCGGGAGTTGGTGCGCGCCCAGGAGGAGATCAAGCGGATACAGAGTGTGCCACTCGTGATCGGACAGTTTATGGAAGCCATCGACCAGAACACGGGAATCGTACAGTCATCGACAGGAAGCAATTACGTCGTACGCATCCTCAGCACGTTAGACCGCGAACTGTTGAAGCCGAGCTCGAGTGTGGCGCTGCACCGACATTCCAACAGTCTAGTTGACATCCTGCCACCTGAGGCCGACAGCAGCATCGCCATGCTTGGTGCGGACGAGAAGCCTGATGTCACATACGCAGATGTCGGTGGTCTGGACATGCAGAAGCAGGAGATTAGAGAAGCCGTCGAATTGCCGCTGACGCAGTTTGACCTCTACAAGCAGATCGGTATCGATCCTCCACGTGGTGTGCTGCTATATGGACCACCCGGGTGTGGAAAGACTATGCTGGTCAAGGCCGTGGCAAATAGTACAACCGCATCCTTCATTCGCGTGGTTGGATCAGAATTCGTGCAAAAGTACCTTGGAGAAGGGCCTCGTATGGTACGTGATGTTTTCCGAATGGCGCGCGAGAACAGCCCGGCCATCATCTTCATCGACGAAATCGACGCCATTGCCACGAAGCGTTTCGACGCTCAGACTGGCGCCGACCGAGAGGTGCAACGTATCCTCCTCGAACTGCTAAACCAAATGGACGGCTTCGATCAGACGTCCAATGTCAAGGTCATCATGGCCACCAACCGTGCCGACACTCTCGATCCTGCTCTCCTGCGTCCTGGTCGCCTGGACCGAAAGATCGAATTCCCTAACCTGCGCGATCGTCGCGAGCGCCGGCTCATCTTCAGCACCATTGCGTCGAAGATGAGCTTATCGCCCGAAGTCGATCTCGATTCGCTCATCGTCCGCAATGATCCTCTCTCTGGAGCTGTCATTGCAGCAATCATGCAAGAGGCGGGTCTGAGAGCTGTGAGGAAGAACAGGTATAACATCATTCAGCAAGATTTGGAAGATGCATACACGAGCCAGGTCAAGGGTGCGAGTGAGGCGGACAAGTTTGACTTCTACAAGTAGATGTAACTGCTCCGGCCTATGGGGAGATCTTTCGGTATGCTCGACTGCAAGAATAGCTGAGCGTATGAGAGTAATGCGAGAGCGCTTGCGGCATGGGACTGCGGTATCATGAGCTGCATTTGTATCATAATGGAATGTACCTCATCTGCTGTCATTCCCCTCTTCTCTTCCTTCTTTCCGTTGCATACCTCTCCGCTCATGGCAGCCCAATTACGCGGTACTCGAGGTACGTATCAAGACCGAAGCGAGTACTGATCTCTACCTAGCCCTCCCGCCTTTGTCCCAAGCATGGAGTTGTCAGCATCGTGACATGATGAAACCAGCGGCACCTCGCGTTGACACTGCTGATGTCGTATTTCATTCAGCGCTTAGCTTCCGCTCTTCAGACACACAGAAACATACGGAAGACTGATATGCGGCATTAGATTATGAGCGTAGATTTTCTTTGCTTCACTTCGCTTCACTTCACCTCACTTCACTTCACTTCACTCATCTCGCTCTATCACATGCCTAGCTCCCCTTCTGTATCCTCAGTTTAGTCGCCACCTTCTCCTACAGAATTCACCTTCTCGGCACCGGCCTTCAACAACGTTTACCACTATCTCAGAACAGAACTTCCACTGATAGCTTCCGATACTTACTGGTACAAACGATTTCATCTCAAGGACGTGAGCTGAACACAACTCCAAACACTTACCACCCTCGAACCGCCGCTATCTGTCGTACTTCCCGCGCAGCGCACAACGAATCCACGACGCCACGAAAACAAGAACGCATCATCACCAGCCAGGTTGGCCGGTGGTTCTTTGTGACCGACTGGTTTACACTATGACGCCTGCTTCTGACTCACATATCAAATCTGAGCCTGACCAGGTGTCATCACCTTCGCATACGGATGGGGACTGTCATCGATGGGTTATGTACGGTTCTAGTTCGACTGTGATGCCTGCACCTGGCTCACGTATCGAATCTGAGTCTGATCAGGCTTCAATGTCACCGGAGGAAGGCGAGGATGAACAGGAGGAACCTAGCGATGACGACGACGATGACGAAGAACAATTGTCATCCTCCCATGCACAGGAGGTGCTACTACCACCTTGCGCTGCCTATGACTCCGACACCATCAATTTGTCACATCGTGCGCAAAGCCTGGTGTCTGAGTTTCACCAAACTCTTGGTCAAGCTCGGCTGAGCAGCAAAGACGTCGAGACCATGGCCTCCAAAGCTGCAAATCTCATGACGGTTCCCACTGCACCCAAAAAGACCATTATGCTCCTGGGTGACACCGGTACGGGCAAGAGCTCCTCCATCAACTCACTTGTCAACGATCCCGATGCTACGAAGGCAGCTGCCACTGGCGAGAGCTGCACTTGTGTCCCAACACTCCTGGTGTCGTCTCTCACAGATCAGCATCGTCAGTACGCAGCTGAGCTCTGCTTCATGAGTTACGATACGCGCAAAAGCTTCCTGACTGAGCAGACGCAGAGGTATTTCAGATACAACTTCGCATTCGATCCCGAGTGGCCAGAGGATCAAAGGCAAGATTACGAGGCACAAGCAGATACAGCGCTCAAGGTCCTTCGTGCGCTGTTCTGTGACCAGTTTGAATTCTCCTCGCCTGGAAATATCAAACGAACCTTTCAGGAGAATGTTCAAGACGTGAATGCTGTGGTCGACATTCTGACTAAGTGGTGCATCACTCTCTTGGAAGGCTGTCATGATCACGCCACTCAGCCAACGATGCGATTCGATGCAGATTCTTCGGTCGAGCTGAGTGAGATGATTCAGCCTTACATCTTTGAGCAGAATGATCTCGAGCAGCCAGCACTCTGGCCCCTTATCGACCATGTCCGAAAAGGCATCCTCAGTTCGCCTATGCTGGAATTCCTGAACATTCTGGATCTTCCGGGCACCGCGGATACCGATCGCGTGCGCGCAGAAATCGCGAACAAGTTCATCAAGGATAGTGACGGCCTATGGCTCGTGACGACTGTCGGTCGACCCCTGTCAGATGAGCCACTCAACAAGAAGCTCGCGACTTACGGAGAACGCTTTGGATCCAACGTCGCGATTATCGCCACCCGTTCTGATACAGGGGCGGACGACAGCCTCGCTAGGGACTTGGCAGAGAAGGGTGCTCAGCCCTCGACTGTAGCGGAGTATTGGAAACAATCGGCGCAGATCAAGGACCTTACTGCGGCCATTTCAAGTATTGATCATAAGCTCAAGCGCCCTAGGGGAAAAAAGAGGCAGAAGACGCTGTCCGATGCTGAAGAGACCACGCTCTACCGAGAGAAGGCGAAACTTGAGGATGCTCTCCAGGAAACAAGAAATGCGCAGCTCGATGGGCTTGTCGATATGCGTAACTCTCGCATTAGCGCTCGTCTCAAGGAGACCAAGAAGAAGTATCTGAGCAAAGGGGCAGAGCTGGAAGTGTTCTGTGTATCGAACAAACACTACATGGCACACAAAGGAATCGAGACCGCCGAGACGCGCTGCATGAGCGTGGAGATGACGAACATTCCAGCTCTGCGCCGTTGTGCGCTACGAATGGTTGCTCCCGATCGGTTCATTACTATCGATACCTACATCAGCACGGCTCTGACATTGGTTCGCGGAGCTTCGCTATGGGCGGATGCGACCATCGTCGAGCATCGAGCAACTCTGATGCGCATTGCTCGGCAGCCTATTGCACTACTCGACATCTTTCTGAACCAATGGCTAGAGACTGCCGCAAAGCAATGTAACAGCGACCTAATCAGCCCTCTCACCGCGAATCAAGACGATTTCATCAAGTCTGCTCTGCGCGTCCATCAGGAAATCCAGCAGTGGCACCCCAGTTCCATCAGAGCCTTCTTCGCGAAAAACGGCAATCACTCGACTCAAAAGCAAAAGCACGAAATCTGGAACGAAAAATTCTCACAAGCGCAAACCGCACTACTCGAATCCCATTGGTATCCTTTCCTCCACCAACAAAAAACTTCTCTCCGCAACGGCCTCAAAAAAATTTTCCACGCCCTCGATGATATCCCCGAACAACTCTGCACCCTACCCGCTGCAATTCCCATTCCTCTCGAACCTTTACAAGCCCTCATCGCCTCCTGCATTAACCGTTTCCGCGCCTTGCAGAAAAGACATCTTATCGCTTTTGATAAATTTACTAGCAATATCAAACTCGACTCCACACGAGATATTCCCACGGGATATTTCACCCAAGCCATGTATCCTCTCTATGAAGCTTGCAATTCCGATCGCGAAGGTCGAGGAATTACGAAGAGGCAATTGGGAGCTTTGAGGAATCATCTTCTTTTAGGCGATAAGAATAACAATAACGACAAATCATCATCAAAACATTCAAAACATTCAAGAAAAGCAAAATCGACAAAGGCAAAAAATCCCTTCACAGCCCTGCCTACCAATCTTACACATTATGTTCTTTCTGTGGCAATGACATCTCTCGTGGAAAAAATTCGACGAGAAATGATGGGGATTTTGGAAGAATTGGTGGAGATGTTTGATTGGGCTGTTATTGTTGAAGAAGAAGGAGAAGAAGGAGAAGAAGGAGAAGAAGAAGAAGAAGAAGAAGAAGAAGAAGGAGAAGAAGGAGAAGAAGGAGAAGAAGGAGAAGAAGGAGAAGAAGGAGAAGAAGGAGAAGAAGGAGAAGAAGGAGAAGAAGAAGGAGAAGAAGATGAAGATGAAGATGAAGATGAAGATGAAGATGAAGATGAAGAAGAAGAAGAAGGCGACGACGACGGATCTCAGCAGCAGCAACAGCAACATGCGCGGGTGATAGTAAAGGATTTTATGACGAGGAAGAAGAGTGAGATGGAGAGCATGGAAAAGGATTTGAGGGGTGTGAAGCGGAAGTATGGGATTTTAGACGGGGATTGATGGGATGGGATGGGATTTGATGAGATCAGATTAGATCGGATTGAGGCGCTTGGGCAAGACTTGAGTTTGAGTCAAGATGTGATATTCCAAGTACCGCTGAGATGAAATGGATCTATACTACTCGTGTATCATTCTATCTTCCACAGAAATATGGATGCAACATCGCTGCAGTAAACAGTCGCCTCATTGCAGACATGATAGGTGACCGTTAGCCTCTCACATCAGTAATGACACCCACGAAACCTTCAAGCCCTGCCACTCCCTTTTCACCTCTTCCACTGCTAGAGTACAGAGGCGCGCCGCCACTAGGCATGACCAGTACTCGGTCTCCTGTCATGACGAACTCTTTCGACGTGTCAAAGCTCATCGTGACCAGTATTTCCGGCGCTACAATGGCATCATCAGCAACCTTGGGCTGCGGAGACGCCCTCATGCTGTCCTCGAAATCGTCAAATCCGAACGGGTCGTGCGACCCATCAGCTTCGTTATTGTGCTGTCCAGGCTGCTCGTCCGGACTGTCCGGGATCCGTGCCGAGACGATTCTTGCAGAAGCACGTACACTTGAGATGTAGACCACAACATGATTGCCCACCGCAAGATGGTCCAAATCTTTTCTCGTGAATTTCGCAGTGAAAGTGCGAGAAGCGAGCGGCTGTATAGCTGCCAGAACCATTCCTTTGCGAATGCGCGATAACCGAGAGGCCTTGCCAGTGTTCTCGGCAGGACTGATCGCGATAGTGCTCACCTGGTCAGCATGTAGCGAGTGTACCGGTAGTCGGAGGTTGCGTATGCTGGTGATTTTCACTCGGCGCCATTCCTGGTTGGGTAGCTGATACAGCGGGGGCGCAAAGTGAGATTTTCCAAGGGCTCCTGGGAATGAGCGCGATGTTGGTAGACTCGATGAGGACTTGCGGAACGGACGCTCGTCAGAATCCTCGGAGTCTTCGTGCACATCATGGCTGGAAAAAGGACCGATCATTGCGGTCTCGCCAATAGAGAGCTGACCTGAACGGAGGCGTCCAGATACAATCACACCTGCCACCTCGGCCGGCTTGCTGTAAATGTCTTCAATATCGAAGACTGCAGGTGGCACATCTGTCGCCACTACCTCAGTAGGCGGTTCAGGAACAGGCAATTCGTGCAATAAAGCATGCAAGCTACCGATTCCCGTGCCATCGACAGCGCTTGTCAGCACAATGGGCACTGTGCCTCGTGTTTCGTTCAGCAATGGCAGAACCGTATTATATGCAGTCTCGAGGAGTGAGCTTGCGACGTTTTGCAGATCCTGTTCATCGTTGATGGCACCCTTGTTGGGCACGATAGCGGGCTTCCTGCCTGCAGCTTTCAGTATGTCCAGGATCTTAGTCAAGCTTGTTCGGAGGCCTGCCTTTGATGCGGTATCCAGCTTTGTAATGACAATCAGTAATGGCAATCGCAGGCGCAAACACAAGTCTAATTGAGCGCAAGCAAGTTCCATAGCCGTAGGCACGAGCAAATGTTGCGATGCTGGAGTGCTGTTACCGGCTGCCGGAATCTCATCCTTATCATCAGCAGGTATGCATAGCAGGGTCCAATGAGGTGCCCAGCCAACCAGTCCCCTCAGAGTGGTGCGGCGGTATCGAGGATGGCCAGCAGAATCGGAGATCAGGACCAGCCTACTATTAGCCGAAGCCACGTGCACATCAATCCAAGAGGCGATGTTCTCCGTCGCATAGTTCACGACCTCGACATCTCCATTGGTGCGATCTTGGTAACCTATGAGCTCTTGAGTGACAGAGCTCGTGATACCAGAGCTGATCTCATGACGATGCCGCAGCATACTTAGACGACTCTTGCCTCTGCCATTGTCTAGAGTAGAGGTAGTAAGCGTCCCCAGCAGAGAAGACTTTCCAGACATGGTTGGACCTGTAAGCGTGATTCGTAGTTGCTCGGTCGTGGGTGGCATCATGTCGGCCGAGGTGGGCAAGACAGTGGGCGACGGGTCAACATGTGGATCGGTCTGTCCTGCCAGCATGGGACTAGATGGGTGCAGAAACGGCCGCACAAGCGCCTCAGCTACCACGAGTTTCCCCGATCGTCGTGTCTTGCGCTCCTGGTTCGCAATGATGGTATCTTCCAACCACTCGCATTCACCTACAGTCTCCTTCCGCAAGACCTCGACCGTACAGCCCAAGCATGCAGCCATGGCGCGCAAGTTGTTCAGACTCTCCTGCAGCTCGTCTTCGGCCAGCCCTATCAAGGTGCCATCGTCAGACACGCCAATCTCATACAATGCGCCTTGGCTCTCCTCCAAGCCATGAAGGAGCCTGCCGATCTGCTGAGGCGCTTGCAACTCGGGTAGTGGCTCGGGTAGAGTGGGCAAGATGGTGTTAGTGGCAGAAGAAGTGTGATGCGGGGAGGACTGTTGCAACCTCCACATGAGCTGAGTTGTGAGCTGCTGCAGTCGGTGTTGCCTAAGCTGCTGAGTCGACTGCGACGGCGTAGCATTGTTAGAACTCTGGTTGGAGTCAACGATATTATCAGGAACCGCTTTGGGCTTGAGTGAAGTCTCTCCACCCCTTGCATGCTTGGAGCCCGGGACGTAGATTCCAGTACTAGTAGATCGGAATTTGCGGCGAGGTCGGAGCAGCAGATGCAGCTTGTATTCTACAGGGCCATCTTGAGGTTCAGCTTGCAGACGAGTCAGCTTCTTGCCGCTGGGACTATCTGCGCTCTCGCGAAGGTCTTTCGCGGCATCACTCAGTTGCCTAGTAGCTTCTGTGTGATGTTCAGGAACAGGACTCGAGCCGTCGTCTGCAGCGCTGAGCCACGGAGATGCCACACGCGGAGTGTCGGGCTCCCAAGTGAATATGGACGCATGTGCCATCTTTTGAACGACTCTCTGCTGCGTTATAGGCTAGCAAGAGCTCGTGAGAAGCACCCGTTCAGAAGTATACTGTGTCCTAATATGCACTCGGGCAAAAACGCGCAGTACCCTTGCCCCCTGCCTCAGCTCTCATATACAATAACGGTTCCGTGCTATTCTCTCCCGTGCTTGATTCACTAAAGACCGGTGATATGTATGCGCTTGGTGGACTTTGAACTGGTGTGTCATCGGCTTCGACATGGTGGCGGCGGGTTCGTTTGGGGGCGCGGTGTCACGGAAGTTCGAAATGGGTGTGTACAATCTGCTCTGTAGCAGCTTTCAAAACCAGTGCATGATGGCAGACACGATGGTGGTCAAGGTAGTTGTGTTCACTGCGGTGGGTGGGATTGAGTGAAGTCGGTGGCCAGGCCACCAGATGCCGCCGGCTGGAGAACGCCAAGCAATCTGGACACCTCAGGCCTCGCATGGCAGGCATAAGATGCATCACGGGACCGCGGGACCGAGGGACTTTCTTCACTAGAGCTATGGAGGTAGGAGGTATGTATGTACGCTCGTTTAATCTGACCGGCGAAAGCGGCATCGGCTTTCTGGCCGATGTGGATTAGATATGATTGAACTATTGATTGTTGACCTTGATTGCGGCGTACGAGAGCTGTGCCATCGCTTGCTAGCTCGTCATCTGACGAAAGAGACCTGTAAGGTAAGGTGTCTATCTAACGTATGTCCCATGGAGCCAAGACCAGGAGTGGATATGGATGGGGCATTGGGGCCTACCCAGAAGCGAGATCGAGCTCTACTGGGTCAGAGGATTTACTTTCGCTTGCAGGAGCCGGTGCGCGGAAACAGGCACCAACGGCATTGTGGCGTCTAACGTACCTCCTAAGGTGCTTCTACCTCCACTACTACGCCTCTGCCACCCACTGCCACCGCCAGGCGGGCAACGGGCGACCCTGCGAAGGAATGGACTCTATCCTAATCATCCTGCCGCAGGTGCACAGCATCCAAATGGAGCATCTGCAGATCTGGAGAAAAAGAGTCGTTGCTATGGATGTTCAATAGTCTCGATCGTACCCTAGGTAATCAGTAATAATGCCCACCTGGGGGTACATGTATCTGGCAACGGACAATCCACACCGGACCGGGGAGATTCGTCCGGTTCGCATGAAAAAGGTGTGCCTATACTTTACCGAATCGGGCGACCTCGCAAAACATGAATGAGCACATGAAAATGCAAGGACGCAAGCAAGCAAACAAGCCTCCGCCTCGTAATAATAACAAGAAATAATGGACACTCGTGAACGATAATTGCCCACCCTCCGATTGGCATGCAACCTACAGGTCAGGTATGCATGCAATTGCGCGCCAAGCGAAAAAGCCCTGCCTTCACGCGGAATCGTTTAAAATAAAAACAAGGATCATAATATGAAAAAGTGGTACTCCACCGCGCACGAATCTCTACGTCCGAGTTGTACCTACTGGCGCCTGGCAGAGCCTTATATCCTGACTCAGCGAAGCAAATGCCAAGACCACGACTACCAGGCTTTACCTTAAACAGAATGCACAAATATGCAAGTCTGTGCACACCGGTGAATACAAACAAAAAAAAGTGGACATGGGCGCATCACGTACACGTACACGACGTACACGTGGTAGGAAGTAGGAAGTAGGGCAAACGGGGCCTCATGCCGCATCTACCCTCTACTCTCCCGTCATCATCACACAGCTGCTGGCGCTAATGCTGAATAAGAAGAAACCTCCTGTGACTCTTGTGACTCTGTGATGGATGACTCTTGTCTACGTACCTGTAAACAGCACGGCACTAGGAACTGGGAATTTGGGAACTAGCACTGCCACTGTGTAAACTGGAAATTGTGGGGGGGGGGAGGACTGGGAACGGGACAGTGAACCCGTACCATCCAGTCAGTCGTCACATTGCCGAGCACCTCGCAAACAAACTCGTTTTTGGTAAAAGATCTTCGCGCGCAACACGGGAAAGACACGCCAAACCTTAAAACTTTTTTCTTCTTCGGATACCGGGGGACGGACGGACGAAGCTGAGGTAGGCAGGGAGCTGGTGCTGGGGCGGGCGCAAAGCAAAATGCCAGGTAATAATAATAATAAAAAAGAGAGAGTTTCAAATTTTAACTTGCGCCGGCGACGGCGGCGGCGGCGGCATCGTCGCAGGGCGGCTACGGTATACCCTTCTAAGGTAAGGTAGGGAAGAGTAGAGGAACTTCACAAGTTCACAACACTCTCGGTGCCGAATTTTCTTTTGCGAGTTCCATGCCGACACTAGTAAGATAGGTAGGGTAACTGACTGCTTTGCCACCACCACCACTTCTACTAGCAGCAAACTAGAGGCGTTTGACCACATGAAAGTCTGATATGCAGCAAAGTATATTCTGTCTCTTCTTTCTTTCTTTCTTTGTCGGCCGAAGCAGAGAGATATCATAGGTACAATAAACAACCAATCGCGATCATGTTATGGCTGGCCCTGTGGGGTATTTCGTCGTGAGTGAAAAAGGAGCAAGCAGGCGCAAGGCGAGTAAGCATCTAAAATAAGCAATCATGGCGCCAAAATGCCCATCAATCAATCAATCATCAACAATACCCAACTTCCACATGACTCAAATCCCTGGAACATCTTGGTGATGGATCGTCTCTGTTTGAACCCGAATCCCACCAACAACCATCTCTTGCCATCTCTTGCCATCGTCATCATCATCATCGTCGTCATCAATTCATGATGATTTCCCTTCCGAAGGTCGTCGCTGCTTCGTACACTTGTCATGTGCGAGATGTCCATTCCGTGCTGTCGTTCGTGTAAATTCTGCGCCGCACTTGGGGCAGTAAGATTTCGCTGATGTGCCCGACTTCTCCCGCTGATGGCGAAGCAAGTTGCTAAAGGTGGAGAATTGCCGCCCGTTGCATCCGTGCTCCCAACACTGCGGTTTCGGTCGCTGGTTGAGCACTCGCATCGAAGAGTCCATGCTGCTGCCGCTGCCGCCGCCGCCAGCCTTCTCGTGAGGGATACTACTGCCGACAGGGTAGGTCTGTGCAGGGTACTGTGGGCTTGTGCCGTAGAGCTGTGTGTTCGGGGGTGCTGTCGTGTAAGATTGTCCATAGGGATTCTGCTCGTACATGTTGGGTGACCTAGGAGGAAGTCGTCAATCATCAATGTTTCCCCGGCCACGTGAAACATGCAGTGCACACTGACCTCATATATTGTGGTACAGATGATGAACCGAGATGAGGTGATGGCAAAGGACTTTGCGTCAATCCGCTGATGGAGGGGATGGTCTGGCTGGGCGCCATTGTATAGGCTGCTGTATCGTACGGCGAACTGATGCGACGGTAATGGTCATATGATGAGCCCGCTGCAGTGATCGCTGGCATCTCGGATGGTCGACGAGCGGAAGATGTCTCTACCGCGCGTGTAGAGTACAGAGATGGGCTCGAAGACGTGGTCATCGCATACGCGCTGGCACCGGGGGTGGAAGTGGGCTGCGACACGCGCATAGGAGGAATATAGTTCTGGTCCATGTTGTAGGCTGAAGGATCCATGTTAGAAGGAACTGTGGGGTGCGGGAGAAAAGGGAAGGAGCGCATACTGTGAGAGTCAGATTCGTAAGGCGAGCCGCCGTACGTCGTTGGAAGTAGGAAGCCTAACGAGCTGCACGCGTGTGAGCTGAGCTTCGCTGCTGATACATGATCGCACTGATCAGCTCAGACTCACCTCATTTCCGCAGAAACAGAAGGCTGCTCGAATGCAAAGTCGGGCGGAATGCTGAGACCAGCCGGCCCAGGCTCCTCGTTGCAATCGATAGATACAGTCGGGAAAGACGATTCAGATCGAGGTGGGGTCGGAGCCGTCCACTGCGGGAAGGGTTCAAGCGACGATTCAGCGGTAAAGCTTTGAGGCTGGGGCGAGTGTTGAGGAGTGAGCCACTGGATGCCTCCCACTATTGTTGATGTTGTCGATGTCGGATGAGGGTGCTCGATGTCTGCGTGGCCGGCTTGTTCGGCAGCGTACTGAAGCAGCTTCTCCGCCCGCGATAGGGAGATGGCTCGTGAGCGATCGTTGTCGTGAGCGCGCTTCTGGATGGCGCCACGACTGTGGACGGTCGAGTAGGATGTGTGTGATCGAACCCGGGTGGGATGGATGATGGTGGCTGACTGGAAAGATGGTGAGTCCATGATCATGAAAGTCAAGGAGGAGGATGGATCCTGTACAGGTAGGCCAACCGGAAGGAAGCTCTACTTTTAAAGGTCGCCGGTTGTGCTGGTGGGGGGTGGATTCAAGAGAAGTGATATACACGGGAGTGAAGGCGCTGAAGCATAGTAGGTATGTACTAGGGCCAGCCAGCCTGGGTTGGAGAATCTGATCGTTTTAGCACGCTCGCCTGCTGCGGTCGGGCTGTACAGGCAGGCGGTCTTGTTGATGATAAAGGTACACCTGTGAATCCAACATTGACTATCCTCGAAGGTGCTAGCGGCTGCGTGCTTAGTTTACACGAAGGATGCGGATCCCAGCCCACCATCTTCAGCGTGCTGTGCTAGGGTTACCGACCCGTTGCAGCTATGTACGTGCTAGTCTGTCGTGGGAGCCTTCTGAGGGAGCGTGCACGCTTCTGGCGGGCGGATGACAGGCAGGCGCGCCACAAGCTTTGGCACGCACGCACGCACACATGCACATGGGGAGAGAGAGGGAGGAGAAGGGGAGAGCGAGGGAGAGACGATGGACGGTGACTCAGGGAGTCGTCGAGGCTCTCGTCTGTGCCGCTCGGGCGTTGTCTGTGCCTCAGTGATACATCATATACATGCCTACCGAACACTGTCGACTACTGGGAAGCACACGGCGAATCGCATCGCAATTAGACGCGCTCCGGATACTACTGTTCAGCCGCGGTGGTAGAAATAGGTATCGCGCAGACGCAGCGACGAGCTGCAGGCAGCCGAGCGGACACGACGCCATGTCTCTGGTCTGCATGTCTCCGGCCCCGACGATGAGAGCAGTACGATGTGAGGGAGCCGGGTGTTGTGACAGCCAGCCCGCCCGGCGCAGTGGAGAGTGCTGTTGTGTAGTGGTGATGGAGTGAATCGGTGATAGTGATGGTAGGAGGAGGAGGAGGAGGAGTGGTGGTGGTGGTGGACCGGTGGAGTTGCAGTCGCCTGATGGGACCTGACGCCGGGGAAGACAAACGACTAGGATTGTTATGTAAGCCCATAGGGCGCACCAACGGGCGGCCCGTCCAATCTTCCAGCGCCGGGCGGGCGACAACGAAGAGCCTCAGTCCCAAAAGCAGAGGCACGGCCTCGAATTGCGGAGTAGGGCTTCGTAGCCTTTCGTTCTTGTTCGCACGCTTCACTTGCGGCGTCGAACAGGGGTGCTCGTCTGCCTGACGCAAACGGTATGGCGTCTGGATATCGCCCCCCTCCCTCTCTCCCCATGAGAGGCCCATCTGTGCATCACCTCGTGCGATCATTGGAGCCGCTTGCGCTCGTCATGATCAGCAGAGCCTAAACATAGCCCCCCTCCCAGTGGACCATTCTCTTTTCCTTCACCGGTCGAGTGATTCACTCGCCAGCACAGCGTCGTAGCGTCGCCGGTGGGAGACGTGATATGACCCCCCTGCAGCCCTACTGGATTACTGTACTGTGTCTACAGTCCCCACAGGCACGGAGGCTCTAGTGACTCGACCGGCCATTCCCGACCGGACAGCTCACGGACGAGCACCAGAGACATGCTTCCTGTTCCTTTCCCATGCGCCATGCGCCATTCGATCCCGATGGAGGATCAAGCTTCATCATCTTCCCTCCCCCTCCTTGCTCCCTCGAGGAAGAGGAACCGCGTCAGGACAGCAGGACCCGCTCTCCGGCACTCTGGTGGTGGTGATGCAGCGGTGTCACCGGGCGCTCGTTTCCCATAGGTGTAATAATAATACCATACTCGTATAGACGACCTCACTCTGGTGGCAGCTCCGTTATTCCATTGTGGTGCATCGTGATTGCAAAGCAACAGCAGCAGCAGCACCTACCTCCTACTTGTCTATACTGTAGCCAGGGACCATCTATCACCTGCCAACACAGCCCACAAGCCCGCCCGCCGCCCGCTGCAGATCGCATCACCGTCCGCATACCACGGGTGTAGAACTACATACCTCACCTGCGGTATGGTATCTACATGTACGTATCGTGAACTCTATCTGCTGACATGTACGTATACATGTCTGTAGCGTAGCGTAGCGCACAAAAGGTAGGTAGCGTAGGTAGCGCTGAATCCTTCCCGCAGGCCTCTCTGATGAGGCTGATGACACCGCGCTGACACAGCCTAGTTGCACCGCCGCTCCAGGTTCGCCTATACGCCTATAGAATAGCTGTAGCAGTCTCGCAGCAACTATGTTGATGGCGGTGTCTACATTCGACTGCTAATAGTCCAATTCTGTGCCTCTGAGCTGTCAACTTTGATACCTCAGGCACCTTACTACATTCTACCTTCTACCTGAACGGCACGACTGGCTCAGAATTACGCGCGCATACTGTGTGAGTTGTTACCTACAATAGAACAACGTGTAGCGGACCTGTCAGTCTCAGGTAGTGGTGCTTGCTTACCTCTTACTAGAACTACAATCAATACGCGGCCGACTACGCCAGACTGTGCCAGTCAGCTTGATCACATCGCAGTATCGCTGGCGCGTCCGGCAGTATAGACCTATAGGCATGGTACTCTTGACGCTGGCTCGAAAGTCCCTGATCTTGAGCAGGGCTACGGCGAAGCAAAGCAAAGGGTCGTCGATAGTCTATACTGCTCTAAGCTAGAGGCTGACTTGCTTGTTAGCCGCGCCGCAGCAGTACTATAGTACGTACTAGCTACATGTACCTCGCTGATAGAAAAAGGGTTACCACGCAAGATTCCAGCTTGCATATAATACCCTGACTTATAGTCTTACGGGTGCCCGCCTCTCGCGCGCGAAGTCTCTCCCTCAAATTCAGCTTCGGTACAAAAAGAGGGGACAAGCAGTGCTTACATTTTTAGCAACGAGCAACTCCAGTTACTCTACAAAAGCTACTAGCTAAGTATACATCGAAAGATATAACCGATTCGATCTCGAGATTGGACAGAATAGCGCTGCCAACAAGAAGACCAACAAGGCTAAAACGTAGCACAATGTCTACTACACGCCCCGCTTACTGTATACAGGTACCTTATTCTACCCGGACAAGCTACACACAAGCTATTCTGGGGAGATGATAACAATAATAAAAAGCAAGGTAAAAAAGTATTTTCGTCCTTTCTCGGGGTGCACAGCATTGCTTCGCTTCGTTCTGCTCTAGGTACATCTAGGAACTTGTTCTTATAGCAGAGCACGAGTTGCGTACCTTACTTATATAAGGCATCCTTTTTTGCGATTCTATACGATCTCACTGCTGAAGGTAGATTGACTTCAATCGTGATCTGTATACCTGCCTACCTGATCTATCATAGGTAACCTCATCCAAAACCCCCCTCTTCTTTCGGAGTCTACTCCGAAACCCCTATAGCACTGACCTCCTAGCAATACATCATTCAAAAAGTATCCATACCTACGGAGTCTCCGTCTGAACCACACTACACCGCATACATACATCATCATTATCATCTTCAGAACCTAAACTCTACACACATGACTCGTTACATGTAACTTTCCCCTCCCGTCTGCGCGCTCTCCTCACTTTGTACATGACATACATAGCGGTGGTCGTGGCGGCGGGAGACGTTACCTTTTTGAGTTCCCGTTCGTTTTTTTTTTCTTTTTACCCTTTGTATCATCAGATATACAGTACCTAGGTACCTGTATGGAGGTACCTTTCATATTGATCTCTGGTACCTTCTTAGGTTAGGCTACCTAGGTCAGGTACATCATGTATATATCGGGATCGGATCGGGATCGGGATCTTCGGAATCTTGGGAGGATCGGGAAGGGGAGTTTTGATACATCATGCTATCGGCGAACATGTCGCAGGTGACAGGCCTGCTTCAAGAGTATTGGGTTTGAGTAGAGCAGTAGGAGGTGTACTGCTACCTTAGTGCTGCTGCTGATCCTGCTGCTACTGATCCTGCTGCTACTTACATGTATGTACTTGGCGTCCTTCGTCCCTTCTTCCCTTCTTCATCATCATCAACCGAAGCGTTGATCTGATTCGAATATAAGGTATTCCGATTCAAAAATCTTGACGATAACCCGAACAAGTCAAATGAGATCAGTACATACCAATGTAGGTGTTATTCATTACTCACTTCTTAGCGGGCCATATGTAGACCAGAGTCGAATCTATCGTGGCAGAGTTTGGAACAAGTGTGATAGCGCACGTTCCGAACTGTCTGTCGTTGTGCAACAAAGTTCTCGTGCGGATCTGTTGTGGTTGGTGCACCTGCCACACGAGCCGCGACACGAATGACCACATGTCGACGTTATTCCGCGCGGGGAAGTGGACAGCAGTAGCTACCTACATGTACGGTCGGTTGTCTGACAACACCGCAACTGGACCTTATAGCCACAGATGCCTGGTACCTATATAGGCACGGGCTTTCTTGACGAGCGCCTGACCTCGAATACATGTAGGGCCAAGATCATGAAGTTTATGACAAGGAACACTGTTCTTCAGATGACCACATGGGAGCCTGATTGCGTTCATTATAACCTGGTATTTTCCACATCAGCCTTATCCACAAGATGACTTCTGACATAGATGGCTACAGTCCTGGAATTGACGCTGGCAGGGCTATTGGCATCTGAAGGTTTTGTGCATAGCTTTGGAATGATACCTCGCCTGGCATCGATGATGCAGCCCGGAAGGCGGTCAGAGCACTGGAAGCCTCTCGGCATCCTCCCTCTGGACTATACAGAGCAAATTCATCAGGCTGCTTGACCTGAATGACAGGTCCAGCGTGTCGCGGGCAACAGAGCTTCCAAGAAGAGCCGACCTGTTCTCTGCCATGCAATATGCCAATGACTTTCTGCCACATTGAAAGATTCCAGTACGTCGCAATGTTGCCAATGAGATGTATGCCGTGCTGTGTACGAGTGCGAAGAGCGTGGATACGGTTGTCGCGAGGAAGATGGAGAATTGGAGATAATGATCGAAGTGGGGTCGTCCCGATCCGCGGGATCGGTCCGAAGTCGGCCGAAATCACACCTACCTCTATGTAGCTGCCATCTTTGGTCAATCAACCTAGAAAGGAGCATCATCCTCAATACCATCAAAAGTTCCAGACTTCCAGTTGTGTTTACCAACCGCCCGGCGTCATATATCGCACCGCACCACAGGACCCATTGCGTCTCATGATCTACCGCGCACTACGACCCTCCGCACCATTCCGCACAATCGCTAGTCGCATCTATTGCAGGCGTTGTAGAAGAGGATGCGGGAGTCTGCTATACAATGGCCGCTTGGTTTAGGAGCTAGGGATCTGGTTGGCGCGGGTATCACGGCGGTGGTCGCACGTCTTGACGCTGTCGTCAAATTCTGTGAGCCTTCGCGATCGCACTTTTTGGAACGAGAGAAGCTCGTCTATCAACGTCTGGGTCACGATCACAGCGGCATCGTTCGCTATTTCGGCGCCTTCGAAAATGCCATCGTATTGCAGTTTGCAAGCCATACGTCGATTAGACAGTACTTCGCTCGGCAGAAGAAAACACAAGTCCCACTTACTCTGAAGCTTCGATGGGTAGAACAACTTTTCGATGCCGTTCGGTTTATCCATTCAAGAAACGTGTTGCATGGCGACATATCGTGTAACAACGTCTTCCTCGATGACAATCTCGACGTAAAGCTAGGAGATTTCGCTGGGTCCGCTATTGACGACCATCCCCCACTCATCTGTTATGAGACCAGCCACGAACTTCCTGGTGAAGAAGATATCTCAGCAATGACCGAACTTTTCGCACTGGGCTCTACTGTTTATGAGATAATGACGGGCGTAAAGCCATACAAAGAGCTACCTGAGCACGAAATATCTGCGGCTTTCTCCGAGGCTCGCTATCCTGATCTAGGAACGGTCCCTGTCTTTAGGAGCACGATTATGAGATGCTGGAGCCAGAGCTACGCAACTGTAGATGAAGCCCTAGAGGAAGTGAGATCAGAGGGTACGTCCAATCCTTTGGCTGAGCTGCAAAAGCTGACCATTCATATAGTCGCTACCAACAAAGATTTACGTGTGTCCCTCACTCACCATCTTTTCGGCCGCCGATCAGTCTTCATCCATTGCCTCCTAACTGCGGTTTCCTTGATTCCATTGGTAGGCTGGGTACGACGCTGGAGGTTACTTCAATGACGCGTGTCAGCAACTTTCGTAACCAAAGTCTCCCACAGCTTACCTTGGCTATTCGCGGCGGACATTGTGGGCGCCCATTCACCAGGCTTTTTGGAAGAGCCGATCAGAATCACGTTCCCGCCCAGGTCCTTAGCTGGAGAAGCATCTGGGCAATAGTGCCCATTCTCTTTGGCCATTCGGCACTCGTCCCATTTTCGATTTCCTTCAATGTGACGAGGTTGAGCTCTACATTTACTGTAGTAAACCGAGTGGTCGATGTAATGGCACATCTTCGATGAATTTGAGGGGAATCAATGAACTTGAGGGGAATCAATGAATGTTCGTTGAGATGATTGCTTGCTTGTGGAACTAGTAAAGTCGGGCTGCTACCTCCTTCAAATGTGGAGACCTGCAATGCGCACTTCAAGGCGGCCGACGGTGCGCAGGGTTGTTGCACAGCCACATTGAAGACAGCTCTGAAGCAGTCTTTTGAGCTAGGGCTACTGGACGAAGAGCCGAGTGCCTTTCGACCGATCACTCCCTCCGACGCACAGCACATCGTCAGCATAGAATGTCGACTGCGCTCTAGATAGGTAGGTAGAGCAACACCAGTCAGGACAGACAGGGAGGGACCTACCTACTGTAAGGTAGCGTCCTGCTCTGAATTTTGCCCGGCTCTCACCTTTAGCTAGGCATGTATAGTATGTACCTCAGGTAGGTAGATGGGAACTAACCTACATAACACACACACACACACACCTGACCTACCTACCTTACTACCCACCCGAGTTTTGTTCCTTTTTCCATTTTTCCTTTCAATCATCAAAATCAAAACTAAAGCGGCCAACACCTGGTTTGATTTGATTTGATTCGAAATCCGAAATCCTAAATTTCCTCTTTTTTCCTCTTTTTTTTTTACTTTTTGCCCCCCGGGAGGCCCAATCCAAGGAAAGTCAAACCGTCGAAAAAAAAGCACCAGTAGCTTGATATCTTATGAGTACGATTAATTGGTCTGAGAGGCATACATACCTAGATTAAAGAAAGGGAAGGAAGAGGAGGAGGGAGGAAGCGGGGCACACATGGTAACGAAGAGGGAGAAAAGGGAGAAAAAGAAAAAAATCAGACAATTATTCACTTCGCATTTCGTCTTGGGGGTATCTCGATGCTTCTTCAGGGTACTTTGAAAAGAAAAGGACAAAATCCACCCGAAATGCCCCTATTTCTCGCTTGCTTGATGCCAAAAGACAGAGGATCATGCGCCTTCTGCCTGCATTTTTGATGCGTTGCAAGTTCCTCATGTATCGCTCCACGCTGTCTTGTGAAGAACGTTTCTTCTTCTTCTTCTCTGTCCGCTGAGTGAGAGGATCAAGTCTAATCCGCGATCACTGTTCTTCCCCGTGGAGTTTCTCTCTCTCTCTCTCTCTCTCTCCCTCAAATGCAGCCGTCCGTCAAACGCTTCACACCATACGAACTGGTCGAGCACTGCTGTATTCAAACAGCATATCGCCATCAGACCGCTACACGAATGCATGAGTCGTGCTCATGCATGCTGCTCGAGCCTCCAGTATCGATCCTAGCCCAGCATCCGTAAGCCCTCGAGTTTTTTCTTCTTCTTTGCGGCAGCCACCTCTTCCGCAAGAGCCTGTTCTGCCTGTTCCTTGGTTGCATTCTACGCATCCCCGAAGAGGCCAGCGACGCCCTCTAGTCCCTCCTCACCGCCTCGCACGACACCAGTGTTCTCTGCGGCCATCGTATACTGCGACGCCACACCCTTGTTCTCCTTCTTCTTCGCTTTGGCCTGCTCGACTTTGCCCATTTCATGAATGGATACACCTCTAACGCCTTCGAGCAGCTCAAGCACTGCGCTGCGCTGGGAGCGTTCGTTGTGTGTGCGCAGCATCTTCGCCATGGCCTTTTCGAGCTTGGGCTCCGTGATATCGGGCAGGGACAAGAGGACGTGACGCGGAGTGGCTGTTTGAGGGCCGTACATGACTATGATGTTCGCAATGAGTGTTGCCAGCTCCTTCTGCACATCTGCAAAGTATGGGTCATTGAGAGAAGTGATACAAGCTTTGAGCACTTCCGTGCTGATGAATTCGCGAACGGAAGCTGCTGAGTCGGGGCTGACGACGGATCCATTAGGCGCGGTGTGCGAGAACAGAGGGATGAGGGTGCGGAAGACTTTGCATATGGTGGTGCAGCATCTTCCGTCATGCAGTCGGAGTGCATGTGTGCAGAATAGAATCATAGGCTCCAGAACCGACGGATCTGTCAGGATGAGGTCGCTCAAGGCTGCCGTCTTCATCTCTGGATCGTGGCCATTCATAGGTGCGTGCCGGTTGTTGCCGGCGTGCGCTTGGCGTTGGCTGTCGAACTCGAGCAACCATGGGACAAATGTCACCATACTGTACGTCAATTGGCGCAAGACGCTCTCCGTGCGCATCTCGTCGCCGAGCTCGTCATTCTCCTTCTTGTTCTGCTGCTCCGCTTGACTGATGGCCTCCCAGTCGGCTGAGATCTTGCCATCGAGACAAACGAAGAGCTTGCGGAGTATGGGCGGCAAGAAGTCGCCACGGTGACGGGTCGGACATCGCTGCACGAGGCCCGTCGTCAGGTTGATGAGAGGGTGCAAATGGTTCGCGCTGAGGCTTCCAGCGTCGTCGAAGAGTGCCGAGGAAAGGGGATGGGCAAGATTATCAATTCCGTAGAATTGCTCCTCAAACTTGGTCATGAGGTAGATGATGTGGTAGCCCATCTCACGCACGTTGCGCATGGTGCCTCTCACTGTGCTCGCAAAGCCCTCATAGCTCGTCTTGGAGCCAGAAATGCGCGCGTAGAACTCCTCTTTGCTCTCGCTCGAAATGCCAGACTGCCAGAATCGATCTTGCAATGTCCGCTTCACCACCATCTGTAGTTCCGCGGGGAGATGGCGCCAATTGGACATGTTGTGAAAGGCTTGAGCATGCCGAGTCATCTGGAGCAAAGGGTGAAGGATAGATGGTATCAGAGGTCCCCACAATTGACATGCAGTGTCGTATTCAGGAGTGCCAGCTCGCAGCCTCTCTGTTGCAGCAGACAGCAACGACTTTGTCATTCGCAACGGCAAACGATCGCCCTTTTCTTTGATCTCATTCTGTCGTGCTTGGCCGGCCTCGTTCAATGTGCGTGCTGACCAGTCTGGCGTGCGAGCAAACTCATGCTCTTGGTAAAAGTCCGCAATGTTGGTCAACCCAACGGTGGCACAGAACGCTTCAAAGTCCGAACAAGAGGCCTGGAGTGCCTCACCGGTCCATGCTTCGTAGGTCGATTGGAGCATTTGCTGTAAGCGAGCCAGTCTGACCTGTTCATCGATGCCTGTTGCACGATGCACAATCATGAAAAGGAACGACCGGTAGCCCCAGACGAGCCTCTGATCATCGCCATACTGTTGCGCGAGAGTCTCTATGCGCAGCTCCAGCTCGTTGTAGACTTCGAGTAGCACATTGGGGTACGTCAGAGCCAGTTTCTGAAGCTCAACCACTCGCAGCGCTTCAAATGACTTGATAGCGTCCGAGAATTGGCTGTGTTGGGGCTGGTCTTCGAGTTGCATGGTGAGCAAATGCTGAACCATGGCAAGAATGAAGCTTTGTGGTGGTGACTCGAGCACGCGCAAGACGGCCACCATGGTTTGCAGCAGCTCATCTGCCACTCCTGGATCATCGGTATGTATGCTGGTCATACCGTGGCACCATTGTTGGAGTGATTCTAACGCCTGGCGTTGATCCTGCTGTACCTTTGCGAACAGCTCATGGTCCGTGCTGATTTCACTGACGTCTCGTGTCCATGATGCATAACCCTTGAGCGCAGCGGCCACGGTGCAGTACGAAGCGTCAAATCTCAAGACTGGGTAAGCAGATTTGGTGTATGTCGAGCTGTCAAATCCTCTCGCCGTGGTATAAGGTCCAGTCTCCACCATCTCTCGCATTTGGTTCAAGACAATTGACAGCGCATCTATTGGCCGCATACGCGCTATACCCTCGATGATGGTTGCTCCGTATCTGCGATAGTTGCCCAGGAAAGCATGTCGTTCAGGTACCGTATCGAAGTCCTCATCTAGCCAGCGCATTGTCTCGTCATCGGTCTCCTCAGGGAGAGCCTCATATCTGATTAGTCGATCACTGCACACTTCGAGCAGGATTGGCAGTGCCGTCAAGACGAGATCAATAATCTTGTCCTCGTGCACGTTCAGCAGCTTCGTCCAGCTGTGCAAGACTGGTATGGATACTGTCAAGCTCTTGTGCCGTGTCACCAGTGCCAACAGCTCGAACAGAGCAGGCAGATCCAGAGACTGCTCGGCGAGCGCTGGGTTGAGAGCGATCCCATCGGCCATGACCGACAAGAGTGCCGCCATCTTCTTTTGCAAAGTATACTTCTCGTCGTCTTCTCCTGGCACTGTCATTGTCACTTCAAATGCATTGCGAATCATGGTGATCTTGTCCGGTTGCATCGCCTGTCGAATGAGCGATGACCAGACTTCATTGGTGTTCGCGCCGTGTTGTGGCCGGCCTAGAAGAGCATACAGTACTTGGACTGCTGCAGTCTGCAGGACCACATTGGTGGTGTAGAATGGAAGATAGAGGCAGTCGACACAATTGACCTCGTCCACAGCTTTGAAGCTGATCCAGCCCATGATCGATCGCAGGGCATTCAATGCCTTGATCGCACACATTTCCATCTTTTCTGTTACCTCTGGCTCATCCTGTCGCAACCGGGCTTCTTTGACACATAGTGCAAAAAACTCCGTGATGCGAGCCAGCCAGCCTTCTCCCTCTGCCCTCACGTTCCTGATCTTGTCCTTTTGTAACGTCGAGTAGAAAACTTGCGGCACCAGTATCTCCACCAAACCGTCACCCAAGACATCCAGCCGCAGTCCTGCGACAGCATCGTCGCTATTGATGATGTCGTCGTTCAGACCTTCCAAGATGCCCAAGACAAGAACCTTGTTGACAACCCCCGTGTCCATCTTCCACAGGTCAATGAGGAGAGTGTCCATGTCCATCCACTCGCCGCCTCCCCACGATCTCTTTGCAACCTCGACCCATAGCTGGCCAACCTTGTTTCGAAGGTACACTGCATCCGACTCTCGCAGATTGCCAGCCAGTCGTTGTATCCAGGTTCGGAGCTGTGCTGCTTGGCCGTCGCTGTACTCGTTCCAGCGGTATCTCACAGCAAATTCCACCAGCTGCAGCCCGTAGTACCGCACAGCATTGTTCTGGTTCCAGTCATAGGCCAAAGTGAAGCCATGGTACGGCGCATCGTGCTGACTCTTGACAGCCTCGAGGTGCTGCAGAGCTTGCTGGCGGACAGTGTTCGAGACTCGCGGGTCGAGGGTCGCCTCTAAGGCGTTGGTGATGTGTTCGAGGTGTGCTGCTGTATCTGGTCGTTGCCAGTACGTGCCGAAGCCGCTTGTCGCCATGGTGGACGCCTCGTTCCGGGTGTGGTGCAGTGTTGGCGTTGTATTACGAGCTCAGATGCAGGTGCGGGTTACATGTCTTGCTCGCAGTTCGGAGCCTCTGTCGCCTGTGCCGCCTCTTGTGCCTCTGTGCCGCTCGCTGGCGCTCTGGCGGGAGGTGGAGTTGGCGACTGATTCGAGTGACCGGGTGTGACCCCTGAGGCCGACTAGAAATGCTAGTCAATGTGATGGTGGCCGTGGTCGTTGTCGTGGATGTTGTCCATACAAGTGGAAGTGTTCTTAAGCGGTCAGCTTTGCAAGCTAGAAGTAAGGTACCTTGTAAAGGTCAGGCTGCCAGCTGCAAGGTCGCGAATCGCGAACCGAACTTACCGAAGACGTGTCACGGGTACAGCCTTATTATAGGGCTGAACGTGCGCGTCCAGTAGGTATGCTTGCCGGGCTGTGAGTATATCACGGTTTACGGCGGTGGTGAACTACCTACTCAAGGGATCAGACTATATATCTCGAGCATTGACGAGGTCATCCGTCCAGATATGTAGACAGCGATCTGTGTTGCATTACTTCTACCACGCTGATTACGAATGGAATTCGTTTGATGACACAAAGGGGGGTTGGTGACGGGGGCTGTCTGATGAAGCCTCTCACGCGTTGCCATGATTCACACATTCGAATTCCAGCACACGATTCTGCATCACCTCGCCTTCCACCTCACACGTCCCACCCACTGTGCCCACTTCTGGATATCATCCCTCTCCATCAATCGCTCCACACTGAACAGCTCCTTGGCCAGCATCTCATTACTCGCAACCCGGTGCACATACGAGTGGCAAGCTCGACACAGCCATGCGACCTTGTTGAGCTCCCACTCCTTGTGCCAGTCGCGCTTGACCGCTTTGGCATGGACCGCACGAGGAATTAGATGGTGGTATGTGAGCGGCAAGTGCTCCCGCTGGCAGATTTCACAGCCGTCGGGGCGGGATGCTGCAATGGCCGGCGTGTGCTCTGGCGGAGCAGCAGAGACGGAGGAGACGTATGCATTCAGCGGTGTCTCGAGAAAGCGGTCGAGATCCAGCGGGTCCACAATGAGGGAATAGGTTACTAAAGAATCTGCTATTGCCAGCGGCAGTGGCTTCATGATGGCTTCCAGCAGTGGGCTCTCCAGGGGCGTCGTGTACTTCTCGGCGAGGCTGCTATCATCTTGTATCGAAGCATACGAGAGCGTGCGAAGGTCAAAGGGAAGACTAAGAAATATTTCCTCGGCGAGATACTACTGGTAAACTTATTGCTCAGCAAAGCTTTGGTACTACCTACTTGGCTCTGTGCTGCTGACCTCTATGAAGTCTGCGAGATCGGCTGCATCGTTACTGTCTTCGCCATTGCTTTCCACTACTCTCGTGACAGGTTTGATCTCGTTCTTTCTGCCCTTGATCTTCTTCACAGGTTTGCCCCCATTCGGGGCGAGTTTCTGGATCACAGTATTGGACAAGCAGTCTTTGAAATTCTCAAAGTTTTCTACCTCGTTCTCGGCGATCATCTGAGGCTGTTGGTATGGTGCACGTGGTAAGTATTGGTTGTATACAAGTAGAGGTTGTTGATGAGAGAACTTGGAGTTGGAGGTGTGTGAACAGGGATTCCGTCATGGATCTTCGCACCCCTTTCTCTCGACATCCTCCTCGGCAACTCTCTTACAAACACAATTCCCCCTTCCTTAATCTTTGAGTAACGAACACATCACTTGTCATCTTTCTCTGTTCATACGCAATGGCATTCATCATACTATAGTCATGACAATCTTGTCTTACAAAAAACATCCTCAAACACTCAGTCTATGAGCTCCAGCACATTCTATCTACCTACTGACCTACATATACCCACTAACCTCAAAAATTCCCATCACGTGAGGGCGCTTGGTAAGAACACCCCCCCGATTAGTTCTCGTGGAGACACCTTGCTAACGACAAAGCAGGTCTAGGGGTATGATTTTCGCTTCGCATCTTCAATCTGATGATATCAGTTGAACGCGTAATTTGTGAAAGGTCGTGGGTTCAATTGTGAGTTGCCTCTTCGAGCTCAGGCTATTCGACTTGTGGAAGTACCTTAATCTAATAAGTTGCAGCCCACAGCGTCCACTTGTATTGTGATTTTCTTTTGTCCTTTTTAGGAGAGCTTGCTGGGCGCTCTTTTTGGATCTTTGTAGTCAGTTCTCACGATGACAACAGCAAGGCCAGGGATACTATTGCTAGGTACCTAGGTACTGATAGCAAGAAACATCTTGGAAGTACTACTAGCAGTTTGTCTGAAAAATCTCTTAGGCAATACTTTTTTGCTTTATGCTGTCTGCTCGAGTCCCGTAAAGTAAATATTCGAGATTGGGAATCGACTCTGTGCCCCTCACTTGGATATACTGCCCCGCCTTTGCCTAGTCCGAGCCTTACGAATTCTCAAGTTAGAAGCTGTACTTTAATAGCGGTACCCTAGCATTCGTTATAGGTAATAAGACTTTTTACTAGGATATTGTGTTGGATAGGGAGTAGTAGATTATGCACTCACTGGGTCTCACTCTATGCTCCCCTATTGCTCAATTGGTCCCAATAGGATATCCCGTTGACAGAACCGGTAGCAACTTGTTTGCGACAAATATATTATAGTATGTCTCCTTCAAAAGCACATGTTGTAGGGCTTGTAGCACAGTGGTAGCGCGCACGCTTTGCACCGGACAGGGGTTTCTCCTTAGTCCAATTTGTATGCGTGAGGTCTTGGGTTCGATCCCCAACTGGTCCAATCAGGATTGCCTCGTTTTCTGGAGTTCGTCTCTCCTGTGAGCATTTCATTTTGCTTTGCAATCTCTTTTTGACCTATTCGTGGTTTCTCATAGGCACCTGCTAGGAGGTGGTAGTATTCTCATTTTCCCCTGATTGAATGAAGTCTGCTACTATCTTTTGGGCCACGCGAGTGCCTGAGACCTGTTACTGCGCCTCGAATGTGCTACAGACTACCTTGTTAGCGTGCATAGCCACCAGCACCAGCACCAGCACCAGGTAGCAGGACTCGCAGGCATGGCCATCTTTGCTCCCCCATTCCAATACCGACAATACCTACGAATGACTCGTTTGGACTCTGTACGAGACTCTGGTATTGACCTTTGTACCTTTTTCTTCTTCGTTTTTTTTTCTCCTTTTTTTGCCGACATCGATCATCACAGAGACTGCTTGAAAGACTACAAAGACACATTTGATCATGCCTTTCCAGCCACATGACTATCGACCAACGTCGCCCTCTTCTGTGGCTTCTTCTCGGGGCCGCAGCAGGTGATGTTCGGGTGCTTGGCAAAGTGCAGGGGCACAGCCTCACGTCCGTCGGCCTCACAGCATTTTATCTCGCTGCCTACACTTGCATTCGCGTCCAACGCTCGGCAAACACAGCGAAACCGTCATGTAGCCATAGGCATCTGCATTTATACGTCTTGTATTCGTGGCAGGTAGGTCCTAGCGCCGCACATTCGAGCATATATCCTGGCTGCTATTCCTTGGAGTGACTACACCAAGACATTCTTGCTCACCGAGTGACACCTCCTTGGTTCACTCATACCGCCTATTGGTTCTTTGATATATCCTGCAGATAATACACTTCACCATGACAGAGAACAGCAAAGCACAAGAAGCACTGCAGGACGCAGAACAGTTCGCAGCAGCCCCGCCACCAGCATACGAAGAGACAGCGACGATGGTGACGGAGACAGACGGCTTTCAAGTCATCGAAAGACTAGACACCGTGCCAGAAGACGAGAAAATTCCAGTAGAGGACCTAAACACCGCGGTGATGGACACCAGCACGATACCGAGCAGGACCCCTTCGATGTTGAAGGAGAAAGGCCCTGCGTACCCTCCACGACCCAGTCCAGCTCCACCCTCGACAGATGAAGCACCAGTGAACGATGAAAAGGACATCATCGCGCCTGTCTTCGAGAGCAAGGATGCGACACCTGTTGTACCAACAGCAGAAGAGGAAAAGAAAGCGCTACAAGTCCACTTTGCAGACGAAGAACCACCTCCTACTCTACCACGACGACCCACGACGACACGCTTTTCGGAAAACTTCTCTCACGACCACGTATCCCCGGACGTCCATCGACCGATACCTTCACCTGCCCTCGAAGCACCTGGAGGAGCACCTGTGACATACACATTCACCTGGCATCGTCCCAGGGATGACTTTCCCACACTCCAGATCACCCCATTGAATGGTGCTGTGATCCCCTCCAGCTTCCCAGATATCCCTCCTACTGCAAGCTGGCGACTCAACTACGACACCAAGTACCACGCCTGCCTCCACCGGTACACCGCTTCTCCCAGCGAACCCGACAGACACACCAGTCAAGCAGGCGACTTCCCCTTTCGCCGAATCGCAGAGTTCCAACTCCCCGACATCATCATCCCCGGCGCAGGCTGCGGCGCCGTAGTAAAATTCGACCCTCACGAGGAAGAAATCGCGCGACTCGGAAACATCGCAAGCAAAACCCCTCACCCTCGCGTCCAAAAATTCATGCAATGTGCCGGCTGGTTCAGCACACGCTACAGCATGGAAATCCCCGTCCTCGACCATCTCCAAACCACATGGAAACCTCTTCCCCGACCCAGCACGACCCGCATCATCGGCGGAGCCATTAACGAAAACACTCAACAAGAACTCGCCATTGTCGAACGCAAAACTACAGACATTTCTCGCGAAGCCAAAAAACGCAACGTCACCCTCGTCACCCTCGGCGACCTCATCGATCAAGCCCGCCGCACCCTCGACGATGAAACTTGGACCCCTTATGCCCCGCAACAACTCCTCGTGGACTTTGACGGCCGCCCCATCGCTACTTATCAACGCGCTTCGCCTTGGGCGAAATTCGCTGGCACATTGACTATTCATCCCCAGCAACAGCAGAATTTCGAACCTTCTTCTTCTTCATCATCATCTTTCACGCCCGAATTCTTAGAAGGCATCATCATCTCCACCAGCGCCATGGTCGCCATGCAAGACCGCATCGGGCTCTCATCAGGTTTAATCGACGTGGCGAATTCGGGTTTGAACGCCGCGGATAAGGGCGCCATGTGGTCTGCTGAGCAATGGAGAAGAGCGCAGAGGGAGTGGAAAGCTAGGAGGGCGGGGGCGGGGAAGAACACTACTACTGGGACAGCAGAAGAGGGGAGTACGAGGGAAAAAGAAGGAGGAGGAGGAGGAGGAGGAGGGACGTATCCATATGGCGGACAGCAGAGAGGTGGGATGAGAGGTGGAATGGAAGAGGATGAAGAAGGGATGGTGGGGAGTGAAGTGTTTGATGATGAGAATGGTTTAGCGGGGGTGTTGAGTCCGGAAGAGAGGGAGAAGGCGAGAAGAGAGCAGATGGCGTGGGATGAGAAGAAGAAGAAGAAGAAGAGTCAGGAGGTAGAGAGGAGGGTATCCTCTGCTGCTGCTGCTGCTGCTGTGCCAGTTCGGTCGACAATGGGGACGAGAGATGATGATGATGAAGGGAGAAGAAGGCAGACGATGGTGAGGTGGGAAGAGAAGCCCAAGGTTGTGTATGCTTAGCTACCTAGGTAGGTAGTTGGGAGGTTGGGTTTTTGTTTTTACAGTTTTTGCATCAAAGGGGGAGGGAGGTCAGGGCCATTCATGAAATCTTCCTTTTTTCACCGAGTTTGAAATACCTATACAATGTACCGAGTATTTCCTAAAGCTGAGTTTCCGTCACATTCGCCGCGAGATGACGATACTGTCATGTCTGCTGCAAAAATTACACACATGCGTGTACATGTATCCACGATAGACAGAGAAACTGGCTCTACCACTCCTCGTCATCCCCGACCTTGACAGTCCCATCGGCTTCCTCCTCGGTAATCTGTCTCAATCTCCCCGTCTCGACCTCCATGGCTTCATACCTGCCCTTGAGTCTCTGACTCAGGTATTCATACCTCTCTTTGGCAATCCGGCCTTCCTCTGCCATTCTTCTCAGGTCCTTTGCATCTTCCATCAGCGTCGCCATCCCCTGCTCAATCAGATTCTCCAACACGGGAACCTGTTTCCAGAAAATCTCCGTATACCTCGCCTTGTCTAACATGACCTTCAGATGCCACATGGCATTCATCGCAAGTGTGACGCAAACTTTTCGTTCCAGGACGACAATATTGTGTTTGATATTGGAGATTTCTTCCGCAGATAAAGGAATTTCATCGCCGTCTCGCGATAGACGATAGCATTTTTTAAGGAGGTCCTGGAGCTGGACGATGTCGCGTCTGTCCTTCATGGCGCCACGTACACTGCGTTGCTTGATAAAGGGGCGATAGCGGCCTTGTTGGTCGTGAGGATCCTCCGGGAGGGAAAGGTAGTCTGACACTGTCGATTGCGCGGCCGAGGGGTCGAGGACGCGGGAGAGATTGTCGACTGGAACGGGTTGTGCGGCTGACATCGAAGCGTAGTGACGAGAGTGGGACGGTGCGCCGAAGCAGGCAATCGCAGGCGGCGCGAAAGACGAGTACGGTCTCTTGGAGGTCGAGGAAAGGAGACCCAATGTGTGAGTAGAACGGGATGATGACTGCGGCACTGGATACGCTGCATCTTTCGGATTGTCGCTGGAGGAGTTCCTATTGGCGTGATCGGGCTTATCGAAGTCAGAATCATCTTCATCCTCCTTTTGTTGCTCCGGACGTCGCTGTGCTTCTCGTGGCTCGTCGGTCGACCCATAGTCTGCAATCGTCTCCTGCTGCGGGGCTTCAACATCTTCGTCATTAGGTCTACTGAATTGTTCGAACAAGTCAACTTCCTCCTCACGCCTGACTTCTCCACCCGTAGTAGCGCGCGCTGCTACATCCTCGATATTTGTTTGAGGATCGAACTCCTCTTCTCCAATTATACGAGTGTAATCAGGCTCAATGGGCCCATCGACGCCTCGATAGCCCCGCATAGCGTAGCTCAGCGCCAGCGAATGAGAATTTATGGCGTCGATCCTCCGTACCATTCCTACGACAATGACATGGTCTTCCACTTCGATACATTTCTCCAGTAGCAATTCAATAGTTAGAGAGGCATTAATCCCGTGTCCATGAGGATCACGAATCTTTGGTGGTCCATTCTTTTTTATGGTGTTCGCAAGGCCCATCTCATCGAGCTCTACGAAACCTTTGTAGGGCTTGTCGTGCTGTTTGGTGAAAGTCTGTGCAATGGCAGCTCCTCGCGAAGTTCCAGCAATGACGTTAGCACGAAATATACCGGATTTTTTTATAGCATCCCAAGAGCTCGATGGTAGCTTCAGATTGAAGCTCACGATTGGCTGCGGCTGCAGTGTAACTGTGTTGAAGGACGATACTGTGACTCCACGAGCACGGTCCTGGGTCATTCTAGGTCCAGGTTGGGTAGATGCGACTACAACGACTGGATGAGTCAAAGTGCGCAGAACTTTGCGGAGGTCCTCGACTAATCGCGCCTTGGCCTCTTGGCCGCCGGGTGACCTAATGATTCTGTGCTTTGGGTAGCCGCGCTGCTTGAACAGTATCATGAGTCTGGTCGTTAAACGCGCCGTAATGTAGGAGCGGGCATCCGTAGTACCAGAGAGCGTGATTCTGGACTCGCCCTTATGAATATGGACCGGGCCATTGGATGTACTTTGCCATCCTGTTGGGAGCTCGTCAATCATGGTAGCCCAAAGTTCTGAAGAGTTTGGCCCATGGAGTCGGACGTCCTCAGAAGTACAGTCAGCGGAACGTGCACAGTACTCATCCAGGGAGCTAGTCTCGAACTCAAGCTTATGCGGAGTGAGGTTGTGGACTGAGCAGGCCTCGTCGACTTTCCACTGCAAAAAAGGCCGGAACTTAGCCAGCTCCGCCGGCAGGCCTGAAGTAACAAGCCCACCTTCGACGTTGGCAGGTATATGGACATATCCCACGCCCATACGTCTACGATGATCGTTGAGCCCACGCCCATTGGGACCCACAATCAGGCTCCGTACTTTTTCCGAGTTGTCGCCAATAATTTGTGCGTGGCATATTACATGTCCTTTAGCAGGTTGGCCAAAATCAGGGCGCCATTTCGATGTGTCGCCCTGGCGCAGGGCCTTGTTCCCATCGCCTATGAATTCTGATCGTGTATTCGATTGCCTGTTTGCAGACGATGATGCGACTCGTTTCGACTCCGCCACTTGCGAACTTGTGCCGATTTCATCATTCTGATTGAAAAGAAGGCCAACGATACGGTCCTTGGCTCGTCTCAATTTTTTGTACGATCCTGAAATGACGAACGAGCGTGCTATCGATGTCTCAGAAGAACCCGGTGCGCGCGGTCGCAGCTCCGGCTCGCGAATTTTGATGCTGACGTCGTACTTCGCTGCGAAGGAGCTGATGCTCGATGTCGCCACTAACTTCATGAAGGTCCTCTCCAGAACACTCAGTTCCATGGTCGTGGAAATGGCATTCCGCTCGCGCAGCACACTCTCGTTAGGCGAAAGTGTGCTTGACGGGCGAGTCTCCAGGGAGAGTACAGGCAGGTGCGTCCCGTCTTCATTCGCAAGTGATCCTCCGTGACCCGTAGGAGAGTCGCAACTGTAACTGCGCAGCGTAAGGTACGCGGCCGCCGTCTCAGCAAAAGTGCCCGATACCTGGACAGACACAACGGGCACACCCTCACCACCCTCGACACTCGCGATCGCGGACAACACCGTCACATCTATACTGCAGCCGTGCCTTTTTCCCAGCTCGGTTAGTCGATTGCCCATCGTTGTCTGCATCATCGCCAGGTCGGGGGCCGGGGCTGCATATTCAATCATAAGGCCGTAGTCCGACCTAAAACGCACAACGGCCTCACATGGCTCTAGGCTGTGAAATGGCTTCTGCGAGGCGTTCTGCACCTGCGCTGCCCTCCACCGCGTCACCACCTGGTCTGCTGAGCTCGCATCCTCTGGATGCACTTGTTCTCGGCCTGGTGCAGCCCTTGGTCGCGAAAGTCGAGAGCGGGCGCTCGTGATATCTGGATCTGGATCTGGATCGTCGCTCTCGTGCTTGCTCTTCAATCTGCCGTCTGTCTGAGGTATCGTGGATCGAGGCTCGCCATCCGCCAGGCGACTCGTCGTGTGGAGTGCATGTCCACGGCCTCGAGCTGCCGCTGTGCCCGGTCCCAGTGCAGCCGGGGCAGTGAGTAGCGTCCACTCGTAGAATGCGCGGTAGAAGCGGCGCGAGGCCAGACTCGTTCGGTTCATCGCTCGCTCCCCAAAGGCTGAAGTCCTTAAAACAGCTTCGGCTTCAGCTTCTCGACCAGAATCATAGGCGGCTTTGGTCTTGGCAGAACTTCACCTCCGCCTCTCCGCAAACAACGCCATCTCGACCACTTCACATCACCTCCCATCCCTTCTGCTCCTCATTTCAACAACATTGTCCCCCAGCCATCTCGCCAAAATGCTCACCACGCGCCCTGTCTGCTTCTCCTGCGCCCTCGCCGCCATACGGACTCAGATATCCCATCAACAGGTCCGCCACGCAACACTTCTCCGCCGACCGAAACGGCCCTACACCTTCACCCAACTCATCACACTCTCCGATGGCTCCACTTTCTTGCATCGAACCACGAGTCCCGCGCCCGTGTATCGCAGTGCAAAGGATACGAAGAATACTGCTATGTGGAATCCTTCAAATCAGAAATTTGTGAATATCGAAGAAGACGAAGCGGGGAGATTGAAGCGATTCAGGAAAAGATTCGGTAGGGGTTATGATGCGGAGAGCATGGGCGATGGAGAAGCAGTACGTACAGCCTATTTTATGCAGGGAATGGCGGAATGTTGCAAGCTGACTTTCGTTATGATAGGCGCTAGAAGGACAAGAAACGTTGGCTCGTGAGGGAGAGGATGAAAATTTGTTGGACTTGATCGGTGGGTATAACAAGGAGGCAGAAAAGAAGGGAAACGTGGCAAGTGTGAAAGAAGATACGAAAAGAAGTGGCAAAGAGAAAGGTGGGCAGAAGTAAGAGAGGAAGACTGCCATGCGAAAACGCCGCAGTGCGTCGAGCTGTGGATACCTAGGTAAGGCAGGACCTGTTCTCGCCGTGTATTCAAGCCTTGGCCTATTCCCGCGTCCGTGGATCTGGATGTCTGGCAGCGCGGTCAAAGGAGTCTGCGGTAGCCCATCCGTACCTGAGGTCGCGTCCTTGTACGTATCCTGCACCATTACCATCGAAGGTACAGTCGGTGCACCCCGACTGTACTGCCCTGGAATACCTGTCACCAGTGATTCATCTCAAACTGCACGACTATGGTTCTCCGATTCGCAATCGCGAGCTGTCTTGCCCAGAGTCCGCTCAAGTTGGCACTGGCGCAGCACAGGAACAGAATATGTAGTGATCATCTCCGTCGAGCATTGATCCTGCATGTCTAAGGAACTGGGTTCATCTGCTCTTCTGCTACCATTCCGTACAAATCGAATTGTCAATGGGTCGTTGATCAAGCGCGGAGACGAGACGGCGCCCATTGGTGCACCGGCGTGAGTGACCCAGGAGAACAATCTCGTGAACATTGGAGCCAAGTTTGGAATTTTCTCGCTTGGGCGTCGCAAATTCTGCTTTCTAGCACGAATGCGCCGCGGATTATACGATCGATGGCCCGAGCGATGCAGCCCGATGCGGCTCGATGTTCAAGATGAGCATGAATTCCTCGTGGTGACCAGCACCAGTGCATGCTTGCTCACTGAGGGGTGCAATATTGGCGAAGCTCCGATCGTGCATCGCTCCGGCACTGCGCCCATCCTCCTGCCAGCACTACAGTCATACGAACGGCGATGTCAATGCCTCGACCAATGGAGTGGCGGACATGCGTGGATCTTGTGGACTGTGCAAAGGATGTCTGCACCCGCTCGCGGGCTACATATGCGTGCAGCGACTTTGGCGACGTAGTGGGCGCGACGCATTACAATCACCCGCATGGATCCGGAGACGTGACACAGTCATAGCACCGCAAGGTTCATTGGATAAGCACGCAACTTACAAAGGAGGAGCAATATGGAACTGTCTTCGTCACTCGGGGGCAGCGACGTGGACAGTCTACGTGGCAGTGGCAGGAGCAGGAGGATGTTGTGAATGCGATCGCGATTCATGGATATGGCAGCCGCAAGGGGTGTGCAGGTGCGTGATGCTGCTGGGAGTGACTCCTATCTCTTGAGATGGTTGGGCAGGCTCGCTGAGCGTCGGGGGGTTAAGGAGAGTCAGGAGCTGAGGAGGGTTAGTCGGGCGACAACTTGGCAGAGTACCTTGTGTATCTATGACTGCGTTGGGTGCCATTAGGTTTGTCGAGCTCCAAAAGGAGCATGCGGGAGGCTGAGATAGGTAGATACCTTACCTTCTTAGCTGTCCCTAGGAGAGTGAGACGATGTGTGACGTTCTGGTCACCCACCCATCGGCCTGAGGAATCGATGGAGCTGTCAGCCGCGTATAAGAGACTGCCCTCTCTTGCTCTTCCTCCATCTTTCCTTCCCTCACATACCACTCCCACATTCAAATTTTCGACTGCAGAAAATTTGATATCATCACACCAACAGACTTTCGGCAGCCACGATCACCGTATGTCTCCCGTCGCCTACATCCAGCCCGCATGCAAGGCACAGCGGCCACCTGCATGGTGCATGAACGATCAAACGCTAACCGCTCCCGCCCGTAGATGACTGCCGAATCGGGAAAGCGCGGTCTTTTGGTCTAGAAGACCAAATGTGCTCTGCTGCCTCCTCCTCCTCCTCCTCTCCTCCCCCTCTCCGCCGCCCACGACCTCCATGCCATCGGCTTCGGCTTCATGGCAAGCCAGCAAGAGCCTTCCTTTGAGGAGAGCCTGTCCGCTCTTGCCTCGCCTCCCGCCCTCGAGTCGACCTTTCTCGACTCTCCCCTCGTCCGCCGCGCCAGCAAGCGCAATGAAGACGCGACCCACGACAAGTCTCTCAGCGGAGATGATGCGTCGAGCCTGTTCTTGTTGCCGCGCCCCTCCGCGTCGACCATGAACAGCTCGTATTCGTCCAATACGATGACGGCGGAGGAAATGGCCGCCCCCGTGACCCCTCGGGCCCTGTCGCCTGAGCAGAAGGCGTACCGCGCATACGAGGCAGACCTGGACAACGCCCTCGACACCGCCATCACCCGCCGCGTCCAGTCCATCCAGGTGCCAGAGACCGTCGCGCGCGACTTCCGCCTCCGCACACGCTCCATCTCTCCCGACAGACGCCCAGCCTCATCAGGCGGCTACGGCGAGGCTTACCTCAATGCGCGACCACGTAGAACGCTCACGCTGAAGGAACAAAACGCGAAGATGGACGCCCTTACCAAGGAGAATTTTGATCTCAAGCTCAAGATTCACTTCCTCAGCCAGGCTCTGCAGAATCGCAGCGAGGATGGCATCAAGGAGCTTGTCGACACCAACGTGCAGCTGCAGACCGACCTCGCCAATGAGCGCAAAGAGAACGCGACCATGCGAAAGAGGATGCGCGACATGGAGATGCGACTCAAGCAACAGGCCGAGGCACTGGCAGAAGCGCAATCGCAGCAGAAGAGCACTGCACGCGACGACGAAGACGACAATCCGACTCTACAGGCGCAGATGCACGAAGAGATCTTGTACCTTCACCAACAGAATGATCGTCTCGAGGAGCAAGTCACAACTCTGCGAGAAGAAGTCATGGACAAGGAGCTGGAGAAGCGCAAAATGGCAGAACACATGCGAGGGATGGCTGGCAAGCGTGGCCAGGATGCAAACGGCATGAAGGAGATGGAAGACATGTGGCAGGATCTGCTCAACGCCGAGACGGGTCGACGCGAGCAGGCCGAGGACGAGATTAGCGCTCTCAGGAACGAGCTCACGAAGCTGCAGATGGAGAAGGCATCGCCAGCACCGAACCGCGTCGCTGATCGCAGTCTCAAGACTCCAAAGAGACGCAGCCACATGCAGTCAGTGGACGAAGAAGACTCATCTGCGGAGGAAGACATTGCCAACGGCGTTAGAAGCGTTCAAGGCGACGTGATCGAGCAACTCAAGCACGAAAACGACGAGCTTCGACGCAACTTGGGAGCTCAGACTAGCATGCTGACCTCTCGCAACCGCGAACGTGAACGCCTGCAAGAGGAGATTGAAAGCCTCAAGCTTCTGCAGCGCAAAGGCGACGGAAGATCTTTGGCTGGAGAAAGCATCTTCGACCGATCAATCTCTCGCGCCCATCAGCGATCGCAGTCCCGAGCAAGTGACCATACTGCCGTCACGGAAGCCGAACGGGACGACTGGCACAAGAAGGAGGGCGAACTTCGCGATAGCAATGCGGAACAGAGACTCAAATATCAAGAGCTCGAGCGCAAACACACCCAATACTTGAACTACATACAGGTCCTGGAAAGCGACTACCAGCAGATGGAGACTGAGCTTGATGAGCATCAGCAGGATCTCAAATCTCTGCAGCAGGAGCGCGACGAGCTCATACAGTTTGGCGAGGACAAGGATGCCGAGATTGCGAACATTAAGGAGGAAGCAATTGAAGAGATCACTGCCCTCGAACAGCAGCGCTTGAAGCTGGAGAGTAGGCTCGAAGAAGCATACAATCACCTCGACAAGACACAGTCGAAGTTGAAGACTACCACCGATGGTTACCAAGGCCTACAGGCCGAACTCCGCGACATCACAGCCCGAGTTATCGACTTGGACGATGTCAAAACGCATAACATGCGTACGATCGAAACCCTCGAACAGCAAATCGCGGAGGCTGAAGAAGAGATCACGAAATGGGAGCAGAAGTGCAACGAGCTCGATCAGAAGAATCGCAAGCTCGAGATCACCGAAGAAAGCCTACATTCTGAGATTACATTCCTCAGAGAAGAGCAAGAAGGTGACAAGATCAAGATTGGAGAGCTAGAAGGCTCGCTTGAGGCAGCACATGCAAGCATACAAGATGAACAGGAGAAGTTGCGCGAGCTAGGGGAGAGCATCGCAGAGGAACGCCGACAGCGCGACACCCTGGAGAATAAGTCCAAGGAAGACGTCCAGAAGGTGCTGGACGATCTCAACGCGGAGAACGCCAAATCCAAAGACGAAGTACGCAGATTGCGAAGAGCACTATCTGCCAAGGAAGTCGAAGCCACCAGCGAGAAGCAGAAGCTGGATCAGCTCGAACAGAGCCTACGCAGCATCCTAGGGGATCGTGATGGAACACGACAGAGCTTGCTCGGCGACATCGAGAAGCTGCAACGGGAGCTGGAGACGACCATCACCCAGCTTGACAGAGCAAAGATGGACATTTCGGACAAGGATAGACTCCTTCGTCATCGTGATGGCCTACTGGAGAGCACCAGTCTGGAAAGCAGAAGACTGTCGGACCTGCTCGAAAAGGAGCGAAACCAACGCAAGCACGATCTCGAGTCATTCGAGAAGGCTTCGCGAGGACAAGCAACACACATGCGCACTATCGCGCAACAAGAGTCCAAGGTGCTGGAGCTTGAAACACTCTACAGCCAGGACAAGCGTAGAATGTCTCACTTGGAGCAGCAATATCGCGAGCAACTCCACGAGCGCAACAACCTTTTGCTCGCATTGTGGAACAGACTTTCCACACTTTGCGGCGCCGACTGGGCACAAAATCACAGCCTGGTTGATGGCGAAGTCCCGTCCGTCGAAGCAATCAGCAAGCACTTGCCGAGCTTTAACAGGAATATCATCAGCGCGGTCAAGACGATCGAAGCGCTCATTGGTGGCTTCAAACAGCGCATCCGGTCCATTGAGAAGGATCTCTGGAGGGATTACCAGACTCTCGAACAGAACCTGGATCTGCGAGCACGCCGCATGGACACCCTCGAAAGAGCCGTGATCGAGGCTCAGCAACAGTTTGAAGATCAGCAACAGAATGCAGCCCAGGAAGCTGCTTTCCGACCTGAGATTCCCAGTCGAGGAAAGTCGTTCTCGTTCAAGAGCAACGAGGAGATCAGCAAGCTCAAATCGGAGCTCAAGGTTCTCAAGAACGAGTTGAAGTTCCATCGTCAGCATCCCAGTGCGATGGCACAACAACTATTGAACGCCCACAACCAGGCTCTCTCTGGCGAACCGATCCATGCGCGCGCTGCCTCCAGTGCAGGAAGCATTTCTGGCAATGGCAAAAGCCCAGCTCGTCACGCGCTGTCCTCGCTCCTTCGACACCAGTCCTCTTCGGCAGCCGAACAGCTCCACTACATGCAGCGGCATAGCGAGGAGAACTCGGTTCCGTACCCTGTACAGCAGATTGTCGTCCCTGAGCAGCAGACTGCGCCAAATGAGACCCGATGGGTACACCGACTCAAGGAGTTGGAGAGGAGGCTGAAGGCCGAGAGAGAGGCCAGGCTGCTAGACAGGCAGGGAGCGCGCAAGAGATTGGAAGAGGGAAGGATTGAAAATGAAGAGCTCAAGGCTCTTCTGGAGAGGGAGCGCCTCTCCAAGCAAGAAGCCGAGGCTAGTATCGCGGGCAGCGCTGCTGAAGAGCACTGAGCGAGAGCGAGCATATGGGCAGAGCGAGGCGTTTGGAAAGTCGGTCACTTTTGTAGTAGTAGTATTAAAGGACCCAGTGAAAACTTGGGGGTTTGACGAATGATGAAAAGACACTTGTACTCCTACTACTACTTGTACTTCTACTACTACTTGTACTTCTACTACTACATGTACCTACTGTACGTAGGTACTGTACCTACCTGTACCTACTTTCTTGCTTCCATAATGTACAGTAGGTACCTGTATTCCTCCTCTACGACCAGTACCTCCTCGATGCCAAGCACTCCCATGGCGGCGATTCGCGAAAGCCCTCCTCATCGGGAGAGGAAAAGGATCGAAATTCGAAAAATTCAAAATTTCCAATCAGGAAGGTCATTATTTTTATACCTAGTAGTTTTGTAGAATAAGAATACAAGGCGTGGGGTGTTAAGTTTTTCTTTTCTCATTTCTCATTTCTCTCTCGCTAGGAGGTAAGATAAGGTATCATTTCTGCATGTTTTGCAGATTTTTAATTAATATTTAGATCAGGTAGGTAGGTAGGTAATGTAGGTAGGTAGGTCCTGGTATGGAAGATGCAAGACGGACGGACGTACTACCTATCTCGCTTGTATGAAATTTGGATTGCCAAAGTGCCTCGGTAGTTGTCTTAGGTTTGTTTTGTAGAGGAGAAGATAGTGGGCCTGTATGTGAGAGTTACATACCTTAGTTGCGATTGGGAAAGGTACATGTATCCGCCTGGATCTGAAATCACAGAATGGAATCATAGGTCAGGTACCAAGCAGGTAGGTGCATACCTTGTGCGTATGTACGTTCATCTCGTACTACTACCTACCCATCATCCACACTAGCTCTTCCTTCAACATCGGACTTGCCCATCGCGCAAACATGGCTCCACACTCGATCGCAAATGCCCAGCAGAAGATTCTCTTCACCAACCCTCCCTGGTCTTTAGTCTTCCAGATGCTTCGCTCCACAAGACATCCCACGCCCTGACCCAGAAACACCAGAAACATGCCTATCCCCATTTGCCACGGACGGTGACTCATTGGAGCCGCGCTCCATCCATGCCATATGCCGCTGAGCGCGAATGTCCATAGAATACCCACTGCGGATCCCATTTCTTTCTTCTTCTTCTTATCCTTCTGAGATTCGAGAAGTTTCACCGTGAAATGTTTGGCGGGTTTATAGGCGAGAGAGGTGAGCCAGGATTGTGCGCCTTGATGCCAGTGGATCGCCCAGAAATCTGCGATTCCTGGCGCGGCGAATGGGAGGTGGAATAAGGGGTTGGGGCAGAAGGGATGGAAGATGGTGTGCATGGTTTCCAGGCCGATGTGGATGAGGACGAGCGTAAGGAGGATTTGGAGTTCGGGAATGGGGTGGATGAAGGTTAGGAGAGGGATCGTGAGCCGGGGAAGCCAGGTCCAGATGTAGTAGTGAGAAGAAGAAGAAGAAGTCTGTTGTTGTAGTTGTAGCTGTCGCCGCTTCGACTCGTCCACCCTGAGACTATGATCGAAGGAAGCATAACGAGTTTCCGTGAGAAGCCGGAAAATGTATTCGACGTGATTTCCTTTCGAGTAGGGCTCCAGAAGAGTGTTCGCATCGTCCCTTCCCTTTTGGACGACCAATAGCCTCGGCGGACTTCCAGCTCGCACAAAAGCTACATCCAACACCCTACACGCACAAAAGAAGGATATACAATTTATGCCTCCTTGCACAAGAGGGTGGTAGGAAGGAGGACTCCATAAAGGCAAAATGAGAGTGTAGATCCCTGCGAGAGCTCCTATTTGTCGTCGAACATCGTGTATGGGACTTCGAGAATTCTCCCTTTGGCCGTTTTTCTGTTGTGCCTGTTGCTCGTACGCTGTAGTTTCGGCTTGCAGAGGCTGGTTGCTATCACCATCTGCGGCTGCTGCGATGGAAAGGGTCCATAGTGCGAGAAGATGGAGAGATATTGCAATGGTGACACGGAGGAGGAAAGCTGGAGTCGGGGAGAGGAGGAGGAGAGGGGGGAAGGGCCAGGGGAGGGAGAGGGGGAGGGAGAGGGAGAGGGAGAGGAAGACGAGACTGGTGGTGGTCGTGAGGGTGAGGTTTGGGGACATTTGGGACTATCCTCCTTGTGTAATAGATTGATTGCCTATTCAGGTAGTATGCATGATGTTTAGCATGTTGGTGGAACTTTGTAAGTACCTGTAAGCAAACCTTCATGTATAATGTATCATGTACCTAGGAGGTACCAGGCTGGCAGGCTAGGTACCACCGAAATCCGGCTAGCACTGCTTACGTTATGAAGGAGAAGCGCAAGCGATATAAGGTACATGGATCAGGTATCGGTACTAAGGGTACTTAGGAGGTACTACCTCCTATTTGTACCTCCTAGGAGCCTGGAGGGTATACATGTCGAGGTCTCGGAATCTGCGCGTATCTCACTTTCTCTGTTATCCATGCGAGGTTGACGATACGAGGCATGGATACCTGAGACCTCTCCTCTAACGCCTTGTCGACTTCTTCATGTCCGTGTAGAGGTCTGTCGGGGTTCGAGCTCGTACGAACGCCTGCGATGATAATGCTGGAGCCTGGGAGGTGTGTTGTTCTGTTTGTCGGATGTCGGATGCGGAGGGACATGATCGACCTCACTTAGGCTTACGAATGCCTAGAAGCCTGACCCTTCTGGGGCTGCGATACCTAGTACATGTAGCCCTACCTCCTAAAGCATTCCTGGTTGTATTGGTTGGTGCCGAGACCCGGAATCTCGTGCACGATTCAAGTCAGCCGACTCGTGCATACAGCATACAGCAGTGGGAACAGTGATAGTAGTAGAAGTAGTAGAAGTAAGGTAGTTGTACCTCCTAATAGCATAGCAGTCTGAGTAGCAAAGCAGTAGTACATGTAGTTACCTAGCGCTCGAGGTAGCAATAATATATACCTTCCTACCTAGGTATATAAAGGTAGTTCGGAGCCTCCGAGCGCATTCGCAACAATTTCAAAAGGTTCCATTATAACGGATGACCAACTCCCGGGTATCTCAAAGTAGACTAGTCGTTGCGCTGCATGATTATGCACCCATTGCACCTTTCCCCCCCTCCAAATTCCCCGGTTGTCACCAGTCGGGACTCCTACCAACGTGGAAGCATCACCACATCACCGATTCACCATCACTGATTCACCATCACCTCGCCGTGGCACACGTAAGATATGGCAGCTCGCCGTAACGGGCTTGACCATCGACATCTACATCTCCCCAAGCGAGCTCGGGGTACTCTGCCAGCACGGTCGCCTCGAGTTCTTGCGCCTTCTGCACCCCGGCCTGGTGTCCTTTATCTGCGAGGAACAGCTTGATGACACGAAGCACCATCTTCATCACAAACATGTCCTGCAGGTGCGCGGCACCCATTGACGACGAATCTCCAGGGCTCCCCGGGAGCTTGGCAATAATGAGACTGCACAACTCCAGAACCTTGAGCATGGCCGCCAGCGCCAACGCTGCAGTGGGACAATGGCCAGCCGTGGGCGGCACGTTCATGGCGGCTGTGCACAACCGGGGCAGATGGTGGAATATGGTGTGGTGGACGGACGATGGTCTTTGGCTGGCGTAATGGCAGTACTCTTGGAGCTCCCTGCAGAGCTGCATCGAAGAGTCGAAGGCCAGGTCGCCTTCTGCTGCTATCGTCGTTGCTGTTGCTGCTCCACTACTACACGACAGCGCCGAGGAGGGTGTCTGGAGAGTGCTCTCATTCTGCAGCATACCTGCACCACCGTTCAGTGCCGGAAAAGAGAACAGTGATGGCGAGCGTTCGGGGGGTGCCACTGGCATCGGATATTGCATCGCCTCTGCCATGCCACCGAATCTCGATGCGTCGGCCTGCATGTAGGAAAGATCTGTTGCATCTTCGGTCCAACTGTTGCTGCCATGAGTCTCTAGGCTGGCCCCGGCTGTGCTCCAATACATGTCCATTGCGGCATCGGCATCCATGCCGAGCAACTTGCTGTCAAACTCCAGTGCGGCGTCACTGTATCCAATGTGGTCGAGAGCCGGAGGACTTCCAGAAGTTGAACTTGTCTGTGCTTGAGGCGAAGCTGCTGCTGCTCTTCTCCGTCGCTCTCTTTCCTTCGAAGAGGTTTGCCCTTCGCTGGTCGACTCTGGAACCGAGCTCACTCGCTTTGGCCGACCAGGTTTGCGTCTAGGAGCGAACAGACATGCTATGCCACTGCGTGCACACGTGGTGCATGCGCAGTCTCCGGGAGGAATGAGGCAGCGAATCTTCCTCCTGGTGCCAGTCAGCTCATGTCACATATCCCATTCCACTCCTTTCTCGGCTTCCATACCGATGACAAGCTTCGCAAGCCACTCTGAACTGGAATCCTGAGTTGGACGACATTGGAGATTATGAGCTTGGCAACAAGTCGGCAGAACGTACTTCTCTTATAACATTCTGCATGTGCCTGTCTTAAGCTGTCTTGGATATCTTGTTGGAGACTTGGGGACTTGGCGAACAGGCCTCCCATCTAGTGTTCGTTCTAGGTACTGCTTTGCCACGCATCATCGCGGACTCGCGAGAAGCCCTGGTGAGTCACCCCACAGTTCAAGGAGATGATATGCCGCAAGAGTGACACTACACATAACACGGCCTGCACTTGATGCGCGGGCTCCACTTGGGCGCGTCGCAGGGTGCCGACCATCTAGCCTCCCTCAGTCGCGTAATCAGATGGCATAGCTCGGATACCATGGGTGCCGAGAACGCCCTTTTCGCATCATGACTGCATTCAGGAGAGAACGAGAGGGTCGGGCTTCACGTGGCATTGAACTCTTTGAGAGCATCTCTGCCACGTTGCAGACGAGGGACATACTGCAAATGAGCTGTACCGTTCGATCACCATGGCCGTCTGAGCCACGATGATCCCGAGACTGTTTGGCTCTCCTTGGCACTTTCAGGCCACACCCACGATCGACAGTAGCGTCCGCCTTCTGCAGCCACTGCGCTACTCAGTTGTTGTTGATGATGTTGTTGTCGCTGGATTTCTTGGCTTGGAAGCCAAAAGCGGACAATGTAGCTAAGGCGAAGGTACGCAGCTAGGTCCAATGTGGAATCTGCCATGAATCAGATAGATGGATCCCGTAACTCGCAACATCAGGGCGCTCGGGCGCACTCCGACCCATGCTCATCCGCATCAAGCATCACATACTAGACGACTAGTACGCCGCTCTCACTCTGGAGCGGGGTCGTCGATGCGCGGGGAGTCGTCAGAGGGAATCCATAACTCGAGCATAGGATTACCTGTAAACCAGGCTGTGTCGTCACACCAAGTGTTGGCCGTCCTTGGCTCACGCAGTGTCCCAACGTCAGTCCACAGCAACGGGGCATCCCTACGGCACCTAGGTATGCTGCAGGCGTTGCACGCTTTACGCCATATACGTGTAACCCACCACCTTGCATTCTGGTGCAGAGCGGTCTTGGAGCCGTCTGTGTGATATGGGTTGCGGGATGCCCCTGATTTGGCTACCACGTGCTTCAAGTATAGCTCCAGACCCACAGAGTGCGAGGTACGAAGTGCCTGCCAGCAGAGGTCGCTCTACTACACACTACTACATGACACTGAGACTACGGGATGGAAAGGTCCACAGGCTGTGGTGGTGGTGGTAGACGGCCATCTGGGTGTGTGGAGTAGGATTTCTGCCGCGGCCTCACACATCACCGCGATCGCCCTCGCATCCTGGGGATCTCATAGGACACCGGTCATATCCTCGGAGGAGGTGTATGTCTCCAACCATGAGCTACTCTTTGATACCGCGTCGACCCTGGGTCTTCGTCATATCCGAGACATGGGCGAGCAGTAACGCGGCAGACATTGGAGTCGTCCTTGCTGCTGCAATGACCCTGTTGTATGCTCAGTGTGCGGCCCGCCTGCATGCGATGGCCAGGAGTCGATGTAACGAACGCACCATCGCCGAAGATTACCATTTAGCGTTCCGCCAAGCGACTGGAATACAACCAGCGAGACTGGCCAATGCCTCTCCTATAGACTCACAGCTCCTTGTCAGCACCCGGGATACCGCCGCTTGAATACACCGAGGCGCAGAAAATACCATGCGGCTGCTGTGGTCAGGTAGTGTTACTCATTTTCCTAAGGTTCTCTCACGGATCGCTCCCGCTATCAGTGGCCTGGGATCCCCCTCCCTCCCTCCCTTCCGCCCGTTTCAAGGAGTCGATACAAGCAATGGGCGGCGCGGGCCAGAGCGGTTGACTTGGCCATCAGTGCTTGATCATGACCTGGACGTCGTTTACATGACCACCAAAGAAAGATACATGTACTCGCTAGAGGTCGATGTCAGTGTACGTACAGTATGGCCGCTCGATTGACTCGCCATCGGAGCGCCTGCCGTGATCTCTACCACCTCCAGCGATCCACACGCTGCTTGCTGCAACACAGGCGATTCTATGGTTGACTTCTTGGCATGCACTAGAACTATTGCTAATAGGCACGCCTGTGTCCGATCCTCGGCTCACATATCGTTCGGTACTACGCATCCGGCCGCCTCCGCCAAACGATTCTTTCACTTGCATTCCATGCCGTCTATCTGGACTTGCGCAATAGCGCAATTGTTGCATGCCACGCAAGACAGAGTAGCGCCACGGCCCACTTTCTGTGCGGTGCTGAAGCCGGAGTCTAGGCCTGGACGAGCCAATCCGCACTCGAGATACACAGTATCTATCCACGCTACATTCAGCATTTCTTCGGGTTGAGCACTTCTCAGTCCACAAGCATCGATACGGGGACCATCTCCTGTAGATAAAACGTGCCCTAGCTCGTTATCGAAGGTACGGGAAGCGAGTCTGCAAGTGGACGAGCTGGGCCTGTGCCCGAATCTTACCTGATCTATTACCGTATGCCCAGTGGACACGATATATCAAAGTAGTAGGTCAGAGGTTGGAGGGTGGAATTCCATGGGGGGGATCCTTGATACTCGGTAGATGCACGTCGCTACCAGAGTCAACGCATCTAATAATGTCCGCTGCACAACTTCGTATGCATGAGCAGCATGACTATGCGTGCTAAGGCTGGAGGGGGCCGAATCCCGATACACGTAGCGCGCTTTTTGTTTTCTCTCGTGAGATGTTGGGTTGCACGCCGGCAGACGAAGCAGTGCTTGAACATCACCACATTGTTCTTAGCGTACACCCAAGGACGGCGCTTCAACGTAGGGCCAACTAGGGTCACTACTGGCAATGCAGGCGACTCTTGGCATCCGACCATCCGAGCTTCCCAGTACCCGCCCCGATGCAATCTCCACAGGCATGTGAATGCGCTATCTGGCTGTTTTCGGCTACAGGTCCCCAAAGAGCAAAAGCACTGCCGCAGATCACACCCTTCGATCCCTGGGATGGACTCGAACAGCAGAGCGCTAGGCCAATGTACCTCCCACGCTCTCGACGTTACTGTTTCTCTTGTTGTTGCAGAACTCGGCCTTTGCTATGTTGAGAATGTGCTTGTACGTTCGACTGGCTGCAGTGATAACACTACCTGTACTTAGGGAGTGATGACCAGCGCCCCGACCGATGTCCGAGGTAGCTACTGGTAAGACGCGAGGAACGAACGACAAATAGGCTCATCTCCGTCCCGCGGTCCAACAACCACGCGATGTCGACCAGGGGGGGAGGCGGGTTTGCCCTCACACAAGCAATGCGATCGCGGCCCTACGCCTACTACATACATGTACACAAACGCACAATCACTCTATTTCGATGAGACATTGTCATCAGCGTCATCGACATCATCGACATCATCGACATCGACATTGGCGTCGTCATCTTCCTCTTTTGTAAAATGCCGCCGCTGCTGAGCAGATGCGCCCTACGCCGGAGATTCGACATTACGATCCATTCAATCTCCCTCCGCTGTCAGGAGCCAAGGCAAGGTACGATCAGCCAACATATCTTCTCGGTCAGAAAAGAACAGAGCTTCTCACGTCGAAATGGAACGAGTTGGTGTAACCAAGAAAGCAGTCTGGGTATAGCACAATGCAGTGTAGTAGGTAGGACTTTCCACTAGATTCTTCCACATGAAAGAATAGTGGATCCCTATTGACTAACTAACCTAACTCAACTATCTATCTAACTACCTTACCTAACTAGTTAGATTACCCGATTGAATAGCCTCGCGCGACTCTTGCTGTTACTATCGTCGCGGCATAACTTACCTTGTTTTTGCTAGGCGTTGCTATACTATATTCGTTCTTCCCAACAAAACTGAACAAGTAGGTCTAGCTTTAGCTTCAACTTCAACAAAGCTAGGAGTGCTACTGTTACTGCTACTACCTTACTATTGTTTTTGTTCTACTTTTTCTTGTTCTCTCTCCTTCTACCTTTCACTTCCTTCTCTCTCTCTTATCGTATTCTACTTCCTCCCTATCTCTTCTCCCTCTCCCTCTCCCTTTCCTATCCTTCTCCAAATAGAGAGACATTCATATATGTACACACACACACATATATCTACATATACCTACATGTACCTCAGTGAAAAAGAGAAAAGCTTCTACGTAGTACAAAGTAAAGTCTTTCTCAAAGCGGAACTAACTAATTAGGCAACTAAATATGTAAGTACGTAGTACTACTTAGGTTATTTGACTAGTATACCTAGTATATAGGCAAAAAAATGAAAAAAAAAAGGAATAAAAGGGGCAAACAAATGTGAAAATTGAATTACGAAAGACGGAAAGACGGGACAGTTTGGAGGGGGGTTTTTTTTGGGTAGATAGGCTCGTGCTCTTGTGCTCGTGCATATACTACTTGTGCTTGTGCTTCGTGCTTGTGCTTGTGCTTCGTGCTTGTGCGTAGTCACTTACCTACTGACCTTACTTATTTTACCTTACCTTACTTACTTCAATTCATCACTCCCTCACTTCTTCCCTTGACTTCCCTAACTCACCCGCTCCCCAAAAAATCCAAATAGATACGTATATAAAGATACATATGTTCTTCAATCTCCATCTCCATATCCAAATTCTACCTCTACCACTTCTTCTTCTCCTTCTTTTCTTTCCCGACTGAAACTTAAGCAACCAAGCAAAGGCTGGCTTTGAAACTGCGATAGTCGTTCGTTCGTTGTTCGTTGTTTGGACGAACTGACTGACTGACTGAATGACTAGCAGCTCGCGGATTCTGGTAGGAGGCGGATTTGGTGATTTTGTCGTCGCGTCTGTGCCTTATTCATTTGATGCTTGAGAGAGAGAATTCATGATGAGGTGTTTGGGACATGTTGTCTTCATGGCGAAGATTGTTGCTCGGTCTTTTCGGAGGGCGGGGGGGG